TTGTTCCGTAGCGCAGTGAGAGAGAAGAAATGGTCATTTTAGTGGTTGGTTGACCATTCTTTCGGGTCTAAGTATTACAGCAGCAGTTGACATATTTACAATAAATAGACACATTATTTCCGGGCTGATATTCTCCATCCTTTCATTTCGGACTTCGTCAAAGATAAATACGCAGACCAAAATATAACGTACACAGATCCATCCATAAGCGGATACCAGACATTGAATCGTTTTTAAAGAATGTGACTGAATCGAATTTTTATTTCCCTTTTACGGCAAGTAAAATGTGGTGGGTTTTGTATCCAACGTTTTACGACGTTTACCAAAGTTTCCGGCTCCTTTGAAAATGCGATACAGTTATCAAAAATGCAGTAAAATTAACAATGCAGTGACAGCGGGTCGACAACATGGATATTTTTATACACGGGACTCTTAAAGAATGTAAAAATTGCATTTTAAAATACGAGAATGAGATCTTTCAATCTTGTGCTTTGGAGAAGATCAAAGTGACTGACGAGAATTGGTGGAAAGTAATTTTGATAAAAATCACTAAGAAAATACTCGGTTCCATGAAGTTTGACAAATTCTATCCGATACTGATTTTCTAAAATCCTGTCAATTCTTTGCACGAATCCAGCACGTTTGCATCGATTAAAATTATGATTACACCAAACCGACTAATTGCATGACCTAATAAATCAAACCCTTGTTTCACACAATATTACTCCCGGTAGCAATAAAATCATAAAAATATTTAGTTCATGTCCTGTAAATTACCCACGTGTTGCTCCCCTGCATTTTAAAGTTTAAACCTCCTCCTCCCCTTTAAAAACTTTGATCCGGATTTCTACCCGATGGGATTTATAACACGAAAAATTTCATTGTGCACAACATGCAGCTGAATCCGACGCACATGCAGTAACCACTTCCTTACATTACATACCAGCTTTTGGCCATCCCAGTTTTTCATCACTATCCTGTCGTGCCTGGTTTCAAATCATTGAACGTGAATTGAATTGTGCAGATGCAGCTTGCCTCCTCACGCACAGAGAGAAAAGCAAAGCTAAAATCACAACCTTATTTCTTTGTCGAATAATGTTTCCATCCGAAAATCCGTCCATTTGGCATGCCCAACTAAAATATGTATGTGGTGGAAGTTGCATCAATAAGGCCCCGCATCATCCGAGGCAGCCGGGCCGTCGGGCCGGTGTCCATTGTGCTGTGGGTGCATTGTGTACGAAACTATTTACAGTATTTACTCGTATAAAATAATGAAATAAAGAAACGCTTCAATAAATTTTGAGGCACAAGGAAGCAAAATCAATACATAGATACGTCACACGACCAGGAGGAGGACGGAAGCATAGGAGAACACAGTTTGTATTTCGGTAGGTTATGGTTGATCGATAAGCGTGATATTCAAAGTGCATAATGCATCAGATAATCTACACACCGGGATATGTGCATGCAGTTACTACACATGGCCATACATATATAGTTAATGATGGTAAATTCACTGCACCACCACCGAAAAAGGGAGTCTCTAGAGAATTCGGGAATAATGGAAGTTCAATCCACAGAGAAAACTTTAGTCGCGTGCCACAATCAACCCAGTCAGATTCCCAATTGTTGTATTATCATTGTCGGCTGGGGGAATTGCATTTCATTTCACCTATCACTTTGCATCACTGTTACACAATAAGTGCATCTGGCCGAATAGCTACTTTTATGCCACGAGCTAGCTGGGCTAGTTTACTCGATTTGGTGAAAAATACTTGGATGTTGACTCTTATGGTCTGTAGAAGTAGCACCTTTTTGGTTGCAGACGATCGTATGATTTTATTGAATTGTTGAGAGGATATGCTAACAAAGGAAGTAAACAAATCTCTGAATCATCCAAGAAGGTGAAGGTAGTAAGAAAATACACACTTGTCCATTTTTCTTAGAATCAGCTAGATTTTGGGTCCTCGTGGCTGAATCTGACAATAAAAAGTGCAGTAGATGTATGTATTTACTGCATTTTTCCATGTATGTATGTAGGCGATACCAATTGAGAAGCAAAGTTAAAGAATCTGCAGATGCAACAGGCAGCATCTTTTTCTTTTTCATCCTTCTCAGTCAGCTTTAAAGTTTAAAAACCATTGGAACCTAAACACAATACGCTTTATATCCGGGCAAGTTAAAGGTCTTTTCTATTCAGCCAACCAATTCGACCTTGCTTAATCAGCCAGCCAAGAAACTGTTGGATGCAATCAACCATAATCATTCAATTTTCAGGTTTCAATAGGAAATGGACATCTGCTCACAAGAATAACGCGTTGCCTTTATAGTAAAGAGGGACTTGAAGCAAATTAGAGAATTCAATACTAAAATGTCAATGGATTTGGATGGGCCACGCTTACACTTTAATATTTAGCACGGGGGACGACTATGCAGTGCAAGCTGCAAGAAAAAGTTATGCAGATGTGTATTCTTTAAAGGAGGTCGGGTTGGATCAGGTCAAGTATAGTTGACGACCGTGTTGTGTGAGTTGACAATTTTTTGTATTTATCACGAAGACTCGCTATGAGCAGGTGTCTCGTAATATAGAATTATTTAAGAGAAAAGCTAAGCGTGTGTACAAATGTAATTTATATTAAATTCGTAAGATTGATTATGGTCGAATGACAGAAATTACCAAATGCATACGCTCTTCTGTTACAGTACAAATGGGAAATAAATATGTAAGCCTGATTGATTCGAATCAATAATGAAAGCAGCCAGTGACACGTTTTTCGGGAGAGTGTCAATCCCTGTCGTCGAATTAAACACCCTCGCACCACACCACCCACGCCAATCCGAGTGAAAGCAAGCGTGCCACGAATTACTGGTCGCTTTTGTTGTTTCGTTTGCGTCCCCGTGTCATCGCGCATGATTGAATTCAGCAGTTTTGTAATAAATAAATTGAATTACCATTTGGTACGGATGGACATGCAGCCTGTCAAAGGACACGCGAATTGGGTTGAGACAAAAACCAAATCCGGTCTGGCTGGATCATGCGAGCTAATTATAATCATAATAATCATCGTTCTTTGATTGACAATTGACAGCCAACTTTCCGACGCGGTTGGTCCAAGGAAGGGTTGCTAGAAATGCGACAGAACCCTTTTTTCGATTTCGCCATCGTGTGAGTCCCGTCATCTTCTCGTCCTGCCTGGTGCCTACTGCCTATCCATTGTCCATCAGATTGAGATTTACTTCCCACCACCACTGCCAAACTTCATTGTAATGCAAAGCTTCCTCCGCAACAATAGCCGGAGCAAATATGTAGCAGTTTCTATGATGAATAAGGGTGTACTCATAATGTGTTCATTTTATTGCAATCCATCCATACGCACGAAATTAGAGGAAGTGGAAGAGTTTCGTCATGTCGTAGCTCGTGCCACGCCAAGCCGAACCAATAATCGGTTCTCGGTGTGGGATTCTACATAATATACAAAATATATATATAAATTGGGTACCAGAACGCGCATGGGGTAGACACACACGAACCACGATTCGGATTTCATGATTTTTGTCACTGGTTTCAAGGTTTCGTGTCCATCAGAAGAAGAGAAGGCAAGCTGCAACTAAAGAGACATTTGGCAAAAGGGCCCTTTAATGCGGTGGTGGTGCGAGGAGTAGTCGTCGTCGTCGTGTAATAAGGGTTGCTTGCTAGAGCCGATGTCATCTGTCGTTTGTTCCTGTTGGCACAAAAGCTCATTATATTTACGACTATAATCATGTCCATGATCAAACGAGGTTTAATATTGGGAGGGAACGTGGGTTTAAATTCGGGAAGGAAGGTGATGTCGTCTCGATATGCTATGCACGCGTACCAAAAACCTGAATAAAAAAAGTACCCAGGAGCTGGACTCTATTCTACTCCGGTTCCGGATAAAAGTGTAGTAAGGAGCCATGTAGTAATACAAAAGGGATGCAATCTGCTCGTTTCGTAAAATTTGTTCAGTGTTGTTGGTTCAGTTAACTAAGGGGTCTTTCCTCCCAGTGCTCTTATGGGTGCACTGGCTTTATTCCAGTGTGGCGTGGTTTGGTGTGGTGTAGCTTGGCACACTTGGAGGGACTTGGCTCTCTTGTTCCGATCGGGTATTTAAGGACATGCTGGACGGTGGAAGGCATCAGTTTCACGGACGCAGCAGTCCTCCTCCCTTCATCCTCTGCTCCCTTGAAAAATTCTGAACCTTTACACAAATTTATTCCTCCACACTTTTCCCATTAATCGGACTTACATTAGATTTTTATCGTGCGAGATTTCGGGGCAACTTAAGTTCTTAATTTAGAATAAATTTCTGAAATTTATAAATTTTCTTGATACAATTACAACACATTTACAACAGGAGGACAGTTTTAGCAGGGAAAAAAGTTAGAGTAGCACACTTATTGCGACCCCATTATCAATCACCCTTTAAAGCGAGCCGAGAAAATTTCATTCATTTCTCTCTTGGAACACTTTTCTTTCATTCCATTCCATTATTGTGAGTTTGCCTGGGTAGAAAAAAATCCTTACCCTTCCAGCACACATATTACCACCTGGCCCTCACGTATCTTTCTATAGGGAAGAGCAAAGGTGTTTTAATTCCGCTGGTCGGTTGGTCGTTGGTTCGTTGTAGCATAGGCAGTCGGGACACCTGGCCCTTTAAACCTTGGAGTGAGGTAGCAGACGGTTGATATAGCTTGCTTTGCGGAGAGGGGACTTATTCCTTGGTGGTTGCTTTATAAGGGTGCTGGAAAGCAAAAGTGTCGAGGCAGTTGGTTGGAAACCTTCGAACGGGACACTTCTCACTTTTGAGAGGGTTCCTTCAAGGGGCAGGAAGTCTTGAAGAATTTCGAGTCTCAAGTTTCTCCCTTACTCAATCCTGTATCCTGTTCTTTGCAAACATTTTTTTTTCCTTTTCCTTGTTACATAACCCACCTAGTACACAAGTTGCAGCTGCCACACTGCTTTTCTAACGGAACAAGGATCTTGCAAGAGTGAATAGGACAACGATTTGGACTTGGACTTTGTGGGGAACCTGCCTGAGTGAAGCTTTGATTGTCCAAACGCAATTCTTGTGATTTTTTAATTCAAGATTTACGTATGGACATCGCCGCTTCATGATTGATTCGTCTGATCGAGAACGACAATTGGGTGCAGAAATTAAACGGTAAGTGAGTTCATCATTGTAAAGAAGTGTTGAGACGAGGGTGCTGTTTGTTTCGTAAGTTGCATTCATTTTCATCATTTTTGTGATAGTGAGATTTTAGCCCGAGCATTTATAGAATTTTGCTAGTCGAATTTTGTGACGATTTTGTGAGACATGGCGTTTTATTAGTAGTGACTAAACTTTTATTTCTTTATTATATTTAAAGTAGTGAAAGTTTTGCCTTGCCAACGAATTTTTCCGATTTAGTAAAATCTGTCAGGTTTTAGATACCCACAACTAAATATTTTCCTTCAATTCTCATTTTCATCTCGCGTCCACCGACCAACTTTGCTAAACATTAAAATCCTACACTTCTTAACCTCTGATTCCTAAACTCAGTTCCAAATTGGCAATTAGTTTATCATAACCACTTTCTCCGGTGCATCTCCTGCTCAAAAAACGGTAAAAATGGAGTGTGCCTGTCTTCCCAACAATGGGCCGGCTTTCACCGCAGAGCCCCACATGATTCCAGGTTTGATTTTCACTATCAAGAATTGTCACCTTTTTTCAGTACTTGAATAGAATTTATTTCTTCTCTACTTTCACCATTTTCTCAGGGTACATGGGTTACGTTCCCCAGTACAAATACAAATTTGGAAACACTTTTGCTGAACAAACGCACAAACTATTTCTGGATCCATGCGTCAATATGAGTCCACGTGCCGTGTTAACCGACGTTTGCCCTGAGGATTGCAGCTCGGTAGAATAATGTCATATCGTCAAATGCCTCAAACTACTTATCCCTATCCAAAACGCTTATCTATGTTTCTTGCACTCCTTCCGAACTCTGCAGGGTGGATTTCTCCAAAATGCAACAGGTTTCCGGTTTGGACAATGTGGCTGCAATGATCCGTACAAATGTGGGCGAGAACCACAGTTTTCATCGGGACGAAATCGAGGCCAGGGGACACAAGCTCCACGTTTCCAGACAATTATGAATCACACTTACGCCCCATTTTGTAACCGATTCTGCACAAAAACCTTTGAGCAGGACCAATGGCGCGACAAGCTTTTTACACGGGTAGGTGTGCTAATTTTTGCACTTACAATTTGCATGACTTCTTTAATTGCTTAGCTTACGCTTAATTAATTTTCACATATGTAGGAACGAGAAGCGTTGGATGGATGGCGGTATTGCTACAAGTCAAAGCCATGGGACCGCCCTGAACGAACAAAACCTTGGGATGGTGACCACGCCGAGTTCCGCCGCACTCAAGCCACTCTTCTTCCCCCAATGATGAAAGATGATCTTGACGTCCACCTCCGCGGATTTGATGGAATCGCACGACCCGGTATTTCGAATGATTTTGACCCTGCTCAGATCTCCTACACTGATAATTGCTCCTGCTAAAAAAATGAACGAAGCCACATAATTATTGACTGAGCAACATAATATTTTCATTAGAGGGCAAACAAATTATTCTCAAAACTGTCCTAAATGCATAGCTTTGTTGATTCGTATCGTAATGTAGCTTAATTACAGGAAGGGGAACATGGATAAAGTGTCATGTCAAACCCAATAATTCAGTCGTAGAGTCTGAAAAAAATGCTGCTTAAAATAAACTGTCTCAAGTTCCTCATATAAGTGCATATCAGCATCTCGGATAGATTAGATTGTACAGAAATGTCGGTAATGTTACCTTCTGTTATTTCTTGTTGTAGTACGTGCATGATGATGATGGCAGGTAAAAAGTATCATTAGTCAAAGTCTAGAGCGGATTTTCAACCCCTTCTTCTTGTTCCAACATTTGGTAATCTTTAAGAAAAACGGGAACACCTTTCTCCGGTCTGCTCTATATTTGCCACATGGCACTGGCACTATTATTGCATCCATTTACAACTCTTCACCTGCTCATGGAAAAAAGCTTGTTTGTGTTGTGTTATTGTGTGTACTTTCCTTTAAATTCAAACGGTTATGGCATTCGGCTCCACGCACGATGATGTAGTAATTGATGTCATGATTTGAGTATGATATTGATGACGAGAGAACGACAGAGAGACGTCATAGGGCAAGAATAAAGACAGAAATTCGGCTTCTCAACTCATAATTCGGAAGAATTTGAGAGAAGGTAAGATTATTTTGTTCGGAAGTGATTAGACGACCCCCTAGAAATAAGTTGTTGTAATATTTCCGGAAGTACAGTAGGGCTTGGCATTTCTTGGGGGTTGTTAAAGTCATTAGTGCCCTATGGCGTCTGTCCACCAGCGTCAAAATAATAATTAATTTAGTTGTTATATAAATCAATTTGCTTGCTTTAGGGGGCGATTGTGGCGAACCTGACCCATATGCAGTGACCTCGATACGATACAAAGCTGCAACCGGACCACGACAAGGAGTTGGGGCTTCTTCTTCAGCCGGTGCAACCTGTGGGGGTTCGTCGAATAATTCTAAATTTTCTGGTGCATCAAATTCCAAAGCGAATTGGAAACTACCGGCTGTACCTTCTGGGGGAAATAATTGTCCTCCATGTGAACTTTACCAACGCCATTATCGCGGAGTTGAGAAGGCTGCGGTGGATGCGGGATTAAAAGGAATTGTGAAACATCCTCTGTTTCCGGCCCCACAGGGAAACATGATTCGAGACGCTTTTTGCGAGTAAGTTGGATACCTGGAAGAGTCGGAATGAATTTGTACTCGAACATGTTTTGTTGATTACAGAGAGCTGGATGTTCTCCGGGAATTGAACAAGGAGCAAATGTCACCTGCCCCGTGTCGAGCTACTGATGGCGTAATTGAGGGTTAGTGCTCATTATACAACGAAATTATACACTAATATTGACCAAAATTGTCATAAACTATATATATTTAGAACTTGGAGAGCTTCCTATCATGACTTTACACAAAATGGCACAAAAGCGAGAAGACACATCAGGAAAATTTTATCCCGAAGAGAGAGGTCTGGCACGAGTCTGCAATCCAATTGGAAGGTAATTTGTGCATTCGCATAGTAGAAATGCAATAAGGTTGCTAAAATAACTTTTCCTAATTTGTGCATAGTTCTTACTTGACCGCGAGACCTTTCCGATGCAGTGCGATTTACAGATATTGCGAGCCACTCGGATCAACATATGCTGGTTAGTAATTTCAACAAGTAATATAATGAATAATTGGATAATAATTATTAAACCTGGACAGGACATGTCCCAGGAGAACAGTTCATTAATGGAGAGCACCGAGGAAAAGCAACACGAAACGCATTAAAATACATGACCTACCGAGTTTGACCCACATCCTACCAATCCTGCAAATTGGCTCTATTAACGAAATTATGATTTTCTAAATTTTGTTGCAAACTATGAAATTCTTGTCAAATGTGATGTGAACTGACAATAACAGAATGAATAAAAAGTAATTTCACACTAAAACACAATATATCGACCAGAATTAACTGTACGTTATATATTCAGCTATTACATTTCTGGAAATGGCAAGAATTGCCATACATTAAATGTTATTAAATATGTATAACTATTCAATTCTAAGCAGAATAATTTCGAGTTTATCGGATTCTAAAAATACAGAAATATGCTAACCTGTGTATTACGTTATCATTACTGGCGTTCTACGTTACATTTGAATTCTGGAAGAAATAGAAAATGAATAACTACTTATAGCCACAAATAAATACTAAAGATAGATCTCAATAATGTGCGATATAGGGGATTCGTTATTTACAAAAAAATGAAGGGTAGTATACTATATAACCATCAAGATTACATTAGCAATTAATGTAGTTGCAATAATTAAACATCCAGCTATAATTGATTGGGGGTTTTTACGGCTTTATATCTATTTATCAATCGCACTAAGGAATCACCTACAACCTGAGCTCTACGTGGCTATTGTATAATGACTCATCTCGAAAATATGTTGACATTCAAAGATTTGTAAATTGCAGAAATAGAATTGCATTCGAATAGATATTTCAAAGTCTCGTTGACAATCTTCTTTTACATTTTAATACTTGTTAATCCCAAAGAGACGGACACAGTGGAACCTATTTTTGTTTACACGAATTAACAACAATAGTACAAGAATATGAATATTTAATTAATCTTACTGGGGAAGTTTCGGAATAAGAACCAGCGTCATTGACACAAAGTTTGGAACGAAATGACTCGTATCGTATTTTGTGTAGAAAGAAACCAAGAAGAATCTACCACAAGAAGCAACAATATAAAGAAAATGCATAATGCATATCCAAAGATAAACGTTTAAATAGGATAAGTAAGTATCTTACAAGACGATTGGTACAATTGTGAGAAATTTGCGAGTACTTGTAAACTGAACCCCATAATCAATCTGTTCCCAATGTGTGAGACGCCTGGCTAGTCCTTGATCTTGAATCTATATGTAGAGATTATTTTATTAATTTGTGGTTTAGTTTAGCCATTCATTATATAATCAAGTATAAAATTTATGCATCTAACCTCCCAGGGAGCACCTTTTAGCACATGAAGGAAAATGAAATTGATCTGTAACAATAGTTAAAACATGAAATTATTACTTATCCTGCAACAATTAAATTGAGTCATCTGACGATGATAAATGATGATTCATTTATACAGTGTTGTGAATCAGATTAGTCAGCGTCCAAGCCATGGGAATCGAAAGAAATGGAATTGAGAGCAAAAAAAGGTGCAACATTGTAACAGCGATCCCGTACGTAAACCACATTCCCTTGCTTCCTAAAAAATAAAAATAAAATTATGTAAAACAATTACGCAAAATATTTCACTATTTATATTTCATAAAATATTAATATTTACTCAGCCATGACACGTTTGGATTGTCTTCTCCGTGACCTCCCACTTGAATCATTTTGGTGTCGTTGTAACTGCTCTCTCTATCTTATGTTTTAGCCAACGTTCCTAAAAACATGAATAATTTAATTAAAGCAATATATTCCGCTCAGACTGATGTTCAAGTTTATAATTTGTATCCTAAGCACACTTGCACTACACTCCGGCATCATTATGCATATTAGGTTAGCTATTACATATAGTTATCAGATTGTTTGACAACTGCCTACCACCACACCACCAAATAGATAAGGTGGAAAATCGTTCTATTGCTACAGTATGCTGCATGCCCAACTTATCGCATCCTGCTAAATACAGTACTGGTGATAAGGTCGTATCAGTAAATCGTCTTTGCCGTGCTAATAAATAAATCCCAAGTATAAAACATCAAACGTTTGCCAGTGGACACGATTCATAAATTATGCAAATGCAGGCGAAGGCTTCAATGATATAAAGGCTTTAAAATCATGATTTTTGATGAACATAATCTATATGCCATTCCAGTCGTTGTTGTACATATGTCCAACTCTCTTACAACTTACAAAATTACCTTAATTCGCAAATCTCAACTAAAATTTGATTATTAACATTAATAATCTAGATAGTACAAATCATATGTCATCAAGTACAACCTGTCAATCACAAACTTACTTGATTGCAAATAAAACGTCAAAATGCCCAAAATCTTAAGAAAATCCACCCTTAACTTAAATAGTCTGATACTACCAAAATAAAACCTTACCAATGATAATCAATACAGTTGATAGGCAGAAGGACAGATTTTATCTTTTTGCGTAAATAAACACAAGTGTTCGCTTAAAAATTCGAACTTGAACTAACCTTGCGCTTGTTGCTTTCCGAATGCAATGCCTGATCCGATGTGATGATGAGACGTAGAAAGAGAAAGAAATGCTCCCAGTTCTAACTTCGACAAAATATAAGTTTTTGCAAATTTGGACAAATAGGTTGTAAAATAGTTCTTTTTTGTTTGTTATTGTTGGCACATGTGCAACAGTTTACAGTTCAACAAACAACTTTCACAATTTATTGTTTGTTGGTATCCTTTGCACTAGTTTGCAGTGCAAACTTTGCACTTTTAGTTCAACTTTGTATCCGGTGGCATGCAAAGAGAGTTGCACAATGGCATCATATATATAAATGCATGGAGTTGTATAAATGTGACATAATTTATGTCCATATAGTTGTATGTTACATGTCTGAGAAAAGTTTGATTTTGTATTATATTTTTAATCTGTTGCAGTTAAAAATTCACGACTAAATTTGATATGATGAGTTTAATTCGTATGAAAATGTATTCCAATTAAAATGTAAACTTTTTATTCATGATAAATACATGCGTTCGTACATACATACGTTAAAAAGTCAATCAATAAACAATATTGCGAAATTGTATCAATTCAGTTTAGTTTCGGATTAGTTTCTTACTCTGACTTGAGAAAGTTCGACGGACATCACAACATAAGTAAACTTACCAAGTTCTACAAGTAAATGCGTACCAGACGCTGTCATTTATGGTTTTGAGCCCAACAACTATCATTAAGGTGAATATGCCCCAAACTATATTGACTAGATGATAACAGATAACAACCGAGTTGGAGTTGTATTACCAATTTCCAGCTAAAATTAAAGGAACTCGCAATTTAAGGTATAGACTATTTTTTGGCAAGTACTAGTAGTAATAATATGTAGACGGTACTTTGTACTAACCACCAGAACTGTTTTTAGTTCACAGCGACCACTAAAAATTGAACGGTGCACACCAATATTATTACAATAATTTGTGAAAATTTAGAAGGCACAACTTAACTTTTGATTGTACTTACATAACTCTTACAAAAAAGCACCATCACATTCTGATCTCCTCATAATTGAGTAAATTTCCGCTTTCACCAATTAGGTTTTTATGATTCAATCACAAGCAACAGATTAAAGCGTGAATTACAAAAATGTACTATTTGATATTCTCACAAATTTGGACTATTTTTCAATTTCTTTAACTGCAGATTCAGGTACGGTAACTTTCTCTCGTAAACATCGCCGGGAAGGAGGGCGAGCAGTGCAATATGCGTCACAAACGCGGTTAGTCCCCACAAATGAATTTCTTCAGTCCCAGGTCCACTGTAGACGTTTAAATTCTTCCACATTGGCATTCTGTAGCTTTGACCCATGAATTTTCTCTTTACACCTTCTTCCCAGTTCTTGGGGTCACATAAATGCTCAAGTGTAATGGTAAACGCATGATCAACTTCACTCGGATTGATCCTCAGTTTTGCAGGGTCCATTATCCCTTTGATATTATTACAAAATATATACATAAGCGGTTAATTTCATCTCATCAAAATCAAACAAAATTTATGCGCTTATCGGAAAATATTTCCTTACCTTTGACAAACCCAAGAACAGGAATCACTCCCATATTTGAAGCTATTGTGGGAAACATTCGCAACGTTGTCCAAATTTCGATGTCATTCGGATGGATTCCTAATTCTTCGTGCGTTTCCCTCACCGCACCGGCGATCGGACAACCTTTATCTTCCGGGTCTAGACTCCCACCCGGAAATGAAATTTCTCCTCTGTGCGTGGTTAATTGGAGTGACCTCAAATTGTAGAGCAAGGACGGTTTTCCATTCTTATCGAAACAGAGAGGAAGAAGAACTGCTGCCTTGCGGTACTCGGGGTTGTCTTGGTTAGACAAGTTCTTGAAATTGAGATTGCAATTGTCCCTGTCCAACGAAAGAATTTGCGTTGTTCTTAACTTGTTCTCGGGAGAGAGGACGTACGCCCAGTCAAAGAATTGGCTCTGGCCTCCTCCGCAGGTTGAAGTTGTCGTGGATGCCGACACGGGGAGTGGGGACGTCATTGAAGAGGAAGTGCTGATGGTTAAAATGTTTCTTTGGAGCTTGTTCACATTAGACGAGCTGCGACGAACAATTATCATCCTACCTATAATTCAAGAAAGAGGTCAATCAGTAGTTGATTAATATAAAGCTGAAACGTGATAACTTACCAAGTGAACCCCAGCCTAATTTAACGTCACTTTCGTCTGAGCAATTTGGAACAAGTTATTGCTCTGACTTGAGCTTAATATCGCACTACCGGAATAGAACAATTAGTTGTATTTTTCGGAACCTCTTAATGGCGAGCTAATAGTATGTACATATTAAATGAGCATAAATTTAACATAAATTAACCAAAAATTTTCCACAAGTACTTACATATTCCAATTAAATTAAAGTGCAATCTTTAGTTGAGCTACTTGAGCTGAGCAGTAATGAGCAAATTGTTTATTCAAGTATAACACTGACGCAAGTTGTGTGTGTCACACAACTGACGAGAAAAAGACGTAAGCATTTTTGTACAAACTTCTAATTAAAAGTAAAAATTTGAATAATTTTGTGTTGTGATTTAATTTTGAATTATCGGATGATGTTCAATGGTGAGGTGAATGGGTTTTCGCAATGAATGTTGATCTTTGAACTTCACATGAACTGAAATTCGCAAATGATTCCAATCTCCCCGTGAATCGCTGCCGTTGTTCAACAAGCCCCAATATGCAAATAGACAAATAATGTGATTTCTAGGCAAATTTATGATTATCATTTATTTTGGGTACATGCACTTATCAAACAGCTAATAGCTAAGCTAATATACATAAAACAATTTTAGTAAAACAGTAGGGTAGCTGTAATAGCTTAATAATAATTAGTTGTACCTTGATACATCATGAAAATTTAAACTACGAATATATGCATAAATATTTTGCTTAGATTAATAAATACTATTGATCATTGACTGGTTATCAATAATAGTCTGGAATTGGGGCACACACGATCCGGACAAAATCTGCATATTTGACATTAGCGTTTGGATTTGCACTGATGTTAGCTTCTCGAAATATTTGATCGACTGCAAGAGAAGGACAATTATTTCAAATTAAATAATAAATTCAGCTACACTTAAACTAATCTAAGGATTACCTTCTCGAGGGCTTAATTTTTCTCCCCAACGTCCCAAAATGTGTTTCAATTCTTTTGCAGGAATTGTCCCTTTACCGGATGGATCTGCTGATTTAAACGCTTCAAGAATCTCATCGGGTATCTTTTCCTTTTGATGATGAGAGTGCATCACGTCCAGAAAATCGGCGAATGACATTTTCCCACCTGAAGTAGTCTAATTATGGACAAAGACCTGAAATTTCTGAATTTTTTTAAACGAACCTTTCTCTTGGAGATACTTTTTCAGCTCTGGCATCGTCGGACTTTCTCCCAGCGAACGCATTATGAGACTCAACTCATCTAGGGTCCGAATCATGCCACCATTTCTGGCGTTGAGGTAAAAGCACTCCCTGAATTCTGGGAAGATAAAATTGTACATAATTTTTATAAATATGTAAAAAAACATGTAATTAAAATCCTTACCATCGATATCTTGTTCACGAAAAAATCTAGCCATTTTTCTCTCAAATAGTGATCACAAAGTCTAGAATAAAGTATAAATATTTGGAGTTATTTCATGATTTTCTGCAGTATTTGAACTATGTACTAAGAATTTTGACCAATGAAGACGTCAATTCTGCTTGTTGATTTTAGAAATAGAGATATTCAAAAGAAGAGACGAGTGAGAAATCAACTCGTCTATAAATGACACGGTCTAATTGCTTTCCTTGCCAATTGAGGTGTCAAAAAAAGAATCACTTACTGTTATTTCCTTTTTGCTAAAACTCTTTTTGATAGTGCTAAAATTGAGTCTATTTCCGTCCAACAGAGATTATACCAAAATTTGTGGAATTACAGTAAATCGGAGCCTGAACTTATTTAATGGAATGGAACTGCTCCCAAAGGTGATGATGATGATATGATGCTTAATTGGTCATGGAATGATTATCTCATGTTTCACACACATATTATCAGGTGTATTGGTGATAAGAATGCAGAATGGCACGTCAGTGATTAGTAAATAGACGATTCGTCAAAGGCATCGTTAATGCCAACGTTAAAATTCACAGCTTACCCGAATTTGATACGATGTAAATGAATCAATTGATTATAGATCAAAATTAGATCTATGTACCTACAGCTGAATGAAATTAAACTCAAAATATTTACCTGAGTCGAACTACTTAAGTAATTAGCTGAACAGGTGTGCTATGTATTTTACTGGTTAGTTTTAGCATAGGTTTAACAGTGAATGAATGAATACAAGTGACCAGACAGGAAGGAAAGGGTTTAAAGCACAGCATGATATGTTATTCATTTTTATGAGGGAATGATATTGCATCCATTGTTGCACTGGGAAGGATTAATAATACACACACACCTTCGGACAACAATGCGGTATAACAGGACAACATAATGTACTATGTAGCACATACATAAGTACATTTCATACATAGAAGATAGTTGATAGGAGATAGATTCATGCAGAATTTATGTACATTTATTAAGCCTGTATTGTAAAGGGGTAATTCGATTTTCTGCAAAAATCTTTGTAATAAGCTGCAAAATTTTGATATCTCATAGTCAAAATTTAACTTGTTGCTTTCTTTCAACCCTATGTCAGATATGTTAGGCACAAACATGCAAGATAGGATGAACAGTGTGTTACGTAGTATAGACAAAAGTCGACTTTGTATGCAATGTTGGTACAAGCCATATGTACGTGCAAGTTCACCCCTTTTTGCATATGTATGCAGTTATGTAAGATGTAAGATGTAAGTGTTGGGCAAGACTTTACAACCAAATTATAAACATAAGGGTTGGTTAACTTCTTAATTTCACTCCTATGTATTTGGCATATTCTAATCCCAGCAGGAAAAAGAATATCTCAAACCATTGCACGGACACTTGCTCAATAATTAAGACAAGGCAACACATACCAAACCGATTATTATTAAATAACTATAAATACACATGATAAAATTATAAAGTGCAAAGTTTCTTGGGATTAGAACAATTCAAACCTCACTTCCGGAATGTGATTTATGTACATTCAGCGTTCATTTCATTGGATTGAGATTGCCTGGGTACATCGTTTGAGTATATAATACCCCGTGCTCATTTATGTAAATGCTTATAATTAAAGCCATACATATATACACATTTCGTTGAATTTAATCATCATAAAGGAAAAATGGACTTGGCCCAGACTGAAATACGTAGTCCACCAGTCGGACTTCACTCTATTTACTTAGCTCGCCCACAAATTGCTTATCAAAGTGTCTCATCAGTGATTAGCTTATGCCATGAACTTGCCAAGTAGTAGGTATTGAAATAAAAATAATATAAGATTACATGTTCTCCAGTTCTGATTGAGACGAGATACACAGACACGGAAGAGTTATTTAATCAAAGGATTTTTATATTTTTTAAAGAAAAAGTGTTCAGTGAAGTTTTTTTTAAAATGGAAACTGGAAATCCAGCTTCAATGACTGACAGAATTTTAAGCTTGATATTATTTATTATCCACGTTGTGGAAGCTTACTTGGAAGCAATTTACAGATTTTTTATCCCAGTTAATCAACGTTCGTTAACTGGAGAGATCATTCTGGTGAGTGAGATGAGACATATTCATGTCCATTAAGTAATCAGTATCATAATTAAAGATTCATAAATTATGTAAATCTACAGGTCACCGGATCTGCAAATGGTTTTGGCAAAGCGATATGCCAGCATTTGTCTCAATTTAAAGTAACTTTGGTCTTATGGGATTGTGACAAATTGGCGAACTACGCTACCACCAAAGAACTCCAACTATTAGAGACGACAAAAGCCAGAATATTTCCCTACCATGTCGATATTTCGTCGAGGGATAATGTCGAAGCTGTTGCGGCAAAAGTGAGTCGTTTAGTTATGCAATATGCAAAATTTAGCATGGCAAATAATTTTTTGTTCTGTCCACAACAGGTCAAAGAAGACGTTGGCGATGTCAGCATTATAATTAACAATGCTGGGATTGCTCCCATCGGGCCGTTTCTCTCGACTGATCCGGATCTTCTCGAAAAAACGTTTCAAGTCAATGTGCTTTCTCATTTTTGGATTTTGCGTGTATTTTTACCACGCATGATAGAGAATCATCATGGTCACATTGCTACAGTGAGTTCCATCGGGGCGTTTAAGCAAGATCCTGGGTGCGTACCGTACTTTGGAACGAAGGCTGCAGTGCATGGATACATTGAAAGTTTAAAGTTACAAATGTCTCAATTGAACGCGCATGGGATCAAGTTCACCACAATTTACCCGTATTTTATGGACACGGGAATGATAAAGGAGGTCAAATATGCAGAAAACTCTAAATTGTAAGGTTGACTAATTACCAATTTTTTTAAGCATAACGATCTAATTAAGTAAACATGTATTATCTAGGATAAGAAAACTTTTGCCAATCATGAACCCTGCGGATGTTGCTGAAAAATTCATCGAAGGAATACGAAGAAATTACGAGTATGTGTACTGCCCATCCTTCATGCCATATCTTTTACCACTTGACAAGTGAGTTTCTAATAAAAAATTGAATTTTGAATTAGCTGAATTATGTAATACCTTAATTAATATTCGATAGGTTCTTGCCACTAAAACTGCGGAGAGAACTTCAAGTATTATTTGACAATCAAATGGAACATCCAGCCTTTCCTAGGCCAAGCAGACATTAACTAAATTGCAAACAGATTCAGAGATATATGACCAGTTATTTTTATAATGTTAAATTTTACCAAACTAGATATTCACAATGTTTTCTAAATTAGCGAAAAACGAATAAAAACCGTATACGGATCGAAAAGTGTAACCTTCTTAACAAAAGTTTTATTTCTCCTGTTTTCATCATTAACACAAGAGATTAAATTACGCTATGAATTCATAGGGGATGGGTTGGAGGAGTTGGGGAGCGTTGCCTTTTGTGCTAACAAAATGTGCTGTTCTTGGCTGTTTAGGCTGAAAAATACAAATCAAAATCAAAATTAATTCACTGTTATTTTATGTTCATAAATACGTATCATTCGATAAGTGATTCTACATAGACAAATTTCTATCTACCTGTCTTTTACAGACGACTCGGATGCCCTTGGTCTTCGCCTCCCTCTTCAGCTTCTCGTTCTCCTGAACTCGGTCCAAAAAGTCTGTTCGGCACTTGGAATGAGTCACGTGCTCAACTCGGACATTAATTCTACACAAAGATGAGAACAACAGTTAAATTAACCAATTCTGCCAGATTAATTATGACATCCATCAAGACAATACGCACCGCTTGGCCAAGATCTTGCCACGGATCTTCTTATTTACGATGACTCCTAGAGCTCGCTTCGTGACATTATAGACGCGGCCCGTCTTGCCGTGATAGTAACGATAGGGCATTCCACTTTGGACAGCTCCATTTCCCTAATTAAATCAAAAAAACACAATATTTAAAATACATGTTGCAAATGCATTTCGACCAACGAAATCACCAATATCACTATACACTTTCTCTCAAAACTGCCACTGATTTCCGCTCACCTTAATGTCTACGATGTCGCCGACCTTATACACTTTCATGTACGTGCCGAGGGGAATGGTACCCTTTTTCCCGAACCGACGGGAAAAAAGGTCTCTCGTACCTCTTCTATATCCTTTAGGATTCGTCATATTGTTGTTGTTACTCTATATGCTCTATTCCTGCAAAACACAATTTACAAAGTTATTATATTATAAGGTCAAAATTATTTTAACTAACAATTAACTTTTTGAAACAAAATTGTATTTATTATTCGTTTTAGACTTACCGAGCTGAGGAGTGAAAAGATCCGACAAAATGTGCTGCACAGGTTGAAATTTAGTGTGGCAATGCGGCCGGTGGTGATCGTGGCGGTGGCAAGAGGGCGACTCTGCGGTGGAAAGGAGAGTTGATGCCGGAAATATGAGACGAAGTCACATTTCCCTGTCTCAAATTCCCATGTTTTTGCACGCACGACGTTTACAGTATTCTTTGTTTTATTCCTATTTTCTAACTTATCGTAAATATGAGATTTTATCAAGGTGATTGATTAGCATATCATGTCACGTGGTGAAAATAAATCTACAAAACAGACACAAATTGTAATGTTGAATTATTATCAAACCCAATTTATTAGGTTAGTGAAAACCTTTATAGACGCGGAATTATAAAACAAAATCAGTCGCAAGCATGGATGTATAGTAAACTTAACAAACGTTAAATTAAATGTTATTATAATATTGAAAGTAATAAGAAGGATTGTCATCGCCTTTAATGCATAAGAAATTATGTACACGTTATTTTTAATTTAATTTAATTTTACTTGCAGAAAAAGTGGCAAATATTTATTGTGCAATGGACCATTTCATTTTATGTTCTCACTATAACGAACATGTACTTACATATTTATAATGGCAATTATTTCAAGTTTCGGAATTCGACTACAAATGTACAACTTGTCCATTTTACGCAGGATGAGCAATTGAAAAATTGGATCTAACCAAATGACACACACACACACATTTATTATAATTTGCGTATACCTACCAACCCTCCATTATTGGCTGGACAATAAAAGCAATTAGTTGCGAGAGCCATTACAAATCGAGATTTATTCATAAAACCGGACTCTTCATTCCTCTTGTACACCATTTGTCTTTCTGACCTATTCTGAGGCTTTTGTTCTTTTTAGGCAAAATTTAATTTGGAATTCCACAGACAAAAAACAGCTCGTAGTAAATAAATAAAAGAGATTTTGCTTGCTTAGTTTTATTCTGCGGTGCGATGAAATCTCATGGTCATTTTGTAAACGGTAAAGGGCGATGATACAAGTGTGAAGGACATACCAATATTTCCATTCCTCATCATGGTCACTATTCTCACTCTGCCTGTGATCTTCTTGAGCATTTCGAATTCTCAGGTTTGACAAAACTTGAACATGTAAGTAATCGTATACATAATGGTTGAACGATTTATTACAGGGCCTCATATTCTCAAAAATTCAAAACATTTGTACCAATGAAGAATATCTTACGCCATACGAGTATCCAATAACTTGCTGCGAAGGGGTCGCACTAACGCCGGGAATATCTTTCGAAAAATTTTGGACAAGCTGTGCAACTCCGGACGATTCGGAACAATATATAAATGAAACTTTGGTAAGTACGAAGTGTAGTCAAACTTGTGAGGTTAATTTTTTCATAAGAAAAATTTCGACTTTTGAATGCACAGTGGAGAGTTTACAATTGCATTGTTCAAAAGCACTTAGAAGAATCTGGCAAGAATAATTTAACGCTCGAGAATTTTGCCCATATTATGACCATGCACTATCCAGCAGAAAAAAGAATTGCCATCTTTGACAGAATCTGCAAAAGCTCTGAATTGGCATATGGTATTATTATTATTAGGACATTACTATAAATTAATGGAGTGCTTGTTAATCATTGTTATTAAATATTTTTCCTAGCTAACGGTGGCAATCTTGAAGTGTTAAAAGGGATAAGACGAAAGTATTATGAAATCGAGTTACAAGTGAGTATTTTATAATTTTTGTGAGATTGTGCCATGTGCAGTAAAATATTTGTTTCGCAGGTGTGCGCAAAAAGTAATGCGGTCAGTTACGGCAAAAAGGTACGTAAATAAATGGATGGATGTTAGTATTTACTTATTTCTAGCTTAATTATAGTGATGGTGATCAATTTGATCGTTTTTACAACTACGTAAGGTCCTGAATTTTACTTAGTTACGTGTGTATATACACACGTAACTAACAAGGGACACTCACGACCTGTCGTTTGAGTCCAGGGTACCCACTATGTTTTTTAGAATCTACTAGGACCCCAGATGAAGGATTCATTCTTATTTCCGTGTAAAACTCATATTTGGCGCCATGGCGTGGCGCCAAATTCGCCAAATTTGATGGTTTTTCATTTTAAAACCGCCATAACTTTTGAAATCCTGGACGGATTTTCAAAATTTTTGGCAAAAATCATGACAAGGAGTTCAACTTTGGTATTCTATGAAATTTTTTCCAAAATTATCACTTTTAACTTTTCACAAAATTTCGAAATTTCGGGTTAGTCGAAAAAATGCTAAAATTATCTCAAAAATTAGAAATTTTGTATTTTTATTTTTTTCTCAAAAATTTCGACTTTTCTGATCATTTTAAGCTTAAAACTTGAAAATCCGACATAAACTGCAAAAGTTATGGGGGTTTGAAATTGGTCGAAAATGCAAATTTTTAAGTTTGGCGCCACGCCATTGGGCCAAATATGAGTTTTACACGGAAATAAGAATGAATCCTTTATCAGGGGTCCCAGTAGATTCTAAAAAACATAGTGGGTACCCTGGACTCAAACGACAGGTCGTGAGTGTCCCTTGTAAGTAAAATTCAGGACCTTGGTATTCATGTAGATGATGGTATTTCCGTCGTATGAAAAATTCTACATGCGAGGAGGACAATGTCTCAATTCTGAAATTCCAATTGATCCAACATACTATCCGAGGGCGTCTGAAAAAGATGTACTTGACACGTGGAAAACACTTCTTGAAATTGTGAGCGAAAATGATAACGACAAAACTAAAGGATGTGATATTCAAAAAGTGGTAATACTTTATTTTTTAACTAAAATAGATAAATAGTTTACTAAAACGTTGCTTTATATCAAGTGCGACTTGTACTCTGGTTGGATTTCAAACGAAATTGCAACCACGGATGAAATATTTGCGACTCCGGATTTTCGTAAAATGTTTAATCAAATAAAACCATCTTGGGCGAATAAAAATGTTACGGAAATACTTCAAATGAAACTGGATGAATATTGGATTACTGCATTCTCCGGCTACAATACTGCAGATTTTCGAATTTTAAGCGGATCAATGAAACGAAAAGAGCTAGAAAATCGTGCAATCAAAGAAGCTGAAAAGTATTTTGATGCCAAGCTAAAATTTGGTAGGTTAATTATTAGCTAAGCAGGTTTTTTTTAAACATATTTACGCCACATTTACTTATTTGCATATTTACATATTTACATATTTAAACATGCTTATAAATTTTAGAATTTTTTGGTACCCGGGATGAACCTAAAGCTAAAGCAATGATGATTTCATGCATGATTCCAAACTTTATGAAATCTTCCATGTCAGAGTCTTTCACTTATTTGGTGAGTTTTTATCAATGCATATCCAATTAACGAATAATATGAAATATGACAATAATTTCCAGTTTTGCCGAAGATCTTCTTTAAGAAATTGAGGTAGTCGCCGCAGTCATCGATTCCAGAAATCTATCAAAAATGACCCGATAACATAATCAATTTATATGTCGTACTGGATGCATAATAAATTACTAATTATGAAAATAAAATTTATTAATTCATTGGTAATTATTATCCATTCAAGCACCATTAGTATTAATTGTATTAAATTATACTCATTTCAAGCTTGTAATGGAAGTAGGAGGGTTGTGTCTTAATTTCAAGATTTATGTACATATGTCTCATCAAGAACTATATCAATTAAAATTTCACTCTGTAGTGCAGTTGTATGTATATACAATTAGCTAAAGTTTTGCAGTGGTGCATCCCTGAAAAACTATTAAAAATCATGGATCCGAAATTTTGGTTGTATCTTTCTCTCTTCATCTCAAGTTTAATCTGTCAGTTGCAAACTTTCATTGTTCACACGATTAAAACACTTCCTCGAGACTTAACGTAAGACAGCTTATATTTTAATGTAGTTTCTATCAACTTATTGATTTGTACATGTAATCACAGGGCTTTGTACCGAATTCACAAAGTGAAACTTTGGTTGACTTGGTTCAAACTGAGAAATGTGACAGTGGGTCAATTATTCGATGACGTAGTGAAAGAATGTCCAGACAAAATTTGCTTCTATTTCGAAGCAGAGAAATGGACATTTTCTCAGGTTTTAGATTTTGAACAATATTTTATTTTACGCATGCTCAGGAATTATGCACATATTCAAAACACTTCTAGGTTCAAGAATATTCTTATAAAGTTCAAGCATACTTTTTGGAAAAGGGATTTCAAAAAGGTGACTGCATCGCTTTGATGATGTCAAATAGACCTGAGTTTGTCTGTCTGTGGTTAGGATTGAGCAGAGTAGGGCTCTAAATTATAGTTTAATTTGCAAGTAATAACAAAAATTAAACAATTAAACATAAATACGATAGATTGGAGTAATCACGAGCTGGATCAATGTCAATTTGAAACAAGACTCTCTCATCCACTGCTTAAAAATTGGAAATACAAGGGCAGCAATCATCGGGGAGGAATTCTTCAAAGGTTCATGAATATTTTACGGCGATATCTGAATAAGTATATTTGTCAGATATGAATAAGTTTCACTCTTGTTTTCTAGATATTTCAGCAATCTATCCAACCACAACTAATTTCCTTCCAGATAACTTTGTATGGTTTATGTTCAACAAGTTGAAACCGTCATCAAAGACTAATAAGAAACCAATTTCTCCCCGTATCATCAAAACCACGCCAAAAAATCTAAACGAAATTTCTCAACTAGAGGATAATACCACTCCCACAAATAAGTTTTGTCCAATACATTTGCTACCCGAACTGGTGGAGATTTGCTATAAAAAGCCCTCTTATAAAAAGAAAGTTCACTTTGACGATGTGCTATGTTACGTTTTTACATCTGGCACTACAGGTTTGGCGAAGGCGGCTTTGATGACCCATTCAAGGTATGCGGCATAAATACATTTCAATCATGAAATAAAATTAGAAAAATTTACCATTATCTTTCAGAATGATTGCAATGGTATATGGTCCAAATTATATGATCGGCTTACAGAGCGAAGATATCCTTTACACGCCTCTTCCTCTGTACCACGTTCAAGGAGGGATTTGTGGCGTTGGGCAAGCACTTCTATTCGGACTGAGTCAAGTTATGGTCCCAAAATTTTCAGTTTCGCGATTTTGGCAAGACTGTGTCAAGCATAATGCAACCGTTGCTCAATATTTGGGAGAAGTTTGTCGATATCTTTTAAAACATTCTTCCCCTCTTGAGAGAGCGCATTCGGTCAAAATTTTGTTTGGAAATGGAATGAAAACCGACATTTGGAAGACATTCTTGAATAGATTTAATTATCCGGTGATTGCAGAATTGTACGGAGCTTCGGAAGGAAATTGTCAGCTGGGTATGACGACTTATCTTTATTACTTATCAGAACGACTTATTCGAATAAATTTGCATATCAAACATGTTTTGTGTTTAGGAAATTTTGAAGGAGTTATTGGATCATGTGGGTCAAGTCTGTTTGGGCTTATGGGTCACCTCTTCCCCCCTGCCATAGAATTATTCAAAGTTGACCAGGACACTGGTGACCTGCTTCGAGATCCTGACACCGGATTAGCCCTGCCTTGCGAAGTGAACGAGCATGGGGAATTATTGGGACTGATTTCGGACGGACCATTACGTGAATTTCTTGGGTACACTGATCATGAAGCCACAAAGGACAAGGTTGCTTTCGATATAAAGTGCAGTGGAGATCGGTATTTCAGAAGTGGTAAGAAGATGAACTGAACACAATGGAATTTCAGTATAATTAAGACATGTGCCATGTTCAGGAGACATTATGTATCTGGATAATCTCAATTATTTCCACTTTGTCGATCGACTGGGTTCATCGTTTCGTTGGAAGGGAGAAAATGTGTCGTCGGAAGAAGTCACGATTGGTCTCGGTCGAATTGTGGGATTGGACAAGGACATTGTCACATTTGGAGTCTCGATACCGCATACTGGTCAATTGTCTAAATTATTAAAATTATGAAAAAAAAATATTAAAAACCCTAAATATCGCATAGATGGAAATGCTGGGATGACAGTGATTGCCGTGAATTCGATCGATCAGAAGAAGATATCGGATCTAGTTACGCGTATAAATTCTCGTGTGAATGAAGTCCTGCCGTCATATGCGAGACCAATTTTCATCCGCTTTGTTGGTGACATTGACGCAACAGGTGTGGTGCAAATAAATATTAGATAAGTAAATAAATTATGGTTCATCATTATTCATTTATTCATTTTTTTTACTTCCTTTTCACCTTCAGGAACTTATAAACTGCAGAAATTGGCGTTACAAAAGGATGGTTATGAAATTTCAAGTATTGCAGACCCATTGTACTTCTTTTCAGAGGGGAAATATACAGAATTTACAAAAGAATTGTATGAAAAAGTGATGCATGGAATGTTAAGATTCTAATTCTGCATGGTTTGTATACATGTTTGATTGATTATCATCATTTGATACTGGTATTTAACTCTGCAACTATTATCTTAAGCATATTCTATGATTATGCATTGTTATCAAATATGCAGGTTTAATCTTTAACTCGTTATTGTCTCTGGTAATCTTAAATCATTTGTTCTACTCACAACTATCTAATCTGCGCCTGATAATGTTATTTGAAAGCTTAACCAAAAAATTAAAACATTAACTCTGGATTCGACAGTTGTCACTTATTATTTATTTCTGAATAAACTGTGAAAAGTGAAAACATGAAACTGTCAATATTACTCATTTTGTTCATAACGACTTGTTGGATTAAGGTAAAACAAATTTTATGTAAATAACACTGCTGTATCGTACTTATCAAAATAATGTATTTTATACATAGGACACAACCCAGCAGTCATACCCACCTGGGAAGGAAACTCTTTATTATGGATTCTTCTTCGACGAAATTGTCGCAACTTCCCTTAAAAACGTGACAGAAACTTACTTTGCTGCTTGCGTCGACAAAATCCCAGAGTTTAAAGAGTTTATGGAATCAGTAATTCAAAACACAAGTGTGACCGATATTTACAAATACTTTGTCAAACCATTGGATCCGAACGAACTAATCTTCGACCCCTTTTACCACGTCACAGCAAAATATTGTGGGGACGATGATTGTTCTCAGTACAAAAGTCTTGTCGAGTCTCATTTGAATCATAACTTTGAAATGCAACTTGTCGGCTATTACATGACTCGTCGAACATTTGGTGTGAGGGTTAATCTGACGTTGGAACAGGAAGACGTGTATGATAACTATGGTACGAAAAGGACGGAATATTTCGAATTGACGCGAGGAATTAGAGGTAACTTTTTAATTATCTAACATTTAACCTATCAGTAGTTCTAGTATGCATTAATTAATTAATTAATTAAATCTTACAGTACCAAACCGCCCTTCAGCCTTACCAGGAATAAGATTGGAGAATATCCCACCCCCAATCGATTTCAATCCCACCAACAACATAGCTCATATCACGCTTGGCGTTGCCCCAAAAATCTCCGTATGTAATCTAACCGTATTTTTTCAATGTGACCATAATGAACTTTTGTTGTACTATTACTAACATTTTTACACTTTTTTCAGGCTGTCACGACTGGAACAGATCTGAGGGAAATACTTGTTTTTGAGAAAAATGCAAGCTTTCCTGCCAACCGTTTTCCTATCGAAATGGACAAGGAAGGAGATTTGCAAGGAACGACTGCAACTGTGGTCCAGTACGCGGGGGGTGAAGAATTTGGGGACGCCTTTGTTGTCTATCCTTCCGTAAAAGTTTTAGCAAATGCAAACTTTGAAGCTTATTTGAAACCCAGGTCGTCGTCGTCGTCTGTGCTAACTGCCTCGTCTTTAATGTTTTTGATGACTTTATGTACTTTAGTCTAATGGTAGATAGTGGTTTTTACTGGGGGGGATATTTACTAATTAGTAAGCACTTTAAGAATAATGCTGGATTTGAAATTTTAATTAAGTATGAAGGCTATTTATTGGCATCAACTATCAACTACATAAAAATCTGCCAATAAAAACTTTGGTCACCAAATATTTGACAAAATATCATTCTTTATCGTCTTGTCTTTCTATTTCTATTGTAAAATTGAGACTGTTCAGTTCACACTGTGAACTGAACTGACAACTAAATGCATGCTGATGAACTGTGAACTTCACAGTTCATCAGCATGCATACATTTTTAGTTGTCAGTCTCAAGTCTCAACTAGCTCAGTGTTTGCTGAAAATAACTGAATGCTAAAAATCCAGATGAGCATTTGAGCAGGCTTATTTGTTTGTTGTGGTTTGAAATAACTAGTAAAATTTTTGACAAATCGGATACCATCAATTTCTCTTCGATTTCATTCACTAATTGCCCTTGTGCTACTATATTTCGGAAGGTATCCTCTTTTATTATTAAAGTGTTTTAATTATTCGAGATATACTTACTAATTTCCTAATTTAGATTGTTTCTGCTATAAATAGTTCAATACGATCATGTCACTTCCTATGGAAGAAGATAACTACGATCAACGCAGGGTATTGAGTGCAATCCAACCATTCAGAAATAATATGACTATCGGTTGTACCGGTTTCTCAGAAGAAAAACAGGAACAAACCAACCTTCTGGAGGAAATTGATAGTAAGTAACGTTTAATATATTCGAATTATCATATATTAATATATTTCATCAATAGAACAAGTAATGGTGCTACTTCGAGATGGGACAACAATGTTTGGAAAACTTCGATCCATCGACGAATTTTCAAATATCATCCTCACTCAAGCCATCGAAAGGATTTATGTAGGGAACAAATATGGCGACATTCCACGCGGGGTGTTTATCATCCGGGGAGATAACTTGGCTCTGGTTGGCGAAGTGGTAATAATAAATTAATTCTGATTTTAAATGCGACTCATTTAATAATCTGATTACATTATCTTATTTCGTTCAGGGCGAACCTAAAGAGAAAATCTTGAATTTACAAGAGGTCTCAGTCGATGAAATTCTCTGCTTACAGAAAAACATTCTGGAAGATTTCGAAGATAAAGAACAACAGCGAACGGAGGCTTTAAAGCAACAAGGACTTCACCATCCACGCCGCAACAAAAACCAAGCATGGTCTGAAGAACTAAAAGCATTCCGCCTGGGCGAAGATCAGTTCGAGTAAAAAGTAGGATAATTTCAGACGTTGAACGAATAATGAATAATGGACGTATACAAACCATTACTTTATATTTATAACATTAACTAGTTAAACCCCTTCAAAATAAACTTTGGGAGACTTGACACATTCATAGCTCAAAACTGTTTTTCTCTTCCTGCACGTTGCCAAAAATTAATTATCTTTCAAACAAACAAACATGGTCGAGAGTAAACTTGTTCGAATTTTAAACTAACTAACCTGTATTTTATATTTTTAACCGGTGCAGATATGCAAGCAGGATTTATTACGATACTCACATGTCCAATGGGGTGATTCTTGCAGTGAAAAGTAATTTAGTTTTATCGGTCGCAATGTCTTGTGTGGGTTCGTTATGAGTCTGGGCATCATTCTACAAAAACAATAAGTTGCTTATGTCTATCTATATATTTTCCATTTCACAATTTGTGCCAGATCTGGGACCAATCATCCCTAATGATGACGGTTATATTGTCGCTGGAACTATTGAAGAGGAGACAACTGCTCAAGCTAATGGCTTTTTTACCTTTAAGCAAATGTGAACAAGAGAACAGCTAAACTACATTTACACATCTATTTTAGTCCCTACATAAGTTCAAGTTACGAAAAAAATCTACATGACATTTGTGCTTTTTTGTGTGATGCATGGCACACCACAGTTACAAAAGCATATTACAAAGAAGTCTGAGGCTACGACATGACGAAATCTTATCTGTAATTCTCATCTTGCTGGCAAATGTGTAATGACCAAATAATCTCACCTTGCCTCTTCTTACTGTTCTAAATACATTCACATCCACGATGCTGTTAATCCTAATCCTGAGTGAGATTTTGCCTTACTCCAATCCTTTATAAATATGCTGATGAACCTCCAAGCTGGCTGATAACTTCATCTCATCCGAACTCTGCGATAATTGTCAGACCAGAATCATGTCGAGTAAGACGTTTCGTTCGAGTAGAAATCTGTACAGTGATTGACACCACATTCCGCTAGCAGGGGGGTACCTTTCATTGACTTCCTCATCTTTATTACGAGTACGTATGTACATCTGCACGCTAACATTTTCCGCACTCATCTCATCTCATCATGACTGCCTGACAATGAGAATAAGCAACCTCCAGGAAATCACGTCCTACTCAACCAAAAGTCCTGATTTATTAAGCACTTTTGGTGCCAAGTAATTCCTTCTTATATAACAAACGAAGACAACTGCAATTTCACAGCCGTTCGTTTCAGACACTGAAAGAAATAACAAAGGATTCGAACGAGCAAGGCAGAGTAATTTTGTGTTTAAACCAAAAAGTGTGTTACTTACATAGTATTTTAAATTAAACTCTTTAATGCCATGATGAGTCCATACTTTTACACACAAGACGCTCATCATCACTCTTGTTGCCTATTTTTATACCACACATTAACCCTTCTTCTCCTCCTTCTCATCTACATATGTAAATATGCGTTTGGTTATGCTTATCTAAATTCATTACTCTTTGTCATTATTCTTTTTCGCATGGTGAGGACGCTGAGTAAGTAGGAAGGATGTGAAGGAGGTGTGTTCCCTTGTCGTGGATGAGTGTCATCTCATCCTATTTCTGGAGATTCAACCAGATTCATATACACTTTAGCACCACTAAAATACTCACCTTCCACTCATAGATACGTACATACATAAACTATTAAAAACTTTAGCTACTCCAACTTAGTAAGTTTTCTCCCGAGCAGTAGTGGATAGATTTATGACATGACATGACCATAGGGTTAACGGTGCAGTGCATAGCGTCATGCGTGGGTTTGAGTGTTTTATTATGAGATCTTTTTACAACTTAAATACGCTTAACGGTTTATTTCTTTCTTTCTTTTTCTTACTCAGGTTTCATTTTTTTCTCTGGTCTGACATAGTTCAAAATACGTCTACCGTGTTATCATCCTTCCTCCGTAGTAAAAAAATTGTTCCTCTATCATCTTATCAAAAGGGACAGGAATTAAATCCGCATCACCGCTCCACCAGACAAGCTCTGGACTGTGACGATGACGATGCGCCCACTTTTTCCACCGTTTGATTCTGATACCGACTGACTTTCCGTAAGATCCGCTTGTCGGAACAATGAAAGAGATGAGAGATGCGAGTGGAATGATGTATTTTTAAAAAGAGCTGGATTTTACAGCTAAATTAAATTAATTTGACGTTCCGGTGCTGGAATTTCAATAGCATATTTTTATCCTGAGCTATTTCGTGAGAACGTCTACGTCTACGACACCTATCACTTCTATTATCCAACAACTTTAACATTATATAGCGAACGAGGGAAACAATAATAGTGGATGAGTATATACTGAATTATATAAGATCGTCGTCGTGGTGTGTTCGAGATTTTTTTTTCAGCCAACACAAGAGATTACGCCAACCAGAAAAGCAAAGCAGCACCGAGCGACACGGAGGGAGAGAATGACGACGATGAGTCAACCCATCACATATTTTTACGTACATTCGTATACTCCAGTCGTGTCTTCAGAAATAGTCTCGTGAGTTTCGAACTTTACTCGAACTGCACTGGGTCGTCGTGGGTAAAATAAACGCCGAGATGAGATGAACGGGAGTACGAAAGTATGTATGGATTCAGTGATAGATTCCCCGTTTGTGGGGAAGCATCGCAGCAAGATTGCCTCGTAGTTTGTGACTTGAGATTTAATACATAAGTTGGTCAATTATTTAAAAGTTAATTTTTGTTATAAAATAAAATTCTGTAGGAATATTAAGCCTGCTTTTTTTGAGAAATCAATCGTCCTTTTTTCCACCTGGAGGAAATCCACCCGTGGTTCGAGAACCAAGTCATCACTTATTTATGACTTGATTAATATCGAGTATGAAAATCATTCTGGCTAGATTTTCTTCAACCCTGCCAATGCCGATTGCGAGTATGAGTACTCTGACAATTCCTAAGCCATTGCCACACACAACTCATCTTTTTGGATTCATTGACATTTATACAATGTTTATAGTTAGTTGCATTTTTGTCCCTTCCGTTTTTCGATTTTGGTCTTAGAACAACATTTTTTTTAAGAGTAGAGTTTTGACGTTTGGAGATTTTCAGACGTTTGCATGCAACATATTTACATAGATAGTTGTCGTATGTAATGGAAATACAGAGTGGATTTTGTATGAATTTTGCACTCAAATTGCATGTGCTTTTCCCTTGCTCAACATTGCATTACACATTATCATTTTATTTTCTTTGTTTTAAATAAAAATTTCATATTATGTAATTTCATTTATAACTGATTCTGCTAATTTTCAGCTGAAAATTTCAACGAAAATCAAGCAAAGAGAAATTAATAGTTACAATGGAGCTCAATCTCCGGACCACAACGGATTGGAAAAATTTTGGAAATAAGCAATTTGTCCTGAAAAGGTACGGTGACGCTTTGAAAGCGTACAATGTCGGACTGACGCTCTGCAACAATGAAGACCTCGATCTCTTAACCAACCGAGCAGCTGCTTATCTGAATCTGGAACATTTCAATAAAGCTCTCGAAGACACGAATCGTGTCCTGAGTTCGCAACCAAATCATCCCAAAGCCATTTACCGGAAGGCGAAGGCGTTATGTGGACTTTCAAAGTGTGAGGAAGCCATACAATTTTTGAAATCGGCAATATCCAGACAAAACAATAAGAAGCCGAGTAAGGAGCTCTCCGATCTGTTGGAGAAAGCTGAAATTATGAGAGAACAACAGATCACTTTGGAATACGATGTTACAGAGCATTTCACCAACTACTTCTTCAGAATTGACAACTGGTAAAATTATTTCCGAGGCTTTGAGACTTGTTTCAGGCAGCGTATAAAAATTTAAACCCTTTTGAATTAACAGGTCCGAATATTATGGACCGGTTGAGGTGCAAGTTATTCCAGGCAAAGGAAGAGGTCTTGTCGCCACGGAAGACATTGCAGAAGGTAAACTAATATTTTGCTCGAGAGCATTCGCAATCGAATTTCATGATCCAGAAAGCGATTCGGAAACTGCTGAAGATTTTATTAAAAATGATAAAGGTGAAAAAAACATTTCAAATTTAAACGAATTTAAAAAATCAGTAAGAATTAAACCTTGTGCTGATAACGCTGTAGAAATCACGTCCTTGCATGACGACAGAACCTGCCTCTTGATTCAAAAGATTTACGATAGGATACAACAAGATCCTGAACTTGGGAAGAATATCTACCAATTATTTGCTGGTAATTTGATTCAATATTAAAAAAAACTCTGCACATTGAATTTGAAATGATATTTCGTGTCCCTTTTCTCAGGACCTAATCTCGAAAGACTCGACCCATCCAAAGATGACTGCTCCATCCCAGACGCTCGACGAATATCCGGCATCATCCGATACAACTGTTTCGCCAACAGTGATGATAACACTGACGCTGAAAAATCCAGTGGAATCTGGACCCTCCCATCATTCTTTAACCATCGCTGCATCGGACAAAACTGCACTTGGAAAATCTTTGGAAATTTTATCATGATCCGTGCTTGTCGATTGATAAGAAAAGGAGAAGAGCTTCAAATATCGTACGCTAGTCCAACATGGACATACAAAGTCCGCCAAGGCCTACTAATAGACCGCTTGGGTTTCCGGTGTGACTGCGAACTTTGTGTTTCAGATCGATCACTGCCCAAAGAAGTGATCGTTGTACGAGAAAGACTTCAAAATTTGGCTTTGAAACAGTCGGTAGATTTTGTGGGGCTGAATCCTGACGCTGATCCAGCCCTGATTTATAAAAAGTTTCAAGAGTCCAGTTCACTCCTCATCGAGATTTTGCAAAGACTGGAAGACATGCATCCAAATCATGGGATGCTGAACGTGCTCATTCTCGACTGTCTGCAACAACTGGGTATTTTTCACAAACAATGGTCACTAATTAATTAATTGTAAGCATCACAATTATATTCTCACAATAGGTATGAAATACTTCGGGGTTGGTGAGTATGAAAAGGCTGCAAACTACATGCAGAGGTACGAATAAATAAACACCACAATTTTAATATCGTGTTTAATATTGCAATTGCATGTGTATTGCAATTTTTATGCATTTTATTTGTATTACTCAGAGCTCATGCCATAATGAAAGCGGTTGTACTTCCGCATGGAGCAGTGGAAACGGGGCTTTGGATTGTAGGGTCTTATTTGCAAATGGGGGACATCAAAAAGGCGAAACATTTTATCCAAGTACTGAAAAAGGACGCGATGCTAGCTCACGGGACGCTTAAGACGCTCAAAATGCTCGGCGAATGGGTAATTGTCGCGATGGAAGAACATAACATCCCACTTTGACCGTTCTTCAGAGACGAGTTCAGTCGTATTTATGGTGATAATATGCACCAACAAGATAATTAACTTAATTTTAGGAGAAACCCTTTATTCCACTTTTGTAACATGAAAGAAAACCTGTAATATCATAGAAGTACAAATAAATACGTTGTGAAAATGTCACAAATTACAGTGGGGAGGATAAAGCTTTTGCTGATAAAAGGTGTTGAGATATTCCACTCTACTCCGAAGCGAAGGGGCAATTTTCTTCGGGGGGTGACGAAACGGTTCCAGGTGTTGACGATTCCACCATGCGTTTTCTAGCTGACACTCCTCGCATGAGCCTTCGTGATCCTCAGCATGATTTTGACGGCCACGACGTCGACCTCGTTTTCGCGAAGACGATTTTTTATTTGGGTGGACGTTTTGGTCGTGACTTTTCATTATTTGCTGTTTTTGCTGTTTTTGACGCCCTTTTGAAGTAGATTTACTTCGAGACCTTGGCTGCTTTGCAGCTGGGGAAGTTCGATCTCTAGGTCGGCCAGGTCGTGATCTGTTACCGTTAACGTTACCATTACGTTGTGGTGAATTTTTTGACAGAGGAATTTTGGCAGCAGGTGGTCCTTGTCTTTTAGACCTTGAAAACTTAGTTGGTGACAGGGAATTTGCTCTAGATTTCATAATTGGATTATTTTTGGGGGATGAGTTTGTAGATTTCTGAACAGTTGTGGTTTTCTTTGTAGAAACAGATCTCAATTTTGATGCATTTCTGGAATCCTTGCTTTTACTCACGTTATTTCTCCGTACACTATTCGGAGGGGACTTATTGTTTCTGGAAACATTAAGTTTCTTATATTTAATATGACTGAATTTGTCTTTGGTACGAGGACTTCTCTTCTTATTCGGAGACTTAGATTTTGGAATTAATTTTTTAAGTGTCCCTTTTCCCTTGGACTTTGGTTTAACACTCGAAATTTTTGAAGCCATTGAGCTGAAAAGTGTGTTTAGCATTCCGGAATGTTTACTTGCATTTTTGGATGTCAATTTTGTTCGTGCTTTGGGTGACATGCTTTTACTTGGCAAAGATTTTGGGGCTGTAGGTTTCGACTTTTGAGCCGGCAGTGATCTCGTAGCACGAGGAGATTTAGATTTTACTAAACTTTTTGATTTGGTTGACTTTTTTGGTGGCGTCTTTTTAGGAGACGACTCAAGTTTTTGATACGCTACATTTTTATAACGTGTGTTTTTACCCACAATTTTTGTGGCTTTTGATGATTTCGATCTTGATTTTGACCTTAATTTCGACCTGGCTTTTGAAATGGATTTTTTCGCACAAGACGAGCAACTACACATTCGGCTGCAACAAATCTCTATTAAATCTCGATCTTCGTCACTGTCTCCGTCGCTGTCACTGATACAAACCAATCATTGACCATTATTGACCTTTCTAGTAGCTAAAATCCAGACAAGTACTTACAATTCTTCACTGAATTCAGACAACTCTTCGTAATTGATTCGTTTCATGCAAGCCAAGCATTTCTGTCCCATATCAGCAAAGCATTCCTTACAGTACACCGTGTGGCAGTTTGGACATTCTACGAAATACTCAAAATCCTCCAACTCTCCTGGTCGTCCGCACAGGAAGCACTTTTTTGTGTGAGTTTTAAAAAAGCGTTTACAGAACGGAATTCTTGGAACCAAAAAGGGGAAAAAATTGCATAAGCACTTGACAAGCAACATTGACAAGTCGTACATAAATAACGTACGTGTGAAATATTCTGTCCATTAAACTGACTCGATACACGGATCGGTCCCCCTTGACTTGAGCTTTGATTTGACTTCTCGCAAAATCCAGAAAGTTGTCCCTTGTGCTGAGAATGTGTTGATAAAGCCACGTTTCCCTCTGTACGACACGTTTTTCATAAATCCATCCACAAATTATGTGTCGAAGTCGAAGTCCGTACGGCTCCATTGCAGCAATAAAGAAACAGAGGAGCAGCAGGGACACTGGATTTCAAGCATGAATATGCTTATCGAACGATATTTGCATAAGTACCAATACATTGCTCAGTGTCTCTTACGGATTAAAGCGTATTGCAAGTAATTTGGCGTGTGTGCGACTGGGAGGCATTTTGTGGTGTCGAATGAAGGCAACAAACCACCCATTGGGCTTAATCCTTTCAAAATTGTGCGATACATTTCCGCTATAAAACCTTCCCCTTCGATTGTAAATGCGAATCCGAGAGCCTCTAATAGTGTAATATATACGTAATATTTAGCTAAAAATTTATTGATTGTCCTAAGAAATCCCAACCTTTCGTGTCCAACTTAACGCTACCGTATTCTCGGATAAGCTCCAGAAAACTGTAGAGCAAATAGTCCATCAAAATATAGTTGCAAATTTGTACGGCTGCAATTGAGACGAATATAAATGCTAGCTGTCTATGTCTCATTTCTTCCTTGATTAATGTCCATGAGAATGTCTAATGATGTTGAAAGTATAACAATTAAATCGCATTGTGTAGAAGCCAAGCATTTTCTAATTATTAAATAGTCATACAAACCTGCACGTAGATTTTACACTCGCGATATCTCAATGGAAAAATGGACGCTTTTCCTATCTTTTTCCTCCTCAAGTCCATTCGAATCATGGCTTTGCTCAGATAGTAATTGTCATATTCGTCACTATTCAGGTATTTGTAGCGGTAGGTGAATGCCCTGATGAATTAACAATGAGCAAAAGTAAGTCGTATTTAAGAGACAGATTTCTTTTATCTAAATTTACTTCCAAATGACGAGCAGCATAAAGCCAGAGATGGCAAGATCCATCCAATCGACATAGTCCAAGAACCAGGAGACATGCCCCATAATCTCGGCTTTCATATTTCTTGCAATTTCACCCAAAGTTTTGTCCTGGGTCAATTCATGTCTAAATTCATACGTGAAGTTGAGTGGTTTGAGGTCAAAGAATCTTGAAAAACTGTTGGCAAATGTTTTAAAATCTGCAAAAAAGTGAGAAAAATGGTAGCAAATGTATTTTCCAAATATTTATGAATTGGGTTATAATGTTTGTAAAGTTATACGTTCTTTCAACGGCTCAAATATATGTTCCTTAATTAGAGACGGAACCCAGCAAAATATCGCACTTGGAATTTTGGCAAATTGGCAAAAATGTCGAAAGACATCCAAAGGGGAGCACATCCAACTAAAAGTTTTTCCCATTTCTCGTGTGCACTCACGAGACGCTTCGTCAAAAGCGGTCATGCAACGGTCGAAAGGTGTCCCCACCTTGGAGTTGCACATATCAGCCACATTTTTCAAGAGGGCGTACGCTCTTTTAATTATGTTTACTAAAATCGAAATCGAAAAAGTTAGGCGCATATTTAGGTAAATAAAACACAAGGATAGAATTACACACTTATGTCATAAATGACATCGACAACTCCAGAAAGTTCCTTCCGCATCCGGCCCACAACACCCCCCAAAGACTCGATAATAACTGACACTGCAGTCTTCAGTGCGGACCATGGCGCTGTGGCGAGTGAAACGAGTTCCTGTGTCGACTCTTTGACCATTTCCTGCATATCACAATTTATTGTTAACGCCCCCAAACTTCGAAATTTAGAACGCTGGAAATAAACATTTTTAAATACCTGACCGCAAACCAAGCTTTCCGTTAAAACTTCCATATTCATCGCTGTATTTTTACCAGGTCCAGACAACGCTAAAACGAATAAATACCCAAGCAAGGCAGCCCTCCCTTTCGAATTGAAAAATTGTGGAATCGTCAAAATAAAAAGGCATCTTGCCGTGTCCGAAAATGTCAGTCCGAACGTTAGCACAATGCCAAACACGACAAAAAACCAGTAAACTACTGCAGCATGAAAGTTTAATTGAGAAGTCATAAAGTCCAGCATCAATTTGGAGAAAATTATTCCAACTGAAAAATGGCATTGATTCTTACAGATATTCGTGCGAATATTTGCGAAATATTCAATTTTGACAAATACTACTACACACCCACAAAGCCAACGATTGCCTTCAAAATTTCATTCGGCAACGTCCCCTTCATCCACAATTTGCTCCATGATGACGGCAACCCTCCGGCGCGTGGTTTACAGCATCTGCAACAAGTATTTAACGCGAGAATTTTTAATTTCCCCCCGATCCATCGGAATGGTCGTTCCCACAACGGATAGATTGGAGGAAGTCCAATTGCTTCTCGGTATGCATTTTTCTTGGCTCTTTTCAACCTGGTGTAGGCTCTCCGGACTTTGATTGCTTTCCAAAAAATTAAACACCACGCCATATTGTACCAGAGATTGGCAATAATTTAAGCACGGCTATTTTTTTATCGTGCAAATTTATGTACATACTTCTTGTCCTGTAACAGTATTAACCCATGGCTACATTAAACCCATACTTAACATTTATAATCGATTTATGCATGAAACCCAACCCACCCACCGCGATTAAATTTTACATTTTGGCACACAATTTAACGTACTTTATGCACTTTCTTCTACGTGATGCACTATTACATAATTTATTATTAATTATTGCGCCAGTGGGACATGCATTACAAAAAAAAACCTGTAAATCGTGTAATGAAAAAAATGACGACTCGACAATGGGACGCACGCATTAGACAACATCATTTCATTGTGCTCGCATTTACTTTTTGTTTTCTGTCCACAACACGACGAAGTACGATTGGCATTACAAATTTAACGCAACCGATTTTTATTTTTACAATAAACACTCACTAAAAAAAGATAACTGTGCAGCTAATAGTAGGAGCCACACCACAACAAAAAGTACATCAATGACCATTCACCATTGCATTGGCACTGTGACTGACTGACTGCTGCATACAGTAGGAAATGCATAAGATGATCGTCGATACAGATTCTAATCATGCGATTCGCTACCACTGCCAATAATATAGTTCAGTTCATTGTTTTACTTGTTGCAAATTCATGCGAAAAGATATCCGCCCATCCCAAAAAAAGTTTTATAAGAGTTTGCAGACCATGACTCGATCTCTTTTCCTTTCATTATTTACCAGTCAGTCAAACTGACAAGTTTTTATTTTATTTTAATTGGAGCATTTGGAATGAAATTCTTCTAAGAATGAATTTCAAGTCGTTTGCTTATCTCGCGTTTGTAATATTATTCGTGTCATTCGGTGTCCAAAATTGTGATGGACAGAGAAGTCGATCAAGATTGAGTCCTGCTGGGGTAACCCCATCACCGTCTGAGACCAGTTCTAGTCACGCCACGGATGGACCTCTCTCAAGACTTCGGAGACCCACGAGAAGAACCACGACGCCAATTTCGGTGGTATTTAAGTTTGCATAATAATTTTATAAATAGATATTAATCCTCCCTCGTATAATAATGCTGACAGCAGGTTTCTGTCGAAATGGGCGATAAGATAGGGATGAGTTACTATCATTTCCATAAAATGCATCATATTATTCGATCCAAGTGACTTTTTAAGTGCGTCACAGTTTATGATGAAAGTTTTATGGGCACGAGTTGGACATGAAATGTAGCTTATGGCCCAAGTATTATGAGTCATTTTTACAACCTGCAATAAATTCATTAATTGAGACAAGTCTATTTTTAGATTACATAATAATGTCCTAGCTATCACTGCATTGTTATATTATTGTCACCACGAGCAGAGATCCACCACGACGACGACGCCACAGGGTCAGTCATCATCAAGCCCCAATAGTCGAACTTCAAGTCCAAACCAGCCAATTAACAAGAGTCAACAACAACGCCAGAATAATGATTCCGTTCGTAAAGAAATGATTGAGAAGTTGGTGAGTGAATGATTTTAATGATTTCCTGCTTCAAATTTAATTCAAATTGTTGTCATTCGAGCGTGAAAACCAGTTAGAAAAAAAGTTTGCCACTCTCATTTCTGTTATTTATTACGAATTAACATCATCCTTCATTAACTTTTGAAACATTGTGTGAAATGAAATATTAGTGTAGTCGAAAACATGGAGCTGCGGCGACATTGCCATCCGTGAATCCACCAGTTTCAACTCGATCACCGACCACAACGACCCCAAAACCAGCGTCCATCACCACGACCACGGCGACATTTACCAATGACAACTTCTCAGAACCCCAACGAACCCTGCCACGAAATCCGCTTAGGAGATGTAAGATAAATTAATAAAATTATGACACTCCGTTCTCATTCACACCCATCAACATGTTGCCAAATACTACATACGTAAATATGTACAACTAACTTCAATCAATCATGACTGACTGGAGCAATTCGCACAAAAAAGTTAATTGGTCTCGCCATTCATAAAGTTGATATTCTCCTCGTACGTTTTATTACTATCAAACTGTTTGAGTACTTGCGACGAATTGAGCCAATTAAATTTTGAGTGAGTTTTATCCAGAATAATTGCGTAAATGCATCGTGTTCGTTCGTAGGTATGTAAATACAATGGAAAATTTGTTTATTATGTAATTTTTATTGCAGCCCAAGCTCACGTTCGAGTACCGAGAAGGGTGAAAAAGTTGTATCGCTCGACAACCACGACGACTACCACCACTCCTGGAACGGGTGACGACGAGGGGTCAAACTTTCCACCATTTCCATCCCCCACGTCGTCAACGTCAAGTCTTCCCCTTGGTCAGGGGGGAGCGACAACGAGTAAAACCACGACTAATATTCGTACCGGTGGTGATACTAATGCACAAACTTGCACCGACTTTGACCACTTGAATGATGAGCAACTAGCGAAAAGGGTCAAGGGAGGGCTTCGAAGGAAGAACAAGCCAGAATAAATTGATACCAATTTTTATGTGATTTTTAAAAATATTTTATGACACATATTATTAAATTTCCTGAAAATTTCATTAAATTCTCATCATCTCTCCGTTTATTCATTCTTTTTTCATTTATAATATTCTTTTTTTACATGGGATCCTCCAAACATCACATTTCCCCCCCATTTCTCATGGTTAGTACATAGTTTTGGCATTTTTTGCTACAAGATACGAGCACGGTACAGCGTATCACGTTTCGACGTCACAACAACATTGTTTCTTTTTTGGTACATGTACACTTTCGGTACGTTTAAAATGATAAGAATATTACTAATTAGCTAGTTAACTAATAGCACATATGGCATGATACATGATACAAAGATATGTCCGTATTCAATGGTTTTCACACCGATGGATTGGATTGCACAAGCTCGACCGGTACCGAATTAAAATATAACTATGTACATACTTAACTTGCCTAAATATTTATAATAATACCTGCGAAAACACCTACCAATCTATTACAAGGAATAGTATAAGATCATTAATCAAAAGTAAATCAGATGAGTGAAATTACAGAGAGATTTAATTTGACCAAATACAGTAGCTCAGCGAGTGTGTGAAATTCCGAAATAAAATTTATCTGCGATTTTCTACCTTTAAAAAAATTTACACGATGAATATTCCAATAGTTAACAATAAACAAACTACAACAACGACAAAACTAGAAAAAACTCAACAACCTTCTTGTATGTAAGTATGCTAGAGATATATTTATATGGAAAAGTTACAATTTTCGATGCAACGACAAAATAGAAAATATTTTCAAAAAACGAGAGTTCAAATTAGAACAAACATTTCGTTAAATATCAGCAATTATTTGCACCCATTCGTTTAAAGTGTCAAATTTAACAAAAAGAATTTACGGTTATTTATGATACCCGTCCATCCATTGCGTTGAGTACGCAAATGCTAGTGACTTGAGGGCGCATCGCTGATAATGCCCAATATACTAACATAAGTTCCTGCAATGCATCCCACAAGTCCAAAAATAAGGAGGGCCGTATCCTTCCAGAGCATCCATCGTCCACACCCGTAACCGACCCTGTGCAAAAAATAAGAAATTAATTTCGTGCTCAAATATGGATAAACAAAAAACATACCCCCAGTTCGTGCAAAGACTGAAAATTGGAGGCAGAATTAGCCCCAGGACAGAAGTGCAGAACGCTCCCACGAAAGATATGACGAGACCAAGGTTCGGAATGAGGACGGCGAGGGCAACTGCAAAAAAGAAAAGGGGGAGTGACATTAATTCGACGATCATCATCCTTCCACGTCAGTCACATCACTTTGTGTCATGATTAATTAACTTGAAACAGTTCGTTGTATGTAATCAAAATTGTGGGTACATATTTAATTCTGTTTAACTTGCATTGATCCTAATTTGTGTCAAGAGCCAATTGAGTACAACGACATATTTAATTGTACTTGACCAAAAGTAAATTGTATTGTAGGTACATGTGCATTAATCATGCAGACATTGTTGCAAATATGTCTGGAGAACGTGCATAAGGACATGTGTACAATTTGTGTATTAATAGATACATATGCACATAATTTATGGTTCATATAAATACTTACACGTCAGGATAACTAACGACGTCCTGAAAGCGTATTCGGCCGCGGTCTGGGCGTTCTTGGGTATCCTGGCTTGCAACTGAGGCCAAGCGATGGACATGGGGACGTAGAATTGTAAAGCGTAGGACAAAAAGATGGAGACGGACATTGACAGACGAACGCCCATTGCCAACCTGAACATTACGGAGAGGAAATGCATAAATAGAATTATTACTTGGCTCATCTATTTTAATTTCGAATGCTTAAACACTGACCATTCTCCTTGTGGTAAGTTTAAGGTCACACTGCCCACTGCGGCGTCTCCGTACTTTAGATAACCAAAGAATCCAACAGCAATGTAGAGAAGTCCGACGATAAACATGCTGATGTTCAATACTCCGAAACAGCCTCCGAAATCTTGGGGCGTTTTCATTTTATTTTCAAGTGGCAAAATCTGCAAAAATATAAGAATTATCTCAGTCATTCTTGTCCAAGAGATTCATGAATTTAAGTGAAGTTTACCATTCCAATCCCCTCAAATGCGTAAAGGGCAGTTCCAAAATACAGAGGGACTTGATGCCAAGATGAGAAAATGACGTGGAAATTGTCTCTCTCCGTTATAGGTTGAATATCTTGGAAGATGTAGTAAAAAATAATTCCCAGGCCGACAGACATGCACAAATTCGCAACGGACATCACAGGGGAAAGAAGTTTAAGGTTGCGGATCCAATTTAAGAAAATCAAAGGCAGTAACAAGATGGCAAGGTAGGTTTTCACGGAGGCTTCATAACCGAATTGTTCTTTGACAAGCTGGAACATACATACTTTCATGAATTTACCTGTAGTATATTTTTCTAACAATTAGTTTCCGCATTGGTTTTTACGCTAACCTGTTGGACATTTGTAGCCACAAAAACATAGTACACGCAACAGAAACCAATCTGCGTGAGACAGAGGAATGCATCAATTACGAACCTGCAAATTGAAAGTCAACGTTAAAAAAGCTATGTTCATGGTGGGCGTTCATATAAGCGGCACGAACATCAAAATAAATATGTATACCTACCTTGCCACGTGTGACAATGGGCGCAAAAATGGTGGACCCAGCTTAAACGACAATTCGCCAACTTCCGCAAAGTTCAGGAACGGAGTTTTGGTTCTGGCACAGAGAGATCGTGCACAATTGAGCTGTATATGACCGGAAATAGGAAGCAATAATCATTTATTTATTTTGCATTCGACTTAATTGTCTCAATTTAGCATTTCATTTACCAAAATATGCATCGTATGAACGCAAATAATTCCGATAAAGACAAGACCAACGCTTCCCACGATCAGTCCAGCATTTAAGAAAGCCTGTGGCATCGCCAAAATGCCAGTTCCGATGTTCCCCTTCAGTAAATGGATGGCCGTGTCAAAATTGCTAAAATAATTTATATAACAAAAGCGTCATCAACTTGCATTCCTTAAAAGTTAAATGTGGAACTGCACATATCCAGAAATTCAAGCCAATCGGATCTACTAAATATATAACATCTTTTGCAGATTAGTATGCTCAATCACAACTGTTTTGGAACTCCTTTCTTTCTTATTTAAACGGATCATTCACTTGTCAATTGTGTCAGTATGTCAAAAGACAATAATATCGCGTAACTATAAAATACTACAGCGTACGTATAACTAACTACGAATAACGGCTTAGAAATGCGTACCTGGTTGGGTGATCCACATTCCGATGAGCCAAAGGATCATATTCTTCCCCATTGTCGTCATCAGCTATCTTAATCTTGGTCGTGCCATTCTGCTGCTGCTGCTTATCTCCCAGCTCGGCAAGGTGGATCTCTTTCCTGGAATTGCAGAAGAAGAAGAAATGTTAACATTTCATGTCATGCAAGAAAAGTGCAACAGACACATGACACCAACGCATGGTGTACTTATATAAATTGCATCATCAACAAACACTTAAGACATTGACACCCAAACCCAAAACATTTACGGACGCGTCTACATTACAAAACAGTTTAAACTACGGAATCACGTACTCGAAAAAAGTTATCTGGTTAATCAACAAGTGGCTAAGAAGAATAATAATTAACAGAATTATTACACTGTAAACAACCAGCGCAGATATCTGTACCCAGTACTCCATTTTTGCCATCTTTCGTACACTTCTTCCGACAAATTATTTCCACATGTCGTCGTAAAATTTTGAAAGTAATAAACCAATCGTCAAGACGACCATCTTGCGAAAATATGGCTGTAATTTTCTCCAGCCCAGCAAAAATTTCACACCTGTTACTTCCAATTACTGGTAAATGGTCTGAATAATCCATGCTTTACAGATTCAATCCTAATCAGATCATATGAAAAATCATTTGCGTAACGGGATGATGATGATGACGAGTGTGAGCCGAGTGCATTTAGACCTAAAACCAATTGTGTAAATTGAGCAAATTGCACTCTCCTCGGTTAAAGTTACAATATCTGAGCAAATAATGAGAATGCCATACATCATGGAAATGATTGGCGTTATTATAAATATTTTTTTGTCTAAATGTGGATGCCAAAAATAAACAATGAAAAAAGAACCAACTTCTGGATCCAAGTACAAAAAAAATACAGAATAAATGCATAAAAAACGATCCCAGCAAAAGAATAAAAATAAAACAACTCACTTCTTAATTTCCACCAATTCATACTGACACTTGACAATAATAGGTTTTGCTGCCATTTCCAGGTAAAAAAAAACTCTCCAAAAAAGTCAACCTTTGCAAAAATGCTATTCACCACGCGAGCAAATAATGAAACCAACCACAACAATGAAAAGCTCAACTTGAACTAATTGTATAACTTTAGTAGGAATAGTGGGTTCTAGCTAAACAGCAATAAAAGACGATTTAACAATGCAATTAGGTAACTATATATATTCCGGTATGTTGATTATAGCTTTGTACCCGAGCCAGTTAATTGCTTCGTTCGTAACTATAAAGTAACAAACAATGGTCATGAAAAACGTAAAGAAAATATACAGGCGCCGCACCAACCACTTTACTCTTTATATATGCATGCCTTCATTCACTCGCAATTTTTATTATTGGAGCGACTTCATTACTAAAATTAAAATTAAATACTCCATTCAACCACCCGTCAATTATGTATGTATGTATGGTCATTTGAATAATAAGGGATTCGACGCAGGACAGATAGATGAGGTTTTTTAGGATGTGTATATGTATCTATTTTACAGGTTTTCAGGTATACATACATAAAACACATCATGCTAGGTATATACATACATTTACATATTTATCTCTGCATATATAATTCTAGCGAGAGATGCGAGATACATATATTACTTAAATTGTAGAGCTATTGCGGTTTCTGTCTATCTGTCTCTAATAAAAAAAGTAAGTAAAAATGAGCAGACGTCAGTAGATTTCATTTTCCATATTAATTGACGAGGTAGATGAAATATTTAAATTCAGTCTTATATTTACAATTTTATTACGAGTCCAGCAGTCTTACTCGTGCAATGCGATGCATGCAATATTATGTGTGTGATGTGTGTATGTACGTATGCAAATGAGATCAAGTTTCGCAGTGTCTACGGATTGCTAATCCTATGCATGCTGGGGTTGAAATGACTTTTGTAATAGTAATTACCACTTGATATCAAACCCTGTAATTTGAATAAATCATGAAATTGGATACAATTTATTCATGGAAAATTTATGGCGACGCAATTCCTACGGGCAAAACGATTTTGTAGATGATGTTTGCAAAGCTGGAAAAAAATGCGAAATTCTAAACATCTCAAGTTTTTGAAGTGGGTCTTAAATACAAGAAGAAAGTTGAGACTCGCAACTTGAGAGTGAGTTGAGGTTCGCGTTGCAATATTATTTTGCAAGGGTTGCATATGCAAATACGTAGTTCAATATTTGGCGTTTGTATGGCTGTGCATTTCTGTAATGCGATAAAAATTGCTTGTAAAACGTCCTCCACGATGTGCAACATTGTCACTTGTGATGTGAGGTAATTATTTTTAACAATTTGTTAAGACCTTGATGTTCAAACACGAGTGCAGGCAGAAGAAGAGGAGGAGGAGTCGCTTTGTCGGTTTCGTACATGTAAGTATGCATATAAATACATGGATGGATGGGTGTTTAGTAAACATTGGGTAGCAGCATAATTTTGCAATTATATAAAATGCAATAAAACGTCCAGACGAAATTTACATTTTATGCATTTATGACATGACATTCGCCGGGAGGGATGGGTGCAATAATAATGGTGATGCAATTCTATGTTCATTTCGTACTAATCATTGCAATAAAGTTTGTGTAAAATTTCTGGAAAATCATGTGCTTCAAACGGGTTTTAATTTTTTAAGAAAAAAAACAAGGTCAAAAAAAAATCAAAATCCCTCCTATTTCTTAACAGTTTGAAATATTCGAGATGTATTTTATTTATGTATACCATGAAGATCATACTAATCTTACACATTACAAAATTGCAATATTGACAAAATTTTTGTAAAGTTTCTGGAAAATGCTTCAAACTTTACATTTTTTAAGAAAAAAATACAAGGTAAATGAAATCGAAAATTTCGATTCGAAATTCCTCCTATTTCTTAACAATTCGAAAATCGAGATGTTAAAATTGATGTATAACAGTAAGAACGTGCATGAAAGACGGTCGTTCTCCATGGCCCCACCCTATCTATCGTCACGATTGGTGGACAAAACTTTCTTTATAAGTTGACATGCTACTAATTATTTGACTAACCTCACTCAATTTTCATATATATTTTATGCATGCATGTATAATGATAAGGTTTATACGGCGCAGACTGATAACCTGCCATATGGCAAGTCAAGACTAATTTTGATGAATTGATGACATGATCCCTGATATGATTGATTCCCGTAGTAAGAGAACGATTAAAGAACAAGTAATTAAATTTGTGTCGTTCAGCATTTGTTCTTATCTTGGCATGACTTTGCCTGTCTTCTCGTCGTAATTGGTATCATCTGTCATCACGAGATGATAATTAAAAGTTTGATAAGAAAAATAGTGGTTTTACCACCTTCTTCGTTTAAGTATGTTAAATGATCATTTTATCGGAAAGTTGTAATTTTCCGAATAATGGATGGATAACGGTAATTCGTTTGTCTATTATGTTCACTTCGTTTGAAAAATATTTTCAACTAATTTGCTAATTTCAACTACTTAATTTGCAATGATACCTAAATCAACAAATGTTGATCAATAAGAAGACGATCACAGAAAGAATCTATCGCAAACAAGTTTATAACCTTTCTCGCAAAAAAATAAAACTTCCGTCAACTTGCCAAATTATCAAGTCCTTTTCTGCTTATGCTCATCTCATACGACGACGATATGTGCCATGTCTTAACCTCCTTGGTCCAAGTTCACTACAGTTTACGTCATTGTCTGGCAGTAAGCCTCGTTCTATGCACCCAAAAAATTGGACTCGTGTGTAACCCACTCTTTTGCCTCTCCTTTGTGCATATGTATGCAACTCATTTATTTATAACACAAGGCGCATCCTTATATTGGGAGAAAAATGGCGAAATTGACTCTACAACAACGGCATATGTTTCATCTCCCTTGCGACATGCAAAATTCGGTTCAGTCCAGATTTTTATTTCGGGGGCAATAAAGTCAAAATCACGTACATACTTACCCGTTCGCTTGCTGAGAGTTGATCATGTTCATTTGCAGCAAGTGCGGTTCCGTGGATGTTCCATTTGATGAAATTTCCTTCATTGTCATCGTTCCTTGTGGAGTGGGAGGAATTATTCCAAATTATTAAATTCAACTGATGGAATCCAATCTGCAAAGGAAACTGTTAATTAATCCGAATTAAAAAATATGCCAAGAAAAATAAATAAATCATGGAAAAATTCTAATTTTTTTCGGTTACGACAAGGTTTCAGTATAATTTCTAACCTTGAATTTATTTTAACCCGAATTAAATCAATGAGTGAAAAATTTTTAAACCAAATATTTAATTTGACATCGTATCACAAATGACATGAACTCATTCGTGCAAATGTAGCTTAAATATGTACAATTGAATTCTTAATAATTCATGCCTCTTATCCAGACCACGAAGTCAAGATTACTTCTCAGAATTAAATTCTCGACTTGTCTCGTCTGTCAAATTATCAATTCCCTTACTTCTTTTTTCTTTCTTCAAATGTCAATTGAAGCAGCTCTCTCAATCCGTAACTAGTCTTCGATACGTTTCGTAAAATGCACACGCAACAAAAATGAAACAATGAAATCTTGGCAAAATGTTTGTATAAAAAGACAACCGAAACGTGACCAAGATAAACGCGACCTTCTCCAGCAAATGCCCGAAGTAAAAGACGCATGTGGCCGTGTGGTTGCGATATTTTATTTTATACTCGCCCTAACTAATCCACTGTTTACTTTGAAACTCGTTCATCTTTTGATACTGCAGTTAGCAATAACTACATAATGTTGGGAGGCTATGTATGTACTTATAATAAAAAGATTGATATAACATCTCACAAGAAAAAGTGTAATATAATAATGATTCCATATACGTACATAAGTATGTACCCATCCGTTGCATTTCAGAGTTGGGGGTGGTGGGTGAAACTTACGTACATACACGTACACGTATCTGCTTTTATCATTTATAATTTCTTACTAATTTGACACCGCCCCACTCCGTATTGCATGCATTTCAGACGCTCGATTAGAGAACGGAGCAGTGTTTTACTGTTTATTCAGACATACGAACATACGAAAGAGTATTTATTATTGCAGTATTAATTCTACTTAATGAAGTTCATCAGTAATGCCACCGACCAAGCTAAGGAGCAATATGCGTACTATGCAGTTGTCATAAAATTTGTCCAGGCCAACGAGACAGTGACCACGCGGAGGGACACGACAATTGCTTTCACAGGATGATATTCATACATCGCAAATCCTTTTAGTTTCAAACAAACCCTGTTGGAATCTCGTGTAGGAAAATTTATTTCTTGGAGCAGGGTGGACATATCAGTAACGCAACCACTAACTGGATGGAGGAGCGTATATATTGCATGCAAAATTAGCTAACCACATATGTAAAAGTATTTATGAATAACTTTGTATGTCGGATGGTCTAATCGTAATTAGCCGTAGACCAGACCACAGAGAAGAGGACGCTTCTTCTTATCTAATGCAAGGAGTTTATCCAGCACTTAATTCACTTCAATATTTGTGTGGGGTAAAAATACCGATTTTTACAATGTTTATTCATCCAGACGACGTGACAAATGTTGACTTTTAATGTATGAACAAGTATCACAACGACAGGACGTGAACAAATTTAAGATTTTTTACACGGATTTTTGATCGAGTTGATTTAAAATGCATTATGTAGTACTAATAGCTTATCGAAGCATGATAACTTTCTCACCTACTTATTTATTTAGTGTCGTCAACTCTTTTTGCTGCACATTAATTAACTATCTTGTGAAATCCGAGATGTGAAATACGTATGTAGTCTTTTTTCTCGTTTGTTCTTTTAAGACGAGTATAAATACTTTTGCACAAAAAATTGAGATAACCAAACCACGAACGAATGACCACTTTTGTACAAATATGTACCGAAACAGACACACTTTGCTTTTACGAGATTACAAAAATGAAATGATCCCAGAGAAAAAAAATAACACCAGTTTCAAACGTGTCTCAAGTCTTGTAGAACACGTATCACTGTGTATCGAAGAGATGAGATCACGACGCGCATAGGTCTCAAATGCGACGTTACCTCGGTTTATATAATAACCCAAAAAGTTCAATAAGGTTCAAAAAGGTAAAGACAACGACGCAAGACAAAAGAACAGAGAAAAGTAAACTTGACACAAGAAATTCTCTTATCTATGAGCATTCAGAGAGAAGTGAAACGCATTGTGAGACGTGTCAAATAAATAAATACACCAATCTGTACACTTTTCGTGAGGAAATTAGTATGCAAGTCAATACTCAAAAGAGATTTTACTTTTTAGTAGATGTTGAACTTGGTAAGTCGTTATCAATTTGCTGGCTGGAGACGATAACGTAAATATTTTTATAAATGTTGCCCTCGTCGTTGAGTTGACGAGCACTGAATTGAAATTGGTTTAGCAAACTGAAATAATAATGAGCCTTGTTTACAAACAAATGCGTTCAACTTTCGGATTTAGGGCAAGGAATACTTTTTATAATGCGAATATATTTTTAGTACTGAATGAATGCAATCGTGCACTTTGTCTTCTAATTTAAATTCTAGTTTCTTTTTTGTCTGGCCTGATTTTGATGACAGGTTTCATACACAAGTGAGGGTAACAAAATGTCTAAATGGAATGAAGGGAGAAATGTTTCACCCCTGGGATCATTTTCATAAGAAGAATGCAATTACATTTTAGTGACGTTTCTATGAATCGGGTTACACAACTTGGAACAGGATGTTGTATAAGCCCGAAGAAGAACCGAAGTGTAGGAATCACCACGGTTTGAGAGGCGAAGGTCAATGCCAATAAGACGACGCGTCGATTTGGATGTGTCAACGGGGCTGAATGATGATATGTGCATGCATATTTATCTTGAAGGTCGCTGTATAGGAGGAAGACCCGTCTAAAAGTTTGGAATGGATGACCAATCCGTATTATTTTACTAATTTTGTAACATGTTGTGTCACAAAGGGACGATTTTTTCGCGATTTCGAACACAATGGAGCTATGTAAGCACATAAAAGTGTTCATTAACTAAAGTGGTTTATGTAAGTAAAGTGTGGATGGATGGCAAACTTTTTGGGAATTTGCCAATCGTAGTTGTACGATCTTGCTTGATTGCAAAAAAAAAGAAAGAAAGAAAAAAACGGTATCGCGACGAATCAGATTCGAGACATTTGTTCAAAGTCTAATCTGAATCTGGATTGCGATGGTTCGAATAAAAAGCGACGTAGACGTGCATTTATTCAGTCAGTTCCCCTGGCTGTGTGACGCCAACATCCGATCCTTTTCCCCCGGTGACGTTAGTTGGTAATCAAATATTGCATAAACGACGGTCGCTAAATAGATATTGCACGAATGCATATGTAAGTATGCAATGCGACCTAGTCTTGACTTTTCTTATCAAAAGCTGTGAAAATTGTGGTGTGGTCGTAGTGCCAGATTCACACTTTCTTCAGATCTGATAAGAAATTTAGGACGAGCAGAACTAGTTTGATTTGATTAATTAATGTACAGAATGCCTACTTACATGACAGATACATATGTATTTATCCTGCGATTGGGAATTACAAAATTAGTTGAAACCATAAGTTTTTGGGGAAATACTTAAATGATGCATTTATTTTATGTAACTGGTCTTGGGTGAAAATGTTATCGCCGACATAGACATTTACATGCATATATAATCCACTTACTACTTATCTTTAAACGGCAGTAGTGCTTGTATTATGAATCATGCCGAGGTTTTTCCAACTTTTGACAAAATATTTCCATTGCAAACAAGAATCGTTTAATCTCAATAATTTTTAGGTACCTGTACTCTACACGGATTTCTCAATTGATGATAACACACTTTCGACGTATGTAGACTTCACTGGATTGCTAAAAGTTGTCAGAATTGTGCTGCGTGGTTATAAGTATTTTCAAATCTCGAATTCACTAAAACAGCACAATTGTACACCTCACCCAAACCCCGAGTGATTTTTCACAGTCGAAAATTCAGCCAAATTCTCCAGTCGACATTTAAAAATGCAGAACTGATTCGAAAGTTAAAAACAATCGAGAGGCTTTGTCTTCTTGTCCATCGATGCAGTAAATTGTAGCTTTCAAGTACATAATTATACAGCAATATTGTAAATTGTCTATATTACGATGCAAATTTCAACATACTTATATATTCGTTGCCCACTACTATAAAAAAGTACTGAAACCAAGCTAAATGACCTGCTCAAGCATGATGATGCATGCCGTAGTGATACATATTTGACCGTTTAACCAGCACGCAAGGGAGTCTCACCGGAAAGAAGTCCATATATGAACACATATGTAGAAAGACGTATCAGGTAAAATGTCAAAATGCGATGTTTCATCACACAGGAAAATGCCAGTGGACCAAGTAAAACGTTATTATTATTATTATCATGAAACATGAAGCCCTGCCAGAAACAGAGATGACTGCATGTTTGTAACCCAAAATATGGGTTCAATTACATCAACTACACATACCTATGTACGTGCATGAACTACAGAGAACCGAGAAATTGAGCTACAGTAATTATAATTAAACCACAGACTATACATACCTTCTTACGAGATCCTTTCCTTCTTCTTGCTTATATAAATAAATATGAGTTGTCTGCAATTAGAATTTTTGGAAGTAATTAGATCGGCAGCACCACTTTCTGATCCACCAGCGTCATTCGTCAACCGCCACAAACTACGACTGCACCACTTTCAAAATAAAACTGGACCTTTATAAAGAAAACGTTAACATAAAAGTTTTAACATATTATCTAAGATATTATTTACTTATGTATGTATGCTCATAAATACGGCTAAACTTTCCGACTGGACGTGGAGATAGAGGCAAGAAAACAATTAAACACTTAGAGAGTCCAGTAGTGAGTAGAGATAAATAAATTAATGAATACGAGTGCACACCATTATCATATTTACCTCACATGCATAGCGTACCTTTACTAATACCTATTTACCTCTTAGATGTATTTGTACCAAAATAAACCGTGATGTATGTGAGTTAGCTTTATTGTTCTCAGGTGCATTACCAATTCATGGCACTCGTGGCATAAGTACAAAAGCATATAAGGAATAATTAGAAGATATGGGGTAGCAGGAATTTATGATAATACACATGCCATGTTTAAGAGGAATCGTATCTAATGAATGAAAATCCTGCCAAAATCATCACTAATTAATGATTATTCTCCTCTTTTAAGGAAATTCCATTCAAAATAAAGGTCACGGATTCATGTGTGCGTATCATTACCATTTCACACGCGCTCATGTTTAGTTGACTGATCGGAAAATTGCTGCAACTAATTTACTAACAATTAGTTAATTATTGGATTTTAGGATAAAAGATAGAGTTGATTGAATAAGAGGAGAAAGTTACTGCGGAGACGAATCTTGTGCAACACCTCATTTGCATACCTACTTGCTTTCACCCACAAAGGCAATCAATGTTACTGTGTTATTGTACCGGACTAAATTTATTGTGGTGACCCTGTGGGATTTCTTTCCTGAAATACCACTTTATAGTTTGATTACCCACCGCCACTCCCTCTCCACTATGATAAACATTGCATAATTTACTACTAATTTCAATTAAATTAATCAGTTACGTATCTAAATGATTGAGCAATTACAACATATTCTTGCACCAACTGTTGAAATTCCGTCCGACGAATTGATTTATTTTACGATGAAAGGGCAAAAGTTTGTCGGTCGTTAAACCACCGAACCACCAATCAGCATGACTCAATGCAATTTAACAACTTTTATTCAAAATTGACCTGAGATTATAAAATACTTCTTGTCCTGATGACATGACGCGATACAGTTTTTACACAATCAATCAAAGACGTATCTTCGATATAAATGTAGTGATTACATATGTAAATAGACGTATTACATATTTATGTCGGCATTCTCAGTATACAGGGAGCAATGATTTTGCAACATTCCATTGTGCATGGTTCACTTCGTCTTTGGTTTCATTTTATTAGTCGGATCAGCAACTTAAGACATACATAAATACCTTTCTTATCAGTGGTTCCAATGGTATTAGAAATATGGGCAAAATCGGTCGTAAAATTTTAATTGGTAAAATGACCTGACATTCCGCTATCATCATCACGGCGACGATGTGAATGTGACGCAATGCACGAATCCCATCATGGAAATGTAAGTAAATCAAATCTGGATGTGTTGTCCGTCCGCCGAAGATTTACGGCTCAATCAAACTGTTATTTTTTAAAAGAAACATACTTTTCCAGGAACTCATACACCACGAATTGGAACAAGTAAAATGTATTTACATCATGCTTTAATATTCATTTCCACTCATCCCATTTTCATTTATTCTTTTATCTTTCCAGGCAGGTCAAATAACCACATGACTAAATTATTAGAGTAAATTTTATGCATGACATGTCGAGATAATGAACAGGAATTAAGAATTGACACTATCATCTCGAAAGAAAACTGTCTCGTACGAGTTTACTTTTGCGGCATGATGACACGTATGTAACTATCTACTTATAAGACGTGGCTGCTATATATATACAAAATTACGGCTCAATTACTTATTGCATTTCATAAAAGTTTCCGCTATGCGCTATCATCAAAGTAAGTAAGCATGTGGACCAAAATGTGTGGCATTATTGACTGAAATTAAGTTGCATAATAATACATGTATCAGCTCAATCGTAAGTAAATAGTCAGTAACTTACAATTAATGGTGATTGTGGTAGTACTTCTTCTTTAATTGAATTAGTCCATGCAATTTGAAACAATCAAGTAATTGAAAAAAAGTCATCATTTATAAGTCAAGGAATCCAGACTAGAAGAACTGACAAAAATGTATGAAAATTGTTACACTGACAAAGCCCAAGGTTGCGTTGCATATTGATCAATGAACGGATAACGGTCAAGTCACTGATTGAACATTTTACAACTTTAGCGTCCCTGACCAGCACCTACCCAACCTACTGACTGACCATGCTTTATTAATCAGCAAAATCACATTCGGAGATTACGAAAGAAAGTCAAGGCGCACATTATCATCTATATTCTTCCAGCCCTATGCAATTGTATCTATCTACACTATAATTTAAAAAAATGTGACCTTTGTATCCATAATAAAAGTTTTAGAGCCTCCGTGACCCCAAGCGCCTTGGAAGATGTCAACTAGTTTAATTTAACAAGTCATTGCATCAATCTTGGTTGGTGCCGATATAATAAAAAATAAAACTGTCAACTATTTACATACATGTGTACATACACGCCATATGCATGCCCAGAACACTAATTGCTTTCGTTTTAGGCCTTTTAAGATGGCCTTATAGATTTACCAGGATGTCTGTCTGTATTATGGCCAGCATGCAACCTCGACCAAAATTTGATTCCCGCGTTCGTATCTCTACCATACTAACGTGTGGGAAGGATACGAGCACGTGATGGTCGAGGTTGCATGCTGACCATAATACGCACGATAACTCTCTTTAAACACAAGCTATCGACTTGAAATTTTGTACACTTGATCCTCGGGTCAAAAGTAAGGATGAGTTCGAAGAAGGGCATGATCGGTCAAGTGGTTGGCCGGTGGGGGTCTTTTCCACCCAAATGTGTTGCCCTTAACTAGCAAGATGGCATTAATGCCATTTTAAAAGGCCCCGCAAAGTTGCTTGGAGTAGGTTTTTTGTTATAAATTGAATTCGTTAAATGAAAATCATTGATGAACAAGTAATTACAGGTCACCGGCGCCACATCATACAGATATACTTTTTGTTATATTTTTTTGTTTATTTTTTTATGTTTTGAACATGAAAATTCACAATTTTTTTTTGAAGTTGTCATTCATATACTTCTTCATAGATAGATCTATTAATAATGTGTATTAATAAATTGTTAAATATATAACGAAATAACAATTTCATTTTTAGTATCCACACACAAACACACGAGTGATTATGAGGAGGAGTACAGTACAATGCGATATCTTTTTTTCTTTCTAAACGACTACAATAATATTGTATTTTTTGTGTAATAAGTATATTTTTTACTAGTGAACATTGATACTATTTTTTTTTACTTTGCTTTCAAACGTTATATACTTTTCTTGTCATTTTTTTCTCTCGAGTTTATAAAACTAGATTTAGTATAATATAATAATATTGTTGAACTTTTGAAAAATATTCCCGTTCAAATGCATCGAAATAGCGAATATATATGTATAAATACTCTTGCTAAATTTTCCATTATTTATAACATTTTATAAATGCAATATTAATATACAAGATATGTAAAATGTGTTAAAATGTGAACAACAATGGATAAACTTTATCTCGAATTTAAATAATAATAATAATTACCATATTTTTTTAATTCAGTACGTAACGAGTTGTACATAAACATACAACCAACGACACAGCAGAACTCAATTCATGCTAAATTTTGAGCTTTTATGAACATTGCTAATAATTTATAATTGTGCAGTAAAGTAAACAAGGAAGGGATGAAGAATAAATGAAAGAGTGGATAAAAATAAGTAAAAAGCTAGTAACATCATCAATATCAAAAAAAGAGTATAACTCGAATATTATGCAAGGTACGATATCTACCAAAAGAACAGAACAAGTGAAGCTTAATGGAAAGTATTTAACTCTGAAAACAAGACTACTAATCAGTAGTGAAAACCCAAACAAAATTTTCCGTTCAATTATGTAACATGTAAATTATGCACTAATATCATCACTGTTGATAAAGCACTTATGATAATCATTTTTCAATTCCCATTACTCCGTTGGAACTTGATCAGAATTACAATAGTAACACAAACGTGTTTAATAACGTGGGAAATCCAACTTTAAAGCAAATCCATTAATACGATTACTTAATATGTATATGACTCTTTCTCTCTCTCTCTTTCTTTAGTTTATCCACAAGTGATTCAATCAACACGAATAAAAATAACAACCATGATAAGTCAAATACCCACTTATATGTACGTGCAGAAACAACAAACACTTTCGCTTATGTGATGTAATCATATCGGATGAATCCAATCCCCCGAAATTATTAGGTAACGATAAAATCTATTTCATGGAAAAAACAATATAGGCAATGATTAACATGTTGGGAAAAGGAGTTGCGAAAGTGAAGTTTTGATGTTTAAAACATGCAAGGTGAATAGTAGTGTTGGATTATTAAAAAAAAGTGTTGGTCGGTTGGTCGATCAATAGCACAGTGGAATAAAGAAAGACTGGAATTTTTTTACGATTTGGATTTTGGAGAATATCGTGACGGAGATTTCCGAGGTGCTGAAATCGCCACAGATTCTGAAACTGTCCTTCGACGTCGTGATGTCTCTCCAGACTGAGTTGGTTGTGCAGCTGGTTGGTGTGGTGGGCAAAACTGGCGTAATTGAGCAACCTTATCCGATTCAGACATTCGTCGCCGGCGAGAATCTGGAGTGGTTCCACGCATTGCATTCTAAACATAATAAATGGCATGATGATAAAATATATGAAAACTAAATTGGAAGTAAAAAAAAAACGTTCAAGACTTACGGCTTTCTTAAAGTCATCAATGTTATTGAACGGATTCAAAATTTCTTTTAGCTCTGGCTTTACAGGTAGGTCATCGCTCTTTTTGTAATATTTCCTAAACGCCCAAAACTTTTCGACCCCATACAAATCTCCGCCATGCTCAGTCCAATCTCGAACTGTTTCAGATTGAAAGTCATCATAAATGTGCCGCCTGAATTTCACTTCTAACCCATAACTGTAGAAGCGGAATAAGCACTCAAGGCCATAACTGCAAAGAAACATTTAACATTAAGAGTTTAACATTACGAATATTGTATGTTTTTAGCCCGAATCAGAGTCTGTGAATGAAGTTGGAAAAATTTTCAAACAGGGTGGTCCTAGAGGGAGACTCACGCCCCTCAAAACTTACGTTCAAAACTTCAAAAATTTGGTACCAAATAATAGAAAATATTCAGCAAACATTTGACCATCCCCACCAGGGGGAGTGGTCTGGGAATAGTGGTTCGGACAATTTGGATAAAAATTTTAAAAGAGAAATCTGTCCCTGACTCGGGCTAAATCAAGTAAACAAAGTCTGCAAAAATAAAATAAAGCTCACCGAAAACCAGCGTTAGAATCCTCCCAGGCTAGTTGCTTAAATTCTTCGTACATCTTTCTGTTGAAGTTGTCTCGCAAGAAGAAAGACCAGAATCTGAAAAGCTACAAAAATAAAATCCAAAGTTAATGGAGTGAAGTGCGATGTATATTGCTTTGAACATGGACGAATGTGAAAAAATTAATATGAGTTCATACCGTATTCATTTCCTGAGATGCTCCAAACCCTGAAAGGCACATTTATGATTAGATAGGTACATTCCGTATTTCGTAGTTTTTTTTCGAAAGTTGTAAACTTAATTTATAAATCAATTTAGCTTAATAATGGGTAAAACAAATAAACCGAACATGATTGCTATTGTTAATAAATATCATGAAATGTTGAAATATTATGCAAATATTTAGTTCTTTAATTGTAATATAGTCTAAAATTTATTTTTGATTTCTTACCGAGTTTCTTTCGTTCTGAAATAAATGGAAGAAATCATATAATTAGTCTTTAATTATAAAAGTGCATCAAAATAAAATATTTAATTCAAGCTGGACATACGTACCTTTCAAACACCGAGCATGGTATTTGTGATACCTGAAAATATATTTACTTGTATAAGATCAAATATAAAAACGAAATATGTATGTACTTACATCTGCTGAACAAATCCATTTTGCTGCAACAAGGCATGAGACGGATGTTGAAATGCAGGAAGGGAGGATGGAAGACTTGACGATCCCTCATCACCTCCGCCAGCACTGCTGCGTTATTACACGTGCAAAATATTGTATTACAAAATTTTATCACGCAAACTAATAGATTATAATTGACTATAATAAATGTCTGACAAGCTCCAATCGCTCAAAGGTTAACTTAATCTTTAAACCACCCCGTGTGCAGTCTGTATTAAACGTTACTTTAGCATTTGTTCTACACCCGATTTGTAAATAAATATGTGCAATCAGGCTCTAGCAAATGCCGTAATCTTAGATTCTACTACTAGTTTTGAAACATAATAATGTATAAGTTGGGCTGGCTGTGGCTTACCCAGTGTGGCTAATCGTTCTGGTTCTTTGTCTCTTTCCTTCGCGAATCCAGCCAACATGGTTATCTTGTTGCTGATGCTCTTTACTTCCAGATTCGTCTTCTTTGCCAGCAGGATAGAAACGAGTTGCTCGTCGACGTGTTCTTGTTTTAGAGCGTGTCTTCGTCACCGCATTGCTGTCTCCAATCTAAAATAATCAACACATAATGCCCAAAATGAAATAGGTTATCTTACTTGAACTCGGACAGTCGGATGCAAAAAAATGAGCAGATCATTCAGATCAACAATGCAACAAACCTCATGCATAGAAGAAGCATTCATAGGAGTGTTGCATGGGACGGGTGGCGGTGGAGGAAATTCTGGGTTGATAGCACGAGGAATTTGAGGAATTAGCTTTTCAAAGTCCTCCTTGGAAATGAGGTTGACAGTAGTAAAGCTGCCTTGCTTTGGCGTATGACTTTCGGCCTCGGTTACAAAGTCTTCTTCGAAATACTTTAGTCCATCGTTTATGATTTGAGCTAATTCTTGAGTCATTTTGGTTCTCGTCGTCCAATGTCCGGTTCTGTCGTAACCCTCATGTTTTACTGGACGCGTCGGAATTGGAGCATGACCGTGAGCATGAGCGACTGCTCCTCCAGGCGTTGAAGAGGAGCTGATACTGTCGGATCTGTTTCGTTGCATGACAATAACCAAGTTGTCAATTTCAGAGTCACTAATCTCATCTTCTGAATCCTCAGAGACCTCCGTCCTGCAAATATCAAATCAGACCAATAATTAGTGACTATTAAATAGTTCCAATAAAGTGTATTAACAAAATTATTATTTTTTAATTAAAGATCAGCGAACAACATAAAATCACCATGTTTTAAACGAAACCAATCTGGTCTGTCGGGGAAAGAAGCTCTGAATCATCATTTTACAATTTTTCCATGTTGGAACATTTATGTTCCGTTGTTTATCAACAAAAGTACATTCCTCATGCAGTCATGCAGAATTTGATACCCAAATAATTAAATATTTGTTTTACTTACACACTGTAACGTCCGCTTGAATAAGTACGTGATCGAGCCGGTGGTAAATCCAAGTCTTCTTCAAACATGAATTGTGTTTCACCATCTCCATCCATCGAAGGCAGTCGTCGCCTTACTTTTGACACCGGTTTTGGTTTTTTCTTTACCTCCTGCCAAGAGACCTCGACTTCTTTGTTTGGATTGTTGGTATCAGCCTTTTTGTTGGTGTTTTTATTCGATGATGACGAATTGTTGGATTTTGCATTAGTAACATTGTCCTTTTCAATTTGGGCAGTTGTAACATTAGTAGTGGAAGCATTTTTAGGCACAGTCTGTTTCTCATTTTCGGATTTACTGATTTGATGATTGTCCTTTCCAGTTTTTTCTTCACGCGGAGAAGGATTGTTGTTTTGAATGGTAATTGGCTTGGTGGTGCTCTGGACACTTTGGGATGAAGCAGCAGCAGCCTCCTCATCAGTATTCTTAGGTACGGTATTTATCATAGGTACAAATTCCGGAACATTTGGGTTGAGCGTCTCACTTCCTGGACTGTGAGCCATCCCGGAAATTGGAGGTATGTGGTGAACAGGCATTGGCAATGGGAAAATTTGAATTGGTGAACTATATCTAGCAGCAGCAGGAATAGGTGGCAGAATGATGCCAGGTACGGGCGATAATGGTGCCGTATAAGCTACAACCATTGGAGGGTGTGCTGGTAAAAATTGAAGAGCTGGCAATTCCTTTAATGCTTCATCTTCAATTGGCCATTTTTCTGGGTCATTCTTAGTTCTGACGCAAGTCGAGTCAGCATTAAGTTCAAGGACGTTGGATGCTTGCATCCCTTTTATAACCACAAGCATGTCTTGAGTCATATTTTTTATTCGAGGAAAGTTGAAAATGACTGAAATGGGTAGAAATCCGTCTGGTGTCATTTTCCTGCGAAGGTAAAAGTCCTTTTCCAGATTCTCTTGACTGAAGTAGTATTCTCTGAAAATAACGAAACACAAAGGTATGAAACTTACTAGAGAAAGAGATAAACCAATGTACAACAAAAGTATTTAAGTTATGGACAAATTAAGCTCAGTGAACATCATAAAATCACCATGTTTTAAACGAAACCAATCTGGTCTGTCGGGGAAAGAAGTTCTGAATCATCATTATCAAATTTATCGACGTAATAAACACAAAAACATACTACGAATGCGCGGAGTAACTTTTAGTTTAGTTGCATGAAAAATTGACTTACACTTGGTTTTTAACCAGAGCTATAATCACAGGATCATCTTCTGTTGATTTTTGTTGCCCATTCTCACGAGCAGGAGACGATAGTGACACCGGATAATAACTTTGAGTGACGTAAGGCATTATGAATTCTGGAGTGACTGGAAACAAGGTTGTGAAATCCGTGGGATAGTCGTGGTAGTCTCCAGTTGGTGCTGACTGAGCATCTTGGTCATTGGAGTTGTATCTACGGTAACCTCCACCACGCCCACCACGGTATCCTCGTCCCCCTCGAGGTGCACCTCCACCACCGCCTCTCTGTTGTTGCTGTCTCCTTCCAGGACCACCATTGTTGGCTTTCATGTCTAACCAATTATGTAAACTAAATTATTAAATATGCTCGAAATATATTTTAAATTTTTTAAAGCAGAATCTAAAATTTAGACTCAAAATTTTTCAAAATATCACTACTTACCACCCTGACTTTGCGTTGCAGTTGCTCCTGCGAGATCTTTTCCCTTCCTGGAATCACTTTCACTGTAGCTTCTGGTCGGATATGGTTTTTTCCTCGGCTTGGTCGACTGAGAACTTTCTGAAGGAATATCTAAAGGCACCCACTTTTTCTTTTTTCCTCGCCTACTCTGACTTCCAGTAGCATCATCCGTGTCCAACTCGTTATCGTCACTTGACAAGCTCCCGTTATGTGTAAGTTTTGGAATTGCATCCAATGATACGAGTCCACTTCTACTGCTCTCGCCTTCGCAAACGCTCGACGCTCCTGACGGCCCACCTTCGTCACTTACAGCATCGGATGTACTGCAATGGGACACTTTGGTCTCCTCGTTCGAATCAGAAACCGAGATACGTTTAGTATTATTGCGGAAAATGTCTTCACTCCCGGAATCCGTTGATTCTGTGGTGCTGGAACGGAACCGAACGATTTTACCAAGCTCAACTTTCTTAAATACCGGCAATAACTGAGGGACTTCCGCGGCCTGCTCAAGTGTTGGCCAGTCCTCAGCAACGGATGGTTTTAAGAGATCTTTCGCCTTATTGGCTAATGTTGAAGAACCTGAGAATTTGACAAAGAATGAAAAAATTAAAACATACGCAAGTGTGGGTGTGAGTTGATCAAATGGAAATATTTAGTAGAGAAAGAGTAGTATGTCGAATGATGCCAGACAGATACGAGAAAAAATACTACAAGAAAAAGCTAAACTGTGATATAAATAGGCAAACATGTAAAAAGTGCCAGTAGTCAAAATATATATACCTGCAGCAGCTACGGATCTACTACTCGTGTTCATTGCTTGCTGTTTCCCGAGACTTCCTGAAGGCAACTTGCCAGCTACTACTTGTTTTGCATAACTATTCGGGTTAGTCAATGAGCCATTTGATTGGCTGATTATTGGTTGGTTGTTGTTGCTGCTGCTGCTGCCTAAACTGTTATTGTTATTCTTATTGCGTCCCTCAACGTTGCTTCCCCCGTTAATAGACGAAGTAGTAGTCGACAACGTGGTGGCAGTAGCAGAGGAAAGAATGCCGGGATTCTTGATGTTGTTAGTCTGAGATGAAGTTAATTTCTGACTATTGCTAGCAGTCGTAGTAGGAAGAACAGTGTTGGAAGAAGAGCTACTACCTTCCTTGGAAATGGCAGTTTTAATGGATTTTGATTTTAGCCATGGATTTACTTTTGGTGGTGGAGCGACAACATATTGAGGTTTAGCGGGTTCGGAAGAGTTTTCGATACTGCATTCATCCCTATCCGAGGAAACGCTTCCATTCGAATTCTGAGAGCTGCTGGAAACACTAGAATTTATGATGTCGTTTTGATTTTCAAGAAGTGGTGGACCTCCATTCTCTACATCTACATTTATTATGTTCCCATTTTCACCCACTATTTCAGACTTTTTCAAAATTCCGGCGACAGTTGTAGTAGTATCTCCCGGCTTATTGGTTGTTGGAAGGTCGTTGGCAAAATGTGGCCCGCCTCTCTTGCCGTTATTATTATGATTATGGTGATGATGATGCCTTCGACCTTCAAAGTCTTTAAAAGGTTTTGCACTTCCGTTATTAGCAGAAGGATTGGAGTGGTCGCCTCGGCCTTTTCTAAACTTCGGTCCATGCCCGTGGTATCCATTTCCATTATTTCCTGAACTATTAGGTCGACCCTTTCTAACAACAACTTCAAAATCATCTGCTGCCGGAGATTCGTCTGGTATGTTTTCAACTAGAAGAGAACTTGCATTATTATTTTCACGTTGTTCCATTTGAGGTTGACTGTTTATGTTTTGATTTTGAGTCTGAAACGGAATTTTCTTGGCACCTTTCGTTCCTGATGAATGTGAATAAAATCGTCCTTGAGAATTGTGATGATGATGAGATGACCGAGAGGACGACTTGTATTGTTTTGCAGTAGATGTTTGCTGCTGATTATCTTGACTCAATCCAGGCCTCACGTCATCTTTTTGCTGTGGTTTCGGAGCATCACTTGCCTTTGTACCGATATTTTCATTGTCATCGCTCTCTGCAACCACAATTCTTGCATATGATTTCCCATTAGTGAAGGTACTTTGTGTCGAAGAAGAAGTTGGGTTCTGCTGGTGAGAATCAGCCGATACACCAACGGATGAAGACGGAGCTTCTTTTAAAGACGTCATTATGTATTATGCGGTTTGCGTTTCCTGTAAGAACATATCAGAGACACAAGATGTTTAAGTCATTTCCTATTACAGCCAGATTAGAGAACACAACAGAAAAAAATTGTACAAACGACGAACCCAACTTACAAGTTTGTGAAATAATAAATGCACTTGAAAAAGTCTTGAATAGATGAAAATACGTCGTCGTCGTAAACCAATATTACTTTAAATAATCTATCACCTGCCTAATACCTAGTCTAGCCTAAGAACGTTTTCGATTTTCGGATCTTGGGCGATCGATCACACAATGACGAACTATTAACTATTATTTGTCCCCACTACTGGATTAACGCCGGCAAAAGAAACTTGTTATTTTCCTCCAAAGTAATAAGCAGTAAGTCTTTTAGCAGTCTATGTATGTCTTCTTGGCTTAGACATTGTTTGAGAAATGGCTTCAGCTTCTAGTAATAACTCTGGTACAGCAACTTTTGGTAAAGACACCGGATGATATCCATTGGGATCTGGAAATTAACAAATAAATGTGATTCGTTAAAATCTGTTGACTCGTTTCACGCTCAATTTTTGTATGCAGTTGTAAAATAAAATAACTCCATCAAATATACACATCCATTTTCAGTTTGTTTTGCAATACTGCTGTCATCATGAATATTTTTTTTCGGATAACACATTTCCATTGTATAGCAAAAACCTATCTACCTGCTGCTGCTGCAGATTTGTTCAGTGCCAATTTATGGACAAATCATTCATTCACTCACACACGCAGCAAATCAAATGTAGTGTTAACATAATTGTGTCCTGCACACTGTGCTGCTTTAAAGCAGACAAGGTCAGTCAGTCACCATGCACAAGGACAAGCTGCCCGACAAGTATCATAGACACGTTGTATTATCGCCAATTTATTATGCGCATTTCATCCAGTCCATTCACATCATCTTTCTCTGTCCAGCTAAAATTTTGCTGCTCAACTCAACCATTTAGCACATATTGGTGCAAGAGCGTTCTATACAAATATGAAATGTTTCAGCCAACTACTTAACTTAACTAGATAAAATACATACCAACCCACTTTTCGTCGTGACGATTATAGAAATCAATAAATTTTGTCAAGCGTTAATTGCATTTTTATTTGCGATGGATAATGATGAAAAAGTCAATGTATAAATAAAGCCATTATCAATAGGCGCCGTCAGTTTGATCCTAGTACACACCAATTTAGTTGTCAAGTCAAACTACTTGTATAATTTTCTCACTTTCAATAGCTGATCTGATTGCAAAAGTTGGACATCATCAAGCTAAATGCGAAGACGACAAGTAAATAAATTCATAACAAGTAAATAACAAAATGCGTTCCCTGTTTTACTCGTGTCATGTCAATTCATTCCGTCAGAAGCGATACATGGTTTAAAATAATTTCAACTCTTGCTGGATTGAACTAAATCTGCAGAGATATTGATGAGCAGGAGGATTAAATATGTAACACATGCAACATATTATTATTGAAGTCATTTAGGCTACATGTGTATTATTACATAGTGTCATACTACAAGTATAGTTAGTCGGTTTGTGTGGTCGTGGTGTTGGCAGAAATGATAAGTGAGTTAAATAAGTGATTAAGAGTTTAGATAGTGCTAGAGGTTGGTTTGGTTGGTTATTTGATCCAAACTGCTGCTGGATAAAGTAGTATCAAATCAAATGAACTTGTTTGCATGTCTATGCTAATAAAATCCACTTCAAGACCACGTCCACCAACCAACCAACCACAAAAATGTAATGCATCCTCAATATGCAAATAGAATTAATTGTGTTAAATGAACAAAAGGTTGGTGATGGAGAATATATATCAGCGTGTGTGTGGAGACAATTATGCAAAGCAGATGCAATAAAATATAAAATAAAATTGCGACTGAATGAAATTGAACCTCCTCTCATAGAATTCGAGAGATAATCGCATACCATAAAGTATACTAAATAAATAAACTACACGAACTCGACTACGACGCACCTTTTAACCAGAATAAAATTAATATGGCTTCCAACTAAGATAAGAGATTCTGATATCTTATGCACTAATTGATTGAAACTGCAGTAAACCAAACCAGCCAAATTTGCCATACACGTTGTGCAATTTACACAATTTACCTTTTAGATACTAAACGCTTCCAGGTCGAGCAAATACATATGCAAATTAAAGCAAAAACAAAAAAGTACACAAATATGACATTACGAATTACCAACTCGATTTGTTTGATTGACGCTTAGTTTATTATGTTTAGCTTAACTTGACGATGACGACCTAGTCTACTCTAGGTCAAACTAACAAATAACAGATAGGACCCGGCACCATCATAGATTGTGCAGTAAAAATAAACAATGCCTACTTTTTAACTACACATAATAATAAAAAACCTATTCATTGATTATTGCTCTACAAAAAGCACCAACTTTTGATGTATCAAATATCTGGCTTAAACCAGTATTATGGGGGAATTTACAATTTGTAAATTACAAATGCAAATTAAAATTAACTATTATGTTATGTAACTAAAACTAAAATGAATACAGTCAACAAGTGTATTAAAATTAATAATGTCTGCAAAATTATAATGTCCATTATCCCGACCCTGACCAAGGACAACATACTCTGAACGATTATAATAACTAACTACTAGAAAAAATTGCTGACTTTGACGTACATTGGGTACGTTGGTGCTCCAGATTTACTAAACTAAACTAAACTAAACGATATGGCTGATGATATTTATGCTGACACTACTTCAAATAGTGTAAAGTTTACGATATCCATACAGTATACACACACATTTGCTACCACATCAATCAATCACTGCCACCGCTTCAAATTGTTCTTAATGTCTCGACATTTGGCAATTCCACTCCTCCATTCAATTACAAAATGACAGATATTATTACATACAATGGATGGGCAAGCATGGAAATAAAGCCATGATAAGGTTATTAATAAGTACCTACACAAAAGTGTCGAGTAGACGATCCCCATAAAAAGCAAGATTATTACAACTCGTTCAATGTCACTCGTCACTAAAGAAAGAAATCCGGTACTTGTCTTTCCTTCCGGTCGACACGAAATCACCACGAGTTTTCCTCTCCCCACAAAACAATTTAACTTGCAACTTCACCCTAATAAGTAGCAATTTTGCAAAAATATGGTGGCAGCATATGCTCACCCAACTGTGCCGGATCTATCTCTCTATTCTCCATCATCATCCTTTTTATTATCATTACGATTAAAAAAGTGAATCGCAACAAGAAACAACGCACTTCTATCTATCTAACTAGATCCATTAGAGATATACTACTTCTCCAGAAGATGCAATAATCCACCAACTATTACTTTACTACTACTAACCAACATTTTTGTTACTAGCTGCTGCATGCGGCAAGTTTTTTTCCTCAATAAGATCCTCGCCATCACATCACCAACCTTACTTCTACTACGTCTACTGGTAAGTTAAACTTGTCTCTTTTCGAGATTATGTACGTGCTGCGTATTTCTCAAAAACTAAAATCCTCTTTACTTACCGTTTTCCTATTCTGGTGATCATGTTCTCCTCCCGGAATGATGGAGAGCTGTATCAGCTCAATTAGCCTTAAAGGCTAATTAAATCCCAAATTGATGAATGTGGTTTTATATATTTTGCAAAATTGTTTATCCAGGTCGGCGAGACGGCGAACAGGCCACCATGCCAGAGACAGAGAAAGACTGAGGCATGCTAATGCATTAGCATGCCTCACAATGCTTTACTACTCGTCGTAAAAAAGATGGGACTAAAATATAGTTTGTGGCCATGAAATGTGCATGAAATGAAGGTAATAATGTATCCAATGAAATAGTTTTGCCGTATTTATACCGTAGATTGAGTTAGGACGGAACCACGCCCCCACTGCTGCCCTGCTTTTCGGTCAGATTTATTATTTGGAGATGATATATTTTCAAAGAAACTGAAATTCTGGATGTAGTTTATGACCATTAAAAGGCACCATCACAAAATACGTGCACGGCATTCTCAACATGAATGGCATACAAATGTACGACGTAGTTGAAGATTTGGTTGCCGGACACATAGAGAAACGAGTGGTCGGCTCTAGCTCTTTGAAAAGCGAAGGTGGGATGTGTGCCGCTCAATGGTTCGTCTCACGGGAGGCAAATTAATTATGAAGGACCGTTCCTCTCTTTGTTCAAATTTTTTTTGACTATTTTCGAATTGTGAAATTTATTTTCGAAATTTGTCTCAAAAATGTCTCAACTTTTATATTATTTTAATAAAGGTGGAATATCATCATTGTCGTCGCTGGACTTCGTCACGACCATCTCGCACACGTCTTTCCTACACTCTCAAAAATGTACCATACTTCTCGAAAAGTAAAAAAGAATGTAACCCTGAACTGAGCATACGAAGGTATTTTAAAAGTAAATCCAGTTGCTCTCGCATTAGTAAGCGATCCTTTTAACTCTGAAAGAACCATACTTGAGAATAACTTAAAAATGAGTCCACGTCTACTCCAATTAAAGTTAATCGAACTTCATTCCGAGTAAGCCTGTCGCAATTCGCCCGCCCTTCTTGATTTCTACCTTGGAGTTTGTTAGTCTATTCCAGACTTACATACACATTTCCCTCGTGAATTCCGAAATTTAAATTCCCATTTCAAAAGTTTCAAAAATGTGTGATACGGAAATCCAAAGATTATTATTTCCACTTAATCTTGGAAAATACTGTTAATTGTTTAAAGGTAAGATCTATTTTAGATTCATTCCATTCTCTATTTTTACAAAATAAACCCAAACTTTTGAACATTTTTTAACATAGATAATAATCTAACCGGATTCTTTACAACACCTTCAAAAAGATGACCTCATCCACGTCGTCCCACCTTTTCAACCTAATCTTCCACCCATTGTCAAGGACAAATTGATTGAACAAATTATGCAGAATATTTAACTCTGTTTCTCAGGTTATTTAGTGTTAATATCTCATTTTTTGCCATGCTGTAATATTATTTTTAACCTACATACATATGACAGTAATTGGATTGTAAAACTTAATAGTTGTGAAATAATAAATAATCAATTACATAAATATATATTTGCCATTTTTAACTGAACTTTTAAATTAGTAAGGCGAGCCCCGGACAGAGTAGGTCATATACTCCAAACCGTGTTCACGTTTACTTAGAATCGGGCAAAATTGCATCATATAGAGTAACATCTTACTATGTGTCGTTCAAGCCTTGTGCATAATTTGGAGCATGCTACAACTCTGAGCGGAGTAAGGCTTACTCCAGACTAGTTCCTGCACGCATTACTCCGGGCAGAGTCGAAGCACTTTGACTACGTATTAGAGTGACATTTTACTTCATTCGAAGTGAAAATTTTTAAGAGTGTATTTATGGCTGTCGTTTTGTGGCGTTATAATTCTGAGGGCTTGGCTTATCCGTTAGTAAAGGAGTCACCATCGCCCACATTTTCATGTAGACAATAGGGATGTTTATAACTGTAAAATTCCTGATCCACCGCTGCATAGTAGGCTGGATAGTAGCCCCACCCACAGGTCGGGATTAGGAGAGGAATCGGCTTTGTTGGAGAAGTATGTTTTCCCGTGACTTGGCGAACACAGGGGATTGGAGGACCCCCGGGAAAGGCTTTCATCTCCTTCGCCAAGACCCAAACGATGTAAATAAAGTAAATTTGTAGTGGGTGGGTGACCACGCCCATGATGGTGGCGACATAGCGATACACAGCGACAAGGACGAGTTGAACTATCATGGTTAACATTGTTGCATGAATCCAGAAAATGAGGAGGCATCGGATCCTCTGCATAATTCCATAAGAATCAATTTAGCAAAGTTAAATCATGAGCTGTAATATTTAGTGCAATTTAATTATTTAACGGACATGCGAAGTCCCAACGATGAGCAGCCACGCCAAAATGCACTCGACACAATGGCATGCCAGAGCTGTTTGAATGATATGTCCTGTAATTCAAATTGTGAGAAAGTGTAGAAACTTTTGATTAGTTGAAATTACAACAGCAGCAAAATTGAGATTTATGTATTTCCTTACTTTGTTCATCAGTCAACTTAAGGGTAGAGCCGGAATAATAATTTGTAAGAAACTGATTCACTACTAAAGTGAATAAACATATGATTGAGTTGGCCAGTCCCCAGAACTATTTAGAGAAAAACAACAAATTTTATGAAATAATAATTTGATTGATTTCAAAATTTGAAAGTGCTTACAAATTGGAATGCTCCTATCCAATCTACACTGAAAAAAACAATAGGGGAAAAAATGATGCAGATTTTTGGTAATATGAATTATTTATGAACGAACAGTAAGTCGAAAGTCGGGAAGCATTACTTCGCTAACTTTTGAACGGATTAGAATTTCGACATCCGATTTTTGCGAAAAACTATGTATGCATCTTACCTTTCGTGTAGTGGGCATTCGCAGTAGCAAGGATTGTAGGTGAAAATCTGCTTAAATTCTGGAAGGTTTTCCTCTTCCTCGGATGAAAGGGGGTGTGCTATCGAAGTGATCGAGTGAGTAGACAGTGTTTCCTCATTTGGTGGAATAATTGTAAAAACAACGCTTTTCCTCGAGGGTGATGGTTCTACTACTGAACTACTGTGGTTCAGTAGGAGCGAGTTGATAGTTTGTTGCGACATAGTGTCTTAAATTCGGCTTAAATTTTAGGAACGATTCCAAAATTCGAAAGGTTAGAATCGAGGATTTTTCAAAATTTTGAAAGTAGTAATAACGAAGAAACATGTGTGAATAAATGATGCCTGGGGAACTGGTAAACGCATGAAGTGAACAAATTCACATTTTATTCCTCCAATGACACTGACAATTTAGATTTTCGTGACAACTTTTATAAAAAATTTATGTTAAAATGAGTCCTATTATTGTCCATCAGGGTACGCTTGTTGGACTAAAAGTCAGAATCGTAGTATCCTCCTCCATCAAAATCATAGCCCCCTCCGTCATAGCCCCCTCCATCGTAATAACCTCCTCCATCATAATAGCTGTCATAATAACCTCCATTGTAATAATCGTAGCCATACCCATACCCCCCACTCAGACCGTATCCAATCCCAACTCCTAACGCCAGGTCGGTACCGTAGCCATATCCGTAGGGATATCTGTATTATGGATTAAAAAAACCTCAAAATTATACTATCTCGGGCTACATAACGTCTGTAGGTTAGGTCACATACCCATATCCATATCCATACGCTGGATATCTGCAAATCATAAAAAATACTTGAAAAATAATTGACAAACTAATCTATTTATGCAATTATTGGTTAAATAGTCCATACGCATATCCGTAAGCGGGTGTCACTACAACTGGGGCTGTCGATACCATTGCAGGTTGGTACATTCCTGCTGGTCTAACAACCACGCGAGCTGTTACAGATATTCATAGTTGAATTATTTAAATATTTAGTTGTGCCTTTAATATTGGATGTAAATTATTAATTACGTGGAGGGCCATTAGGATAAACTGAAATTTCACTAGCAAAACAGCAAACTGCGAATATGAAATATAATCGCAAAAAAATCATTCCAGCGGATACGATGGCTACAGTAAGTTGATCGTATATAACGACCCCAACTTCTCCGATAGAAATCAAAATAATGGAAACAATCCAGACAAAGCAGAGGCTTCTAGAACGCTGAAAATTCAATAATACATAATTATTTTGGAGTTTAAAGTAACAGTAATTGGCATAAATTAATTAATGAATCAAAATCAGTATGAACACCTTAGATGCCGCAACCATAAGAAATATTGAGGCAATGATGGCCCCAATGTGAAGACCGATCAAGATATACAGCGTCAGGCCTATGGATTTATAACTTGTGGTATGTGTAGGTCAATCTTATTATTAGTTCCATAAGGAAATAAAATTTTAAAGTTGAGTTATCACATACCGTGCGCTTCTCCATACTGTCTCAGCCCATTGTCATCCTGCTCGTTAGGGGACTTGCGCGTATTATACCTAGTCTTGGCACTTTCACTCATAACGACTTTGGACACACACACGATGGCCATAATAATTCCGAAAATCTGAAATGATTAGAATTTTTCTGCTAATATGAGGAGGCGAGAAATATTGTCCAAAATATATGTACATAATTATTACAAATTCAAAGGCAGAGATCCATCCAACGCCTTCACTTAAGGCGTCACAACAGCAAGGGTTCGTTGTTTCAGGGGCTGGTGGTCCTACTGGATGTTGTTGATGCTGCTGCTGGTTCTGGTTAGGTGGTCCTTGTGGCCCTTGAGGTGGGGGTTGTCCAGATTGTTGCTGCTGCTGGTTAGGTGGTCCTTGTGGCCCTTGAGGTGGGGGTTGTCCAGGTTGTTGCCCTACTGGATGCTGCTGCTGATTAGGTGACCATTGAGGTGGGGGTTGTCCAGGTTGTTGAGGTTGTGGAGCCCAATTTTGGGGTAAATTTCCTCCAGGTTGCTGAGGAGGACCTGTGTTAGGTGGTTGTTGTTGTTGACCTTGGATGTATTGAGGTCTCTGTTGATTTTGTTGGCCGGGTGGATACTGCTGACCAGGTTGCTGCGGATAAGGTGGTTGTTGTAGTGGGCGCTGTTGAGGGTTCCCTGGTTGAGGGGGTGGTCCTTGTTGTGGGTAAATGGGTTGATTTGGAGCCCCTGCAGGGGGTGGTCCCTGTTGCGGGTAAATGGGTTGATTTGGAACCCCTGCAGGGGGTGGTCCCTGTTGCGGGTAAATGGGTTGATTTGGAACCCCTGCAGGGGGTGGTCCAGCCTGTTGCTGAGGCTGAGGTGGGCCTGGAAGAGGTGAAGATCCGGATTCATTCATCTTCTTCAAGTTTAGCGTTAGGCATGCTTTAAATAATTAAGTCGTACTAATCTGACGGCTTGTCTATGGGACAAAATGCATCGTAATGTACAAATTAAATTATGATGAACGCTATTTCAAAGAAAGCTCCGGTATAGCTCGAGATTATTTCGCCATGACAAAATATTTCAGCCCCGGTTGCTAGTCTGCATACAAGAAGGTCGCAAAAAAATTGTCAGTTTACCAATATTTATTCTATCAATTTTTTGCACATTTATATAAGCAATAAATAATACACTTCGGCACTCTGAGATGTTTAACGTTTAATTAATAATCTACAAAGAATTAATTAAAAGTCATTCATCATGCAACACTAAAGTCATGCGTAATAAACACAATTTGTGGACTTGCATTGCACATTATCATTGAGTATTGTAATGTCAGTCAATTACTGTAGGGTTTACAAACTATTAAGTACTGGTCAAATTTTAAAAGTCACAATTTTGAATTAAAACGTAATAAAAAGCTAAAATTATAATAATGAGCATAATGTTGATATATTTACGTACTTAAAAGTAACTTAATAGAAGATGCTTATAGAAGATGCTTACAGACTAATATGATGAATATGATACCCCTTTTGTTTCATTTTGTCTTATAAGGTTGCAATTTTTGCCAATTAAAATGCGATGGTTTGAGCAGCATTGGAATTAATGTCCCCATCCGCCCCATCCCTTCTTTGGTTTTTCAGCCCATCCGTGGGGGTAGTGTTGCTTTTTGACTCCCCACCCACCGCCGCCACCACCGCCACCACCGCCGCCGCCGCCTCCATGGCCGCCCCCACCGTGACCTCCACCACCACCACCTCCACCGCCTACTTTCCCATGACCGTCATACCCCTTGCCAAACTTGTGTCCTCCTTTCCCAAAATTGTGGTCATAATGCTCCTTCTCCAGCCCCTTTGGTGGTGGATCTCCCCATCTATGCAAAGACACAGAATGATTGTAAAACACGGGTCGTAATATATACTTATCTGTTTTAAATTTAGATATGTACTTACCTTCCAGAAATATACCCGTGTTTTTTGTCGAATACGCTTTAATAGTAAAGAAAAATGGGTTGTTAGCAAAAAAATCGAGACACTATGCAAAATTGAGGGATATAAAAACATATTGCCCACTTACTACCACCATCCGCCATGAACTCCGCAGCCCTTCTTTCCCTTCTTCTTCTTCCCCTTCTTCTTCTTCTTTCCCTTCTTTTTGCCTTTTTTGCAACCTTTCTTTCCTTTCTTGTTACCTCCTCGTTCCGTTCGGGGGTCATCGATAACTTCGTAAAAGACGTTGCCCACACCATTTAATTTTTCAGCTACGGGGTAATATGTGAATTCTCGATCGTCCGCTTCGAAACTTTCTGGAACTCCGAGTTCCCCTTTCGCTCCGCCAACCTCGACGGACGTCGACGTTGCTGGTCTTTCTTCGGAGGAGACTTCTTCCGAACTTCCAACCCCAGCGGGGGGCCATGTGTCGCGGAAACTGCGTTGATATTGGGCATACGACCCAACTGCTGCACACAGAAGAAGCAGCGTCGTCTTTTTTGGGGGAATTAAAGATTTCGAGATTTTATTACTAAATTACGGCACGCAGATTTTAATAAATTTTTGCGAGGATAACTATAACTTACCGTGAGTCCCTTCATTTTGAGGGAGTTCTTATCCTTGAGACTGTCAACTCCCGTCCACTCTTAATTGTTAAACCGACCAGTTGAAGAGACTGAAAGTGAATGGACTGCTTAGCTTTGGTTTGGCTGGCTTTGGCACCCGAACCAATGATCTGAACAATGAACTCTAGAACCTACAAAGTTGATTATTGCATAGAAATTAAGCAAAAAACTGCAGTAAATACCAAGTACATGTAAGTATCTACATCAGAGTGTGTATATATTATATGGGAAAAGTTTGTGCGGAAACCGGTTTCAGAAGTTTTCGGACCAGGTTCTTCTTCTTATTCTTCTTTTGAAGTTGGGTCGTTGGTTTGGTTTTAGGAAAATTGTTCGTCAGAAGAAGGGTGGATAGAATATGAAAGTGTTGTCTGGCTGCTTAAAAATTGACATTACAGGTGCGTTTCTGGATATTATTCAATTCAGCAACATCGCATCAGCAGCATCACCGACTGAATCTTGAATCCGTTTCTTACGTACGAATGTAATGGTCAGAGCCAGTTATGTGCAAGTAAAATTAAGACCGAGGTTCGTAACAACATCACATAAAATAATAGAAAGTGATGAAGACGGGTTTCGGTTTCAAAGTTAATTCTTCAAACGTTGACCTGCTGAGGTGCAGTCATTGAACGAGCCAAGGTGAGCTGGACGTTCGTACGTATTACTTACAGATATCGTTTTAGAGGAAGAATGCATGCATGTAAAATTCGACAATTCAAATATCATATCAGCCACCAACTTTACACTTTTAGCTTATTTATTCATTACAGGAATGTGCAATTCAAAATTCTCATTGAGAAGATGATGCAAATGTATAACTTATTTTCTCGGGGCAGGAAATCCATTGTCTGCAAAAATTTGCTGAAGTAAAGCTGCCGAGGCTTTAGGCGTGCGGGGTCGGTTGGGATCAGAGAAATTGACAGAGTGAGTTCCGAACCTAAAATCAGAAAAAATACGTGTGAGATTGATAATATGCTGCAGTAATAAATAATTCAATCGCACAATAATAAAGTGGGGGTTCCTCTTAAATTCGGAAAAATAAGTATATTAAACATTTGTAATTATACTTGGAGAAAAAAATTCCTAAAAATTGACCCAAATATCCCGGAAACCCTACTATTTTGTCCTAAAGTTATGTATTTTTTCACGTACCGTTCAGAATATCCTCTTGCCCTGAAATAATTTTAAATCTCACATTAGTTACAAAAATGTACTACATATTTTTCTACCATGTGAAACGTACCATTCAAAGTTATCCATCAGACTCCACGCCGTATACGCAGTTACTCTTACTTTATCAATCTTGACTGCCTTCAACATTTGGTTAATGTATTCTCGGTAGTAATTAACTCGCCCATCATCTTGCAGTCCGGTATCTGGATAGTCGGCGAATCCATTTTCCGTCACGTAAATTTCTGGGCTACCATAAGTGTTTTTCAACCAATTGAGCAATTTTCGGAAACCCCATGGTACGACTTTAAGCCATGATGCGGATGACTCTGGCCAACTTGGATCATGGGACCCGTGAGTATCTTGATCATTATCCCATCCTGCGCCGGGTTTGATCAAGGGCTCCACCAGCTCGGTCGTGTAATGATTCAGTCCCAAAAAGTCCCACGTACCTATGCACATAAAAATAATAGAGAATTAGGCATGACACTAAGTTTTCTGCGCTATCACCTTTAATTAATTTTAATACCTTTAATTTCGACTGATTCCGCGTGTGTGAATTCTGGCAAACGGGAAGGAAAGCCTTGCTCTTCACTGGCTCGGTCAACGTACTCCCTCATGACATCAGGGTACTTGCCAAAGAAAATTGGAGCCGCGAACCATCCATGCTGTGCAGAAATAATTGCATATTATGAAATTTGCGAAATTTTAGTTGTAATATCGTGCCCCTGACTGACCTTGAACTGGATCCCTCGTTCAGCTGCCTCGACATGAGTAGGGTCAGAAGAATTCTTTGGTTCGAACCAGCCAGAGTCCAAGGTGATTCCTAAAAATTATTAATAATTCATAAATTAATTTAATGGTGATTCATAAATAAATGTCCTTTAATCACCGATTGTCCCGTTTTGTTCTGGACGATACACCCTGTCATAGAGGCGATAGGCTTTGCCATGGGCTTTGATAATCGTGTGGGCACATTGATAAGGTTGATCCGTATCCTGAATTCCTGGGGCCATTGCCTAACAATTTACGGGGTAAAATATGTACTACTTTTCATGGATAGGTTAGTAATATTATTTTAAATAGTAGTACCCCTGTTGAATATCCCAAAATGCACACCACCCAAAGTCACACAAATTTCAATAAGTTCCGACTTCCTCAGACTCGGTCAGCACCAGTAGCACTTACTGAGGAGAAAGGGGAGGTTACGAGATGGTCTGCAATGCTCGATAATTTTAACTTCGCTTTTCGAATTCCAAAAAGGGCGTTAAAATCTGGCATTGCAGAACCTCCTGTCTACGTATAACCTTCCCCTCTCAAAGTGCTGGTTGTTTTATAAAGTCTGAGGAAGTCAGGATTAATATTTGCCCAAGGTTCCTAAAAACAAAATCAAATCAAATCAACCACCTGAACCACCGCTTAAAACGACATTTGTAATTCCAAAACACTGACATTAAATGTAATCCATTTTTTCACACGATCTCCAAAAGCTCGGAAGGCAACTTCAGCATAGTTTACGAAATGTGGGATTAACGCTTCATTTGGCCAGCCCCCATATTCCGCCATTAATGGTTGGGGCAAGTCCCTGGATGTACATATGTAAGAAGTCGTTTATACATATTTAAAAAAAAATCAACCAGGATCACCGTGCAATATGTTACTAACCAGTGGTAAAGAGTGATCATGGGCTCAATATTATTCGCAATGAGGAGATCAATCAAGTTGTTGTAATATTCAATTCCGAGCAAGTTGATGGAGTCATTTTTACCACTGGGCAAAATTCTGCTCCACGATAAACTGAAGCGGTAATAATGTGACCCCATGTTTTTCAACATGTCTACATCTTCAGCAATTTTGTGATAACTGTCGCATGCAATGTCTCCCGAACTTTGGTCGAAAATCGGACTGGGAGTTCGGTGGGTAAATTCATCCCAAATGTTCTCCCCTTTCCCTAAAAAACAAAGAACAAAATTTCGAATATAGTTTAAAATCTAAATTAAAATAGTAATCCAAATGAAATCTTATTATTCACCATCTTCGTTCCACCCTCCTTCAATCTAGAATCATACAATTGAATCATTAGACTCGCACACACATTGCCTAAATACATAAAATTCCGGTGCGTTCTTTACCTGATAACTCGCAGTTGCAAATCCCCATTGGAAATTTTCAGGAAACGTGTCATACAAAAATTCATCATCCTGACATGCTACAACGGCCAAAAGGCCCAAGAGGACTTTCAATTTCAACATACTTATTACTCCGTCGCTGAGACGTGGCACACTAAACTAATCCTAAATACAAGCACCGCTTAAAATACCCCTTATTATCAACAAATTCGATTTTTAATTTATTTATCAGTTCTTATGAAATGTAGATTATCTTTCTTATCGTCCAATCAATCATCCAATTCATGTGGTAAACTTATGGCAAACTTGTGGCACAAATACCACAAATAAGTTATCATCCTCCATGGTTAAGTGATAGCATGTAACTAACCCACGGTCCCATTCATTGCCGTGTGCAAAAATAAACATGCAGATAGAATGGACATGTTATTATTCGGATTATTCAAATAGTTACGTGGACAGATACATCAATTCAGCTCGTGATTTGTATGTAATCAACATCGCAATGTGTCTAAATTGAGTTACATATTACAAAAAATTTGAGTCGTGGCTGCAGAGCCTAATTATCTACTCCTCTCCTTCCTCCTCCTCTTCAGGGGGTGGAGGTGGCGGCGGTGGTGGTGGGGCAGCCTTCACAGCCGTGGAAGACGACGAGTCCTCGGCCTTCGGAGGCTTTTTCCCAAATGCTGAAGGGCCCTCAGGAACCATGCTTAACTTGCTCATGTTGATTTCTGCATTGGACGGAGAAATGGAGAGATCATCAGCTTGAGATCCACTAACTTGGACATCTTTCCCCATCAAGCCATCCTTCATCTCGCCGTAGTACACAGGACGCTCAGACCAGGCCTTGGTCTCATTGTCATCTTCATCCTGCTCTGCATCGACCCGTCCCGTAACGTGCACTTGAGGTTTGAAGGGTCCTCCTTGCGGGGCCGGTTTTTGACCTTGGACCCATAAAGCTGCCTTCTTTGGGAGCGGATTGCCATCCAATTCGACACTCTTTCTCACTTCGAGTAAACCCTTTTCGAACAGCAGCTCCGTGGTGCGGTGCTCAACCACTTTCATGACGAGGGCAATGTTATGTGGCTTTATTCCTTGTTGATTTCCTAGTCATCCAATATATACGTTTGTTATTTGATGCATATTATGAGTTTGCTTTATTGAATAAATTAACTCACCAAGTAATCCGATAATCAACTCGTCCGAGCACCCAGCAGCGTTAAAGGTTTCGTCCAAAATGTGGCCAAAGCTTTCCATATTGTGACTGGCGAGGGTAAACTTTGCCACACTTGATTCCAAAAGATGCGTCTCAGCATCAAGTTCTGCGTCCAAAGCGGACAAAGTTTCCTCTTGTTGTTTGGTCGTTTCTTTATTAAGTCTGGCAAGCTCTTCAATCTCTGCTTTAATATTTCCAATATCCTCTTGTAAACTATTTGCCTGGAAGTAATTTAATTAATTGTTCATCATCACCATCGGAGGATTTGGTAACTGCATGGTTTATGTCTCAAAATGACCCATCTTTCTTTCTTTATATGTCCATGCATTTATGCAGATTGATAAATTACCTCATGATTTAGATCCGTAATAAATTTGAACACGGCATAATTCTTTTGCTCCTCTTCGAGATACGTGTTGACCAATGATTCGATATCTCGCGACTTGGCCATGCGAAGGATCGCCTTAAAACTCTTCTTATAAGCTGCCAGAAGCGCGTCCAAATCAGTAATCTTGACTTGATTTTTGCGATCATTTCTCTGAGAAGCATTCTCAAGTTGTTCTCGTTCCTTGTTCTTGATTGCAAGAAACTCGTGGATTTTGGAGTCGTGGTGAAGGACACGTTGAAATTCTTTGATCTCGAGGACATGCTGTTTCGAATCTTTGTCATTTCGTTCGCGAAGAATGTTAATCTTATTGACCCATTCGTCCCTGGAAGGAAGAGATTGATGATAAATAAATATTTAAAGGTTAAGTATTAATACGATAATGGATTAATAATTCACACCTCTGATCGTAAGCTGCAGTTGCTTCATATACAACTTCACCCATCCGCTGCTTTATTTTGGCAGAAAGCTTCTTGATGGTCAACATTCGACGGTAAAAATTACCACGGAGTTTGAGCATCATATTTATTTCTTGCTTGAGTTGCTTGTTGTGCGAGACTAGGGTGTCAAATTGGGTGGTGACCTAATAATGGTATGCTCATAGATAAGCTTGCATATTGTATAAGGATGCACAAATATTTAGTGACTAACATGATACAATCTGTTTTCCAAGATGCGTTTACGATGGTCAGCCTGAGGAACGGTCATACTTTGTCCATACAACGCTTGAACTTTCAGCTTTTGTTCCACCAGTCGTTGCGTGATTCGGTCTACGTTTGATTCCATCTCGGTAATACTGAGGATGCATGCGGCAATGTCCTGCTTGTATTTTTCATATCGTTCCAAAGCCTCCAATATTGTTCGAATGCTTGCTGTATTAGTAAAATAGCCAAGTTTTGCGTCTCAAAAAATCTCATGTTGTCCGTTGTTCTCAAATTACATACCCTTATCCTTCATGCGATAAGCTCGACATCTCGCATTCTTAATGTCAGTAAGAAGGTCCTCTTTCTCTTCACGAAGTCGCTCCAAAAGTCTCCCTTGTTTCGACAACTTTCCAGATGCGCCTGAAATCATATTTTTTGAAATGTTTTTTTTTCTAAATTAATGGAATATGTACATATCACAAGCTCAAGATATATGTATTACCTTGTATTGCATGTCGGGCATCTTCCATCAATCGGTACTGACGATGTAATTTTTTAAACTCCTCTTTGACCAAGGTTTCGAAATCGACTTCTTCATCGTTCGTGTGTCCTCGTCGACCAGCGGGGCGTTTTCTGGAACCTTTCCCCATTTTGAGGCAGATTTCCTACCTGGTGAAAGTTACTAGAGCTTACCACAAGAATAATATACAGCGGGTATGAGAGAACTTTTGCTCTCTATTTTTATACAACAAACACAAAAATATGAAATTGCGATGAGACGTAGACGTTTCTGCTACAAAATCTCAGATTTTATAAAATATGCAAATCAGAAATGTAACCATAGGATGAATTTGAGATTTCTGTGAGATGACGCTCATGAAACTCATGAAAATCGATTATCCGGCAATTTATTGATCAATCGCCCGGCGTCCGTTTTCTCGAGTAGAAAGTTTAACCAATCTCTGGCAAGATTAATTTCTAAAACACCAAAAAATGTATAAAATTGACTTTCCAATTGATGCGAAGGAGGCTGCGGTTATCTCCAGACGTCGTCGTGCCGAGGAGGAGAGAAAGTTGCGCATTTTCAACCCCCATCAACGTATCATTGGGGTAGCTCATTGCCTATCAGAATTGCATCCTTAACAAAGTTCTAAATTTTAGCTATATACATTTTTTTTGCATTCACTTGAAACAGAAAGACCTAAAAGCTCTCGAGATACAAATTCAGGAGAAACGAGAACGGAAGGAAAGGGAAAAGGAGTTGGATGAAGCATGGGTTCGCGAGACGAATCGTCAACAATTACTGGTCATGGAGCTTCAGCGTCGTGTGGAAAATGTAGCTTATTTAATTACCAACTTTAAATTCAAGTCGCTTTATTACATAATGTTCTTCTGATAATATGTTATCAGGATAAGAAGCGGGTGTGGAGTGATGTTCAAGATTTCCGTTCCTCCTGCCAGAGGTTCGAAGACCGACGAGAGTTTGACCTCAACGACAAGAGAAAGTTGGCGTATGCAGCTCGCCTACATGACGAAGACGTTAGAAATGGACCTGCATCCATGCAAAAGTGCTGAAATTTATGCAATCTTTACAAACTAGAATGACATTTTTTACATGAAACTATTTATGCAGGTTTGAAGGCGAAGACTTGAGCTACAAGCAGCGAATTGTAAACCAAGAAATGCAAAAAAAGGCTTGGTTGGATGCCCAAATTGCCGAAAAGAAACAAAACCAGCGTGAATATGAAGAAGTATTATTAATAATATTTCCAGACCCATCCATTATCAATCAATTATTTTTTAAATTTCAAATAGGCCCACAAAATGTACGAAGAACGCCTCAGAGAAATGTCTCTACGAACCACGGAGCTCGGGCGAGCAGAAAATCAAGCTAGACGAGCAGTAGAATTGGCTTACAATCAGTATAATTTGGCCCTGGTAAACAAAAGATTGTATTAAATTATCTTTAATTGATAGCCAAATGGACATAATAATCTACATAATTTGCATTTTAAGGCACAAGAAAATGCAGAAAAGAAAAAGCTTGACCGACTCGCCGACGAGGAGGCCACACTCGCCCACCAACTCAACTGCTTCCACAGTGAACTGCTGACCGAGGTCACGGATGCCACGTCCATCAACGGACCTTTCCGCGTGGGTCGTGCCCAGTTCAAGGGTTATACGGAGGAAATGATGAAAACCATTCGGGAAGAGCAGTTGCGACAGGCAATGGACAAAAAGCGTCGGGAAAAGGAGGAGCAGGCGTATGACGCTGCCTGGGAGAAAATGAATCGACGTTATGCAATTGCTACTCACATTTTGGACAAGGAACTGGACAGTAGGAAAAAGTGGGTCATTTCAAATTAATTAATATTATGTATGCATTACATTATGCAATAATTATTTTTTTGGGAACAGAGATAAGCACATTGAGCTCACCAACATAAATCGAGAGTTGGCCCAAGAACAGCGTCTTCGACAAGATTACATGAACAATTTGGTCTACAAGGGAAACTTCACGGAAGGATTTTTTGACCAATTTAACACCTCTACGCGATAATCTACCTGCATATATCCTACAACCATGAACACTTGTATTGATATGCACGACAACAGCAGCTTAGTATTTTTGGTACACGATTTCATGATATGCTAATCTAATCATATATGTATTAAATAATAAAACTACAAATAAGTAACCGTATTCTTTTTATTAATGGTTGTTGTTATTATTAATATCGATAGCAAACCAATTATATATCTGAGAATATATATGCTGCCTGTCATTTAAGTAGTAAGAAAAGATTGAACACCAATAATGTATCTGTAGACCAAGAATACATACCGGGTAGGTAATAATTTTAAGTTGAATAATAATGAGTTGTATATAGCAGTAAAATAACAAAACGTAACAAAAAACGAAAAGAGATTTGTATAATTTACACCACTCAGAAACTTATTCATAAGCAACCCTAAAATTTCATACTGACGATTTTCTAGGAATCAACGTCCATTCTTCTCGTGTCGTTTCATTCCGACGCTTTTGCCACTACAAAAATATCACCGTTAGTTAAATTTGATAGATTTTCATCATAAGGTAATTCTTTAATTGAGGTAATCAATGCAATATTAATATACCTCCGGGGATTCTGGATCTCAACGTTTTCATTTTCAAAATTCTTCTTCCAACGCCCATTACTGTTCAATTGAATTCTAGAACGGTTGCCACGTTTAGAATAACATGCATTAAAATCAGCATAGATCAAGATAAATATGCAATGCATGTTTTACCTTGAGTTATTTTCTGGTTGCTTGTTACTGCGTGCAGTACTGCCTGCACCATTACCATCTCTAAAGACAAAAGTTAATGCGTGTCCGGTGTCAAGAAGCTCTTGTATTAAAATGAAACGTACCGGTGTTCTCTGTTGGCCATTATAGTAACTCGAAGATCTTCATGTTCCGTGAGTTCGACATTTCTGCTCTGGAGAGGCACAGTTGGACCTCGCTGACGCCAATCCATATCTTGAGAATCATTTTCTTGGCGATTTTGAGCACTACTACGATCGCCTAAAGGTCTTGAAGCAATGTGTTGATTCCTTCCTAGGTGACGGTTCGAGCTTCTCCAGTCTACGCTACCACCTTCATATTGTCTTGAGTTGTTGCTCCGGTGTCGCCAATTTTGATCGTCTTCGCCGACGAGGGCCCGTACGCTGTAAATCCGATTATTAGGTTGTGGCTGGTCAGCATTCAAGAGAGTTAAGAATTCCTCAATTTTTCGCTTGTCATCATGAGCCATGTGTGTAGTGTTCATTAATAATGCCTTTACAGCCTTAAATTGAACAAGACCACGTCGTTGGTTGGGTACATGTTTCCCATTTAAAGTTTCCTGCAATTAATGAAAATGAGAAAACGATAAAAAACAACAAGAACTAAGTATTATCACCACCTTCAAATAGCTCCCCAATTTTTCTTTTTCCGATTTATCGTCGTTATCAAAAATTTGCAACCATGTCCTTATGGCATCTGTCGAATTCCCTTCTATCCACTGAAGGTATCCTTTCAATGCGAGCAACTTTCCCAGATACACTTTCTTGTGTTGATAATTGAGAAGAAATTCGTCAATCAAATCTATTAATTCAAGATAATTCAACATTTTGAATTTCTCCTTGAGATAATCCATAAGACAAGGAAAATTTTCCGAATCAGCTTTCACTGCATCTTCAAAATACTTGATTCCAGCCATCTTATCTCTCTGCAATATTTAATTATATTATTATTTTCTGAACTGATACAATTCAAGACAGAATCGCACTAACAAGTAATAAATATGTTGCAGTTAAATATTGGTATTACCGTCATATAATATTTTCCCAATTTGTGTAAAACCTGAGAGTTATTGGGCCATTGTCGGAGACAACTCTCGAAAAACATTTTGGACTTTGTGTAGTCTTCATCAGTTGCCTTGTCTTTATTCAAGTAGGCTTCAGCTAACTTCAAGTTCACCGAAACATTATGAGGAGCCTTGGCCTGGGCTTGGCTGTAATTAAAAGTATGGCAAATAATTGATATGATTGGTCAACATTTCCTTCCGACAGAATGAATAATTACACATAGTTATTTATATAATTACAGCTTACGTCAATATGTCGATTATTTTTGGATCCAATTCTTGTCGATCTTTTAAAGATCTCGTTGCTCTTTTCGTATCCTCGAGCAAGTTGGCGTTAGACAAAAGTGCAATCCAATCGTCTGGGCACAGTACAATGGCCTGAGAACAAGCTGCAGATTCTTCTTCGCCAGGCGGTGCACCAAAATCATTTTCTCTTCGCTGACGACGCAAAGAAGTGTAGTGGTGATGCACCCAGTCGAAACAATTGGGATCCAACTGTGCAGCCTAATAAAAATAAGGAACCTCAACCTAGTAAATTACCACATGAATACATAAACGCTGTTATACTCGTAATAATTTACCCATCGATATAGCTTCACGGCCTTAGACGTATTGCCAAGCTGTGCGCTTATGTGCGCCTTCATGCCCAGAAATACCGCTTTGAATAAATCATCAGCAAATACCTCCCTCCCTCCGGAATCCCATTTTTCAATTTCAGCCTTGAAGGACTCGATAGTTAACGTCGACGATCTCCTTTTCGAGCGTGGCAACAGCAGGCCAGCACCAGACACGAGTAGTTTATCGCAGAGCTAATCAGAAATTGCTAAAATAATTCTATTGCTTGCCGACAAAATATGTAATATTGAATCTCACCAAGATGAATTGGTAGACTTGCAATTGTTTAGTAGTGCCAGTCTTCTTTTGTGTTTCCGAAATGATCTTTTTTGCTTCATCAAAATATTTGCCGACTTGATCCGTGTCGCCATGCAAGAGTGCCGAGTACACGGCAAGAAGTAACCTGAATTATTATTTTATCTATAGAAAGTTGTATTTTTAATCAAAATTTTAATTAAAAGACTCACTTCTGCGACACGGTCTGGAAGACGCTCAAATGTTCGTCTGATTCGGACTCCCATTCTTTCATTTTGTCATACAACACTTTGATGCGTTTCTCATCGAGAAGCCCTTCGCTATTGCCAATTTGGAAAATCCACTTGAAGTGTGATTCCAATACGAAAATTTCCTGGGTCTCTAGCAATGTCGCAAACGATTTGAAAGAAAATCCTGTCAAATAAAAGATAACAATGCAAAAAGCGAATTAGTGAATGACTTCTACTAAAATATCATACCTTCTCCAAGCACATCATTCAAATCAGTTGGTGTTTCAATCAATCCATTTGCGGTTATCTCCACCGCCGAAATTCCGTTGGTCAGTTCATCCACGTCTTCAGTGGGAGAAACGTATTCTTCTTCTTCATCATGATGACCGTTTAACAAGTTTGGCAACTGATGCGCACGGGAGGGAGGTAATCGAATCCTTGAATCCATTTTGTCGTCGTCCTTGCTTGTCGCCACACCACACGCGACACACAGTTAAAAGATAAGTACCTCACCAATCTACCTCTCAGACTAAACCCACCGACCAAAACACATTTAAAAGTAACATACAGTCGCCACAGCCCTATACTCTCAAAAGTATGAAAATAACTCAAATCTTATCAAAATAATCCGGCCTGATAATAAATTTGTTTATACTGAACGCCCAAAGACTTAAATTTCATAAATGACGATAATCACTTAGTTTTACGAAGATTTGGCTAAATCATTTAGAAAATAATGATACGGTTCAGTGCAGTGTTCAAACAACTGGAACAAAAGAACTAACTAACTAAACTAACTATCCTAACGCTAATTATTTAATGAGCGAGAAAATATTTAATTGTGGAAATATTTGGAGTGGCAAAACTAAATTCCCAGGCCCACGGAAACAAACTGAACAACTGCTCTACTCCAATAGCGAAGCCAGACTGACGTTGTGGTGGGAAGAGGAGGCCGAGGCCGTTGGATTTTGAGCCTTGCGGGCTGTCCATTAATTATGCTGGGGGTTGGGTTCGTGGATGTTCAATTTAGTTTGCACAAGGAAACAAGGAGTGTGTAGATAGGCATGTGCACGATTTTTGGGGACGTAATTAATGAACAACCCTTTACGATTTTTGACCGTTACGCATTCAGACAGGATGAAACATGTTTTTTTTGTGGAATTTTTATGCATGCAATGAAGTGACATGCAATATTTTCAATGTCGCTGGATGATTTTATTTCCTTCAAGTTTTTCAGATCTAATTGAACAAAAAATATATTTCTGATTTATTTTATAATAAAATTTATTCTAAAGTTCTATGAGAATGGGCATTTGAAAAAATATCCTATTGGTTTGAGTAAGTCGTTCACTTTTGTATACAAGTTCTGTTCATGTCCATAAATTTATTTTATTTAAAACTTACTTTGTGTCCATCCAGCCAGTGGCTTTGGCAGATTTGGAGGAGGTCAACCCAACATCGTAAACCGACATGTCCATCTCTCTGGTAGAACTTATCTCGAAAAACTCTCTGTAAATCTCTTCATCATTTTTCGAACGGCGAAATCTGCACATAACGAGTAAATGATTGAAATATGAGTAATTCTAAACCAAACCTGTTACAAATTGATTCCATTCTATTCTTACTTTTGCACAATTCGCGCAGCATGTGCCCAGTATTTTAGTGAAGTTTTAAAGTCATTATGGCGAAAGAAATATGCTGCATTTGAGGTGTACTGTGCATATCTCCATAATAAGTTCTACCAGAGAGCACAGCGTCCTGATAAAGAGTTGGACATGTCGGTTTGCCAGATGTTGGGTTGACCTCCTCCAAAAGCCACTAGCAGACGGACACAGAAGTAAGTTTTAAAATAAATCTATGGACATGAATAAAACTTATATAGATATATCAAAAGTTAACGACGTACTCAAACCCATTAATTGGGTATTTTTTCAAATGTCCATTCTCATACAACTTCCACAATAATATTTGCAACAAAGGTCACGCTATTACATAGTAGTATGACCGTAGCCTATGACGCCAAGTCCAGTTCTTCCCACCATTTATCCTTAAGGATTTAGATGTCCTTCAACGTCCCCTCACAATTTTCACATCGTTATGCAATCAGAGAGAGAGAAACAGGATTTTTCTGTGCCATGCAATGCAATATGCAATTCATCTTCTGCTTGAAAATATTTTGGGTACGTTTGTCGCTGGATAATTTTATTTCAAGTTTTTCAGATTCAATTGAACAAAAAATATATTTCTGACTTATTATAAAATTTGTATTATAAATGTCACTCTTCAAAAATATATCCGGCACACTTTGCTCCCGCAACATCATCAAAGAAAACCTCTTGACCCCTGCCCTGTGATCCCTTAGCCGTGCCAAAAATGGTCATTAACGGGATCAAATGTTCTTCTCTGGGATGATTATCTCTTGCCCGAGGGGCACTTTTCCACCCTACTAACTTGTCCTTCTTCTCTTCGTACGGCTTCCCATCGTCGGTGAGCACGTCCCTTAAATACTTGTGGAAAGGGATACTGACATCATTCGCGTCGGCACTGCCAAATCCTCTCATATTGTGGTAAGACATGCCTGATCTAAAAAAAATGGAGAAATTGTTATTATCATTATTGTCATTTCATCCGTGTAGAATTTTTGTTAAATTTCTAACCCCAAGATGAAGACGCCTTCGTCTCTCAAAGGGGCCAGCGCCTCGCCAAGCTTGATATGTACTTCAGGGTCAAGTCCTCCAACGAGGGATATTTGCATAGTGGGAATGTCCCCGTCCGGAAAGAGGAGCATCATTGGGATGAAAACGCCATGATCGAATCCTCTCTCACTATCGCTTTTATGTTGAATTCCAGCCTTATCGAGGAGCCCTGCGACCCGTTTGGCTAATTCTGGGGCGGGTTTAAGCGGATAATTTAGATTGTAGGCTTCCTTGGGAAATCCATAATAGTCATAATATAAAGAAGAGGTGTCTCCAGTTTGAAGTGTGGTCACGGGAGCTTCCCAATGGGCGGAAATTATTAGGCATGACGTCGGCTTGTTACGGGACAGGTGGGTGGAGACGAAATTAGATAGCCAGGCGGTCAAGGTCTTGTGTGCCCGGTCTCCTAAGATGGGAAGGGGGCCACCACCATGGGGGACAAATGCTGATGGAATTCTTTTTTCATTGGTAGTTGACATTATTTCAGAAGTTTGGCTTTGATATAGCGCGAATAAGGTTGATGTTATCTAAATAATAAATAATTTAAATTTAATACCCACCATAAATTAAATTATATCAACTTACTCAACAGTGCAATTTTTGCAGACCTAGAAATTCTTTGAAATGTTGTATAAGCTCTTGTAAACATGAAAATGCTTTAATTTTCCTATATCTCTCCTACTCTGTACAAATGTACATATACAGTTGCATGTAGATGGTACAGTGGCAACGATAATAAATTTAACCAATAATACCTCCTTGTGGTTAATTATCTTATTATTGTGCAAAGTTCTAGTCATGCAAATGTATAAACTGCACGTAAATCAGCAGCCTGTTTTCATTTCGCTATTCCCTCTACGAAGTGACGTAATTATACATATAGCAATACTATAGCTTGCAAATTCTTATGTGATGACTATGAGCGTGCAAATTGCAGTTTTTTGCATGAATATCCTAGACCATGGACCGAGGCGACGCTCATTTAACCAAAGGTGAAAAATAGAATGGATTTTTATCAATTTTTTTATGAATTTTGTCGGCACACTCATGAACAAAGAAAATGAGTCATTTTCTACCCATTCTGGTTTATTTCATGAGTCATTTCATGTTTTACATCACCGAAAAAACCCGATTTTCTCACCGCGCCCCACTCCCCGCTCAATCTAACCTTCTCCCGCTTGGCCTACGAAATCGTCCCTCTTTCTCCAGCAACAAACAAACAACAACGCAGAAACGATCTCAAAATTTCGGATCGGATTTTTAATTTATTTCATGACTAATTAGTTTCGTTTTTTTACTAATTGTCCAGTCCCAGGATGAGTCTCAACAAAGAGTCGCCTCGATTCCTCTCAAATCCAGAGTCGAAATCACTCTTTCCCCTCCAGACAATTTTTGACTTGGAGAAATTGTTTGAGCTGGAATTTTTGTCAAGTAATGATCCCAATCTGGCCGTGTTATCCATCATTCTGGGCGCAGTGGAAAATTCGTTGGTGCAACTAGACTACAGCGCAGCTATCCCGGTCTTGGTGAATAATAAAAAGGGATCGAAGTCGGTGCCGGCGACCGCGACGAGGAAATCAGTGGGCGCAGTAAAGCGGAGGAAAGGTCGTAGTCGCCCCGTACATCAGGTCGAATATAAAGACGGGAAAAGTAGTGGGGGGAGTAATATCAATGCGAAGAGTGAAACTTCTGGTAGTGGGGGGACGGACAAAACTTCTCCCGATTGTTCAGAGGAGGATGGGAAAGAGGAAAGTAATTCACCATCGGTGGAAGGAGGAGGTGAAGATGGGATGAGCGATAAGGAAAATGTTAAGGTACTTTATAAATTGAATACTAGTTCATTTCTAACTATAGTATAGTACGTTAATCTAATTATGGCATATCCCCGATAATACAAACAAATTAATTAATTAATATCGTTTTGTGACTTGAGCAGGGTGACTTTCCTCCGCTCGAATTGGACATTGTAGAAGCACTATTTTTCAAATTCTACCAAGATGTTTTGAAGACATACGTCGATATTACACAATTTGGGATGGAGGAAGGAATTGAAGTGGATAATACGCCGAAAGAGCTGGTGAAACGAGTCTCCGATGTCGTGTGGAGTTTGTTATCAGGAAATTATAAAGCAGATACGCCCCATATCCAGTCGTTGTATATGTACTTGACAGGTGAGGTTAAGATATTATTTCATCAGATTTTGAATCATTTATTTAATTATGCATTTTCTTCATATATTAGACAAGAAGCTTGACAGTTTTGGAGTATCGTTGGCTGTAACAGCAGGATGCCAGTTGTTGGGATTAAAAGATGTAACAAATTAACCCAATTTTTTCTGAAATCTTTTTGGTTTTATGCCACATTTCATATTTTTATGAAAATCTCATGAAGGTCCATCTTATGATGTCGGAGGACCATTCATGGGTTGGATTTGGAGGTACCGATGAGAAAAATCGTCCCAAACAAATGTCCGAAGTTACTTGGCATGGTAAATTGATTTCTAATATGAGTTGAAAATTTTAAATTCATAATAATTGCAATTATATATTATTCCAATACTTAATGCTCATTTCAGGAAAGGGTGTAGAGGACAAGCGAGGCAAGGAAGTCGGATTGGGGGAAGAAGAGGATTCTTGGCTCTACCAGAAAGGACATGCAGTTTACTGTTCAAGACACATGGAAGTTGCTGCAATAGTGACTTCAATTAACTCTGCAATTAGTACAAGTTTGAATTCCATTGAGCTGGTGAAAATTCAGCAAATATTGTTGTGGAAGTTGTATGAGAATGGACATTTGAAAAAATACCCAATGGGTTTGAGTAAGTCGTTCACTTTTGATATATTAATTATATTCAGTATTCATAGATTTATTTTATTTAAAACTTACTTTGTGTCCATCCAGTGGCTTTGGCAGATTTGGAGGAGGTCAACCCAACATCTGGTAAACCGACATGTCCTACTCTTTATCAGGACGCTGTGCTCTCTGGTAGAACTTATTATGGAGATATGCACATCTATCCGTACACCTCAAATGCAGCATATTTCTTTCGCCATAATGACTTTAAAACGTCACTAAAATACTGGGCACATGCTGCGCGAATTGTGCAAAAGTAAGAATAGAATGTAATCAATTTTTAACAAGTTTGGTTTTGAATTACTCGTATTTCAATAATTTACTCGTTATTTGCAGATTTCGCCGTTCGAAGAATGATGAAGAGATTTACAGAGAGTTTTTCGAGATAAGTACGGATGCTCTTGTCACGGTTATGAAATCTTGTAGTACCGGATTCCAAGCAAATTCGATCGTCAGAGATCCCATGTGCTTCGCGCATCTGTTACGCATTTTTGACGGCATATGTTCATGGGAGGAGCGGTCTAAATCCAGTATCGTTCACATCACATGGGCAAAAGCGTGGGTTCAAGCAATTGGTCGCTTCGATTATACGATCAGACGATTGGTTAGCACATCGGATGGCACCTTGCTGGAAACTGTAGGAAAAAGTGGATCCAAGGAGAATGGAACGGCAGAGGATGAAATTGAGAAAGGTATAATTGATGTATAAATAAAGATCGTATGTAATTGAATGCTTCAGCTCAGCAAAAAAACAACAACTTTTAATAAACGTTTTGTTTTTTGAAGATTCTGGAATTGACGAAGAAGATGAACCTCCACCACGGGTTACCCTTTTCAGCCAGAAAATGCGACAGGTAAGATGTTTAATTATGCCTGATCTAAAAGTAAGATGTTTAATTATTTGCAATTCGTTGGCAATATCCGCAACGACAGATGAAGGGTTTCTTCAAATTGGAAAAGTACAACCCGAGTGCAATAACGTTGCTTCTAACTGCACAAACCGCTGTTGAGGACGCTGTCGAAAAGGAATCCAACGGTCCAGGATTCAGATCCAGACGAGAACGATTATCTCAAAGCCTGGAAATTCCAAAGGTTGACAACCACATTACCAACAATTCCGAAGCTAACCGCAGTGCCAGAAGTGCCCACGATGATCCTCCATCAAGAAAGCGGTCAAAGATTTCACCTTCATAAATCAATTATAAGAAACGTAATGACTTAACCCTTCATATGACCTTATTTCTCATTCGTAACTAATTTTTTGTTTGCTAATTTCAACCTATACCTTCAGTTAGGGGATACTATTGTTTTTATTTTAAGGTATACTGTGGTGATCTCGTTTTTTGTGATTTATTTTGCACCATTTAGCGGGCTAATATTTTTTACAAAACATGAATTTGAGCCAATCTAGCATTTTAAGATTGTATGTTAACTATATGAAATATTAGGGTCTCCCAAGTTTGTAAAAAAGATCTAAAAAAGCGAAAAGCTAAAAAATCTGAAATCCGCTTTTTTCGCTCAATACTTGACTGTCCCGATTTTTTATCGCTTGAATACTCAGGAGCAGAGAATGGGTGGTCAGGAAACTTTCGAGTTTCTTTTAAAATTTACATTTGCTCGATGTTGGATATGATGAAACAACTATCTAAGATCATGAAAATCCAAAAATTACCAAAATGGGATGAAAATAGGATTTTTGGCAAAGGTTTGAATGCGGTAGTTTTAGTGGTTACAATGCTTTTCAGGGGGTGTGGCGGGCGCAGGTGGGGCCATGGAGTAAAATCCTCCTTCACTTTTCACACACTCACCTGCTATTGAAATATATTCCATAGGACATCAAAATCGGATGATGTCCCCTTAAACATGTCTCTGAGAGACTGATTTTTCACTCAAAGTATTAAAAAGAGCGAAAAAATCATCTTAAAGTAGATTTTATTTTTGAGCAGAAAAAGCAGAAAAAAGATCGGAATCGCATGCGCAGTGCGGTTTACGAAAAGAGCGAAAAAATCGTGAGCGGAAAAAGCGATTTTTTTTACAAAGTTGGGACACCCTATTATTCAGTTTTATGGCCAATAACATGCACTCCATAATAAATATTTAGGTAAAAATAATATTATACTTATCATCATCACAGATTGAAAGGAATTGTAGAAATGCAAGTAGTTAGGTGAAAACTGGGTAAAGGAAAATAATAATGACGAGTTATTTTTCACGCCGGAAATTTTTCTGGAGCAGCGGGATTGCTGGGGTTCTTGTCAACTGTGATCAAATTGATGTGACAAACTATGCATTTTATTTTGCTTTTAACAGAAAAAAGCATAATACCATTAAGAAGAGGAATACTAATTTTAAAACTGGAAAGTATTGAAAGAAAATGATATTACCTGTAGCTCACACAAGTAGTGATTTAGAATGTACCTTATGAAAACCTTGTATAAATGAACTAGTCTGAGAAATATTGAGTGACTCGCTTAAACTAATAACCCTTATTATTATCATCTTTTTATGAACTTTTAAAAACAAAAAATTGTAACCCTTTTACAAAAAATGTCCTCCTCGCACGTTTTGATTAAAATTTGTTTTATGTAATATAATAGTGCAAAATTTACAAAACCTTGGCAGAAAGTGCAAATTGTACCTAGATGAAATTAGCATACGCAATATAATGTCCACAATTAGGATATTCTACATACTACATTTGCCATCTTTTTTCTTGTTATCTAATCTGTGTATATACATATGTACCTCTACGTTTACTTTTTGAATGAACGAAGCATGTACTCCTGTATTGGAATGACTGAACTTACCTACCTTACAGCAAATAAGCAACAGCAAAAAATTGTCCGAAATACTATATTGCGAATAAAAATAGAAGAGCCTTTCTTCTCAACACGGCAAATCCTGTTCTCTATTCATTTGCATATGTGGTGCATATCATTCAATTTAATCATTACGAAATAGAAGTAGCCTTAATAATAATTTACTCTGAGAATTTTACACATTTTTATTAACTTTCTCCACATATTATATTTCAAAACATTTTAAAGTAACAGGTCTGTTTTTGTATTTATGTTTGTGCAATCATTTTTCCATAGTGGTTGAGTTTTAAGTGTTGAGTGCAAAGTATTGCAAAAGTACGGACTAATGAAAACTTAATCAAAGTTGACGTAATCTATTAAGTAGAATCACAAGTTAGGTAATGGTTAGGTAATACCTGTCATCGTCACTTCCTACATAGTGTCATGTTATTCTCCACCCTCGAAATAAATTAGTAGTAAGTAGGTACGTGTATTATTTATACGAGTTACATTTTCATAGTACAATACTAGCAGTAATAGTATTTTTGGTAGTCGTTGTAGATGAAGAATGGGTATTATTATTAACATTCTAGGAAACTTTGACTTGCAAAAAAGTTTTGTAATTATTTTGACTATGTATACGATTTGAGACAGAGAAGAGAAGAAGAATTCATCATGAAACTGTCAAAATAATCTAAATCTAATATCTGCCAAAGTCTGTCAGATTTCTATATCATCGCCATATTTATTTTATTATTTATTTAGTAGTCCTACTCTTCTTAATCTGGTAATTATTAGGAAATTGGATTATTAGGAGCAGGATGGTGAGGACAGGACGGGACGCATGCGAAATTCTGAGTACTTTGAAAGAATTAAGTATTATTTTAAGATATTATTGGTTCCGTATATTGCATCTATACCACAATTTTTAGTTATTTATTTAGCCACATACAGATTTATTATGCTAATAATACTTTCATCATTGTTAGCAGTGTTCATATCAAGTAATACATTCACAGTGTATGTAGACTATGGAATAAAGTCGGTAATTATCTAATGGAAGAAGTTAATAATGTCTTTTGTATTTCTTGACATAAAATCCCACTCATTCAAAAGTGAAAGTTGCAAAAACTAGCGAGAATAATGGGTAGAAATACTTGTGAAAATTGTCATGTTTTTTCCCTTTCTCTCGAAACTCTCAAAAAAAACTTTATCATAAAATGACTGAAATTTATCAATTTTATTTTAGCCATTCGATCCAACACTCAATTTTGTCGCCTAAATATCTGTATTGACCTCACGACAAAGGAAGAAAGTTTTTTCGCGTTAACATTTGCCTATATATTTCGTTGGACCGGACAATTACTGCCGAGCTAACAAATAACTTGTCTGCATGCAACGGTGATAGATAATTATTCTTATTGTCGCTACAAGGAAAAATGTCTTCATCGATCTACCCGAAGCATCCTGAGTTTTATTAATGATAGTGACGTGATCGTAGCTTTTGGCTGGCTATACCTGAATTGTTAATTATTATTATGTGCGCTGTAATAGAGTTAGTTAGTTCTTCTTCTAAATGAAAGTATGGATGAGTGCTGTGTGCGGTGAACTTTTCTTTCCCGTCCACTTATCTTTGGCTATGATGATGATCATCATTAATAAATATGACTTAACCTTATTTCCTACCATGTACAGACAAATGTATGTACGTATCGTTAATGGAACGGTTAGTAGTTTGGATTAGAGACGTATTTAACGGCATATATAACTTCACGTCTCAGGGATCGCGTTATTAAGGAAATAATTAGGACAAAGTAAGTTATACTAATATGCTCGTGTCCTGTTTTGGCTGTGTCACTCATTCGTACAGACATGTTAATTTTCTGGACAACAAAGAATGCGACGTCACCTTATGTAGCCGCCCATTTCGCGTACGTGTATACTGTAATTATTGCGGTGAAAGTGTATAGTACGATTATCCTGTTCCGGGACAAGGGATGATGATGGATTGGATCAAGTATGTGTACATACATATATTTCAACTCACGAGAAAAAGGCGAACACATTAGGACAAAGGAAAGTTTAAACCAGCAACTGGTGCATTCTCGGAGAGAGATTGATTTAGGTAATCAAGTGATTAAATAGGAGATGAAAGCTGCAGAGAAAGAGCAGACGGTTCTGATTGTAAATAGTGCATAGGGAAAGAAATTAAGGAGATTTGATTAGAAGAGAGATGTCCTTGGGTAAAAACAACATTGATCTGTTGAGACTTAGGACAGAATTACGTAATAAAATCTGTTCTGTTTTTTTACTACGTTTAGCTTAGCACACACTAGTTTTCTAAACTTTTCCATTTTTTGGAAAGTTAACAGATTTACAAAGTACGAGACGAGACGGTACATGACATTCATTACACGTAATACTTACATATATTTTACATACATTACATACATTGATGCTGAGCTGCTTGCTTGCTTGCTGCTGCTTTTGCCACTACTGACATATAATTAACGATAATAATAAGAGAGTTGAAGATGATAGAGAATGACACATCGTTGTACTATTCAATACATATCGAGATCAATTAATGAGATTATATTCTACACTTTTTTTAAGCTAAAGCTAACAACAAACTCAAACTCTTGCTTTCTTTCTGGCAGCTTTTTTTTTACTCAAGCCGTCCGAATCTCTCCTTGTTCAGACATTGTGTTTTGAATTTGATTCTTTTCAAATGCTTTTCTGTTGTTCCACAACCTGCTGTTCTGCTTTGAGAATAAGGGGGTATCGTTATCACCACCACCGGATGTTGCTGCAACTGACATAGAGAAATAACGAACATTCATTGGGATTAGTATGTACTTTCTTTCCTCATGGGTGGGCTCTATTAAATATTTATTGCTCTGAAATACATGAGAAAAGAAGGGGGATTCAATTTCGTAATACAAACTATGTAGCTGCCCTTGAATGAATTACCAAACACTCACGAACAAAATATTACTTAGCCATTGCAATTTTACCAATTTAGCCAAACAATAGCAAAATATTTTTGCGGCATACTTTTTTTGCAGCATTTGCCATTTTGTAATAACATGACATGACACACACAACATTTACACTGATCTTTAGGCAAAACAATGAAGTATAAGAGAACGAGAAGTATACACATTTTTAGAAAGTGATATGCAATCTGCTCATAGCTTGAGATGTAGAAGAAGAAGAAGAGACATTTGCAGACAAGGCGGAACAGAGAGAGAGAAGTAAAAGTGAAAGTGAAAGAAGAGAGAAATAATTTTTTTATTATGATTAGCGAAGAAGAGAAAGCACGTTGATAGACATAAAAATTACTAGGAGAAGAAACATGTACAAATCGTGCCCATATTTTTTTTGGTTGGCCCTACTTTACTTTCACTAACTTGATTTGATTGATATCAATAATGAAAACATAAATATTTACTGTGAGAAAGAACAATAATGGAATGACTTTGTCTGTCTTATTATTCGATATGTCATCATCCTGACAAGGTGAAAGTGATCAAAAGTGACAGTGAATCAAAAATCAACATCCTCAACAAAAAATATATCAAAAATCTTATTGAAATATCTCCCTTTAAGAAATCTATATGGAAGTCGAAATTGAGTGTGATTTCCTTTCTCTCCTCGAGTCAAACTTGCGCTAACAAATGTGCTAATATGTTTCTGGAATGATAATTTACAACAGATTGAGGAGAAAATGCGGCTAAAAATATATTTATAATTTTTTTAGTGTCTTTCTTTCTCGGTCTTGTTTTTTGTTTGCCTTGTCTGATCTGTGATTGATTGATGATGTGAGCGGAAGTTTGAGGATGAGTTGTCTGTCTGTCGCTCGTTATGGCGGAATGGCTTCCCAATTATTGCAGGGAGAGAGAAGTTCACCCACGACAACGACTTAATTGTCACAGATCTAAAGTCATTAGAGGGACACACAGGGTTTAGTTATTGGACTCTGTAAAACAATCAACAAACCAACAGTCAGCACATTAAAAACCATGAGACGGGTGAAGCCATTACACTCTTTTTTTATCACTTTCTGTGAGAAAGAAAGCAATAATTAGTAATTAATAATCTTCCTTTTAAGTATGTGTGTAAGTAAAATTGTATCAAAATTGAAAATGGGAAACTGTCTCAACTACTAAATTTTTATCTAGATACTGATTTGAAATTTTTAAAAAACGTATTGGTGTAACTAACCGTGAATAAAAGCTGGTTTTGATGGCACGCAACATGACATGAATTGAGGTCAGGGTTACTTGCTAAGGGTCGGGTCACATACAAAAAGTAGTAGGTTGTATAATAATAATAATACAAGAGTAAGAGTAATAAAGAGTAAGAGGTAAAATTTCAAATTACGAGAAATACACTGTCTCAATAAGGAATTTGAGCCAATATTTTTACTCTGCAACAACATCTACACAACAATCTGCGCACATTTAAAGGCCAAAGAAAAACATAAAAAGACATCCAAGAAAACAACAAATTGCTCCTGACGTGGACGTGGACGTGGAGAAAGCAGCACTTTACTCTACATTTGCAATTACACAAACCTGCCCCACAAGTACTACGTACATATTAATAATAATACTATAAATTACTTGGCTTTTTGATGAGATTTACACTCGGCAGAACAACAACAGCAATATCATAAATACACGAATGGGTAGCATACAGTGAGAAGAAGACTTAATTAATCAATATAGCTCAGCAGCAGGCTACACAGCAGGTACAAATGTATAGTAGTAATTGCAGGTATACACGTAATATTTAGCAGGTCTGGTCGGTGGCATGGTGGTTGGTAGGATGGGTGAAAGTTGGTGATTTCGGTTTTGTGGAATGGATGTAATCACAGCGGCAGGTTTTGTGTGTGTGTATTTTGTGTGTGAGAGAGATGTCCAGCCAGACACAGGGAACTACTTTATTAGAAGTTTACACACTCCTAAATGTCACAAGAAATAAGTAGCCTTGTAAATAAATTGTGAGGTAAATATAGTAAATAAATACTTCTCAGTTACTGGGTCGTGAGATTCTACTAAACGTATTTATGTGCATGGTTAGATTATTTATTGTTATTTACTTTTATTAATATGTTATCATCATCAGTCCGGCTCTTCATTATTAGGAATTTGTCTAAAAAAAATTAGTAGCAGGAGGAGTAGTGGTACAAGTGTGTAATAATAAATAAGTGGTGGTGGTGATGGTGAAAGTTATACGTGACTGTTAATGACTGATTAAAATATAATAATTTTTTAAAAATGGTTGCGAACTGTAGGTAATAGTAGATTTTTTATTAGTAGTAGATTTTTTTGATATATTTATGAATGAATGAAAATTAAGTATTGAAAAATCTCTCTTGTGAGCAAATGCTATATCACACTTAGAAGTAGCGTTATTTTTTTTGTATATTTGGTGAGATTCTCTTGTCTGCGGTGCATCGGGTGTTGGTTGAGTGGTTTGGTTGGTATTGTTTGGATGGATGGAGGGTGGTTTGGTATTTTTTTAGGTTAGGTGAAAGTTAATGTGGTGTTTTGCTAGTACTAAATATTACTTATTAAGTTCTACAAAACTAAGTACTATTCTCGTATTAAACATACTTTTTACTGCGACTAATTTGATCAACTTTAATTCAGCATGATGTTAGTTCTCTACGAAATGATGACTATTTAGTGAGGGTCGTGAATGCATGGGAAAGAGTCAAAAATCAATCTATTGAGTGAATTGATTAAATAGCTCATACACTAAAAGTCGTGTTAATAGTTGCACGATTTGACATATACCCCGTGAAAAATCTACTGTGTGTCTGCTAATAAATATTGTTAGTGATTTTTTTTACTACGGCATAGCTACAATTTAAATGCGTATACTAATATCCACTCACTTTCTCCAGCAGCTACGTACATTACATAAATATGTTTGAAGTTTGAGTTTTTCAGCGGTTTTAACTTGTTAATTACATACTTTACTACAGACCAATATTGACTAAAATGCACAACAAACCGTTATTATTACGTACTAATTATTATTGTTTTCTATTTAGTGAGATGCGATGAGTGAGGTTTTTATGCAAGCGGCGTAAGAGAAGACTCAAGATTATTTACATTATCATTACAGCATTACAAGTAATTATTGTTGCATTTTGTCGTTAATGAGTTATAGCATTGCTATCATTATTAGATCGTTAGTAGGTCAAAGTTTACGAAATGTTGAGTAATGGGTTAAGAAAATATATATTTTTTTACGAGAAGAAAAAGAGAGAGCAAAGAACGAAAGGATGTGAAAAAGGGGGTCAATCGACAGCAGACGATGGGATGGAACGATAGGGGTGTAAATGTCGTGGGAACTTGCCTGTCGTTTCCACCATCGTGTCAACGATGTCCATCGTGGCGTGACCTAATTGAATAATTGAGCTTTCCTTTTTGGCCCGTTCCACCTGAAAATCATGAAAAAAAAGAATGTCAAAAAAAATATTTTTTGAAAAATTTCTAGTCAAATCCAACCTCGTCTCTCCTCTTGAGCACCAACTCTCTTTGTACTTGGTTCTTGTACTGGTTAGTGAAGAATTTGGAAATGGATAATTATTTTGGGTTCATCTATATTTGTATTTACGTACAAAATTAACTTACAAATTCTGCAAAGTTGTTTCCGATAATTGGAATCTACACGGGGAAAGTAGTACAAATGATTAATCATAATTTCAGTAGGTCAAGTTCTTGATTTTGAAAATCATGGAGAAAAATCAAGTATTAGTTTTTTGAGTGAAAGTAGAAAGTTACCGGGAGTGCGATGACTAACACACCGCAAATAGCACAAAGACTTCTGCAAACACCATAAACGAGTACACTGATTAATTATTGACGTTTGACAAGGAAATACAAATATTTTTGCACAGAACTATTTATATAAAGCTGATTCTACCAGAGTTTCAGAATACAAACCCAGAATTATATATTTAAATGCGTTAGTTAATTACCCGATCATTTTCCCAATCGAGGTCTCCGGACTGGAAAATTAGAGCATTGGACAAGATTCAGTCAAAGATGTGAAAATAGAGAGAGAAAGACTCAGAAAAGTTATTTATACGTCATACATATCACCCCCAGCAAAGAAACAAACCAGAAACTCACCTCATGTCACCGTAGCCAACGGTGGTCATCTACAGAGAAAGTCAGAAAATAGTAAATTGGACAGAAAAGAGAAAGTCGAGAAAGTTTTAGAGAAAGGAAAGTATGAGCAGTTTTAAAAATTAACACGAAACTTGCCAAAAAAGTGAAAGTTATGGTGAAAGCTAGTGCAGCCTTGCTTACGTAATGGCAATACTTACCGTAATAATTGCCCACCAGAACGTCTTGGGAATACTTTCGAACATGGGGTTGTCCTCTTTCTCGGCAAAGTAGGCGAGTGAAGAGAAGATGAGCACGCCCATAGCCAAGAACATGACTAACAAGCCCAACTCTTTGTACGAGTTGGTGAGCGTATAACCTAAACTTTGCAGTCCTCTGGAATGCCTCCCAAGTTTAAATACTCGAAGAATTCTCATTAATCGGAACACTTGTACAACTTTCCTAAATGTTTCGTATTCATCTTCCTCGCCTATCTTTTTCTTTCCTGAAAGTTGAAAAGAAATTTTATTAAACCCACGAGAAAAAAATACGTTGTTGGGACCAATCTTTGAATTTTTTGGTCGAAAATTGTTCTTTTTGGGTGGAAATTGATTAAATTTTAAGAACGAGCTGATCAAGAAACATTTATTTTCATTATTGTGCATTTTGGGAATAAGGATTAATAGTAAATGAATTTGTCTTACCTTCTATTAGAAAGAGAGAAATGTAATAAGGCATTATTGCTAACAGGTCTATTGCACGAACACGATCCATTCAGCGAAACATAGACAAATTGAAATTTATAAAAATCGTGTTAGTCGTATTTTTTTCGCATTTTATAAAATGTATGTATGCTTTTTCACCTATAAAATTGAGTGCTCCTTGAAGAAACTTTCTCTTATTGGGGGAAAACACTAGGCGAAGAACGTATTCTAATGTAAACCTGAAATATGGGGCAGAGAGAAACAAATGTTATTTTTTTGTCCCCGGAAAAAATACTAAGATAATGTCAAAATTGCTTACCACGTGATACAAATTTCTTCTAAGGAGGCTAAATAGATGTTATCGACTAACATTAACTCTTCCGCTGGGGCTTCGTCACGGTCCTGTAAGTTGAGAAATCAAAACTCTCAAAAATCAAAAAGGTTAAAAAATTGATGTAGATTTTAATTATAGATCTACTGATAAATTCAAGTTAATTATATTCGACATTTTTGGTTTGTGATGAAACCAGTCATTTTCAATACGCATCAGGGCGTATATACAAAATACGGATGAAATGAAATCTGAACGACTTCTTGTAATGTAAGTAGTGATGATATTAACGCATTAATTTTAATCTAATTCATTACTAAAATAGGAATTTAACTATAAAATTAAATCACCAATAACTTCTAACTATCTCACATCACTTATATTATTTTAAAGTAAAACTAAAGTAACAAATATGTGAACTTACCAACTCTGCGTCACACTCTGTGTCAGTCTCATTACGACATTCGTACATTTGCATGGAGGGCAAAGTATTGAGGGTGAGGGCCACGGTTGACAACATGATGAAAAAGATGGATATCACTGCCACGATCTGAATATCAAACATAACTCTTTTATTAAATGTGTCAGTCATCATCCTCCACTCGAAAGGATGAGTGACAACGCGGTGACAAAGAGCAAACAGGGAAAGAAAAATGAAGGAAGGAGACGGGGAGAAGAAAGTGGAGAAAGTTCATAAGGTGCGATAATTTAATTTGTTGCAAACTATTTATTTTTAGCGTCACAAAAATAGCACAAATTCTGCAAAAAAATACACGACTAACCCTGGCAAAAAGGGACGACGTCGGCTTCTCCATAATGTCCCACCCAATCTTTTGAAACTTTGCCCAGGTGCCTGCGGAAATAGTCATATTTAAATTACCATAATTTCTGAAAATAAAATTCCTAAAATTGTTACAAATTTTGAATTTACTACTTAGATAAATCTCAATCCAAACTTACCGTCTCCAAAATCCTCTTCTTCCAACTGATTCAAGGCCTCTCCCTCTTTCCGCATTTCATCAAAGACTTGTTCCTGCCTCATGTTAAACTTGTGCTGACAACAATTCTCTAGAAATACTGAATCAATTCCCCAGTACTCCAAGTCTTCGGAGAATGCAAGGACACAAACTTCCTGAACAAGGTGAAGCTTTCCGGTTCGGTAAAAGTTTAAAATTGAGCTGAAGGAAAGGGGATGCCTACGTGAAAAAAAGAGAAAGTTTAACAATTTTATACTTTCTCCTCCAAATTGCTTTCGTGCACTCGCCCCATTAAAAAAACAACCAACCTGTCGAAGTAAAACTCGTTATCCACTAGAGAATAATCATCGCACAGGTCCAACTAGGAATTTCATTTGTAGAATTAGAAATAATTGAAAATAAAAATAAGTAAAATTTTACACAATTTTTAAATTGTACTCACTAAGGCCTCGTGGCTATTGCTTGCTCTGAAAAAAAAACATTTCCATCATAATTAAAGCTATGTGACTCTACATACACTCTTAGAAAAATGGTATTAAATCATTACTGACCGGAGTACATACATATGTGACTCTGTGTACAGAGTACATACATATGTGACCACCGGCATGGTAATAACAAGCATTACCAGTAATGTTGTGGTAATGAAAAATTTAGAAATCAGAAACAAACTACTACCAATCCGGTAGAAAATTATTGCCAAATAAATACCAGTACGGAGTACATAAAGAAGTATCAGATTTTTAACAGTGTACAAAGTGACTTAAATTCTTACCGAAGCTGGCCAAGCCGAGTGTGAGGTAGGCGGTCTAAGGTCTTCCACATGCATTCGTGTCGCTCCCCACCCACGTTCAAGACGACCCGTTTATTCTGCCGAAGTGTCTTTTGAATCAGGAATGGTTCCGGTGGGTGGGGCATGTACCTGATAAAAATGTTTGCTTTTCCTCATAATCCAACTCGATTTATGGTAATAACAGTGTTTATGAGACATAAAAAATCCCTGTGTACCTGCAACCAGCAGACATTTCCATAATCTCGTCCTCCATCGCGAAAGGATCACGCCGACCCGAGACCGGATTTACTGGGGCGTAGCGGGGGGACCGCTCCATCTGAGAATAATCGGAGAAAAATAAGGATAAGAAATTTCCTAATTTTTTTATGGGTAATTTGCACGCCAATTTGAATAATTTCAGGATTTCCATATCGAGTAAATTACACAACTATTTAGATTTAGTCGAGCCTTGATGCAACTTTCACTCTCAAATAAAAAATCTACCTTGCTCAGAAACGGTTGAAGTTCACAATCTTCACCTGCATCGTCCTCCTCCATGTTTAAACTTTCACACAAGCTCGATCTCAGCTTTGCAGAAACGTACTGGACCGAAAAGAGACCCATTTTTACAAACTCCTACACACACACCGAACTTCTTGCAGACCAAGTCTGCACCTTCTTCTTTCTCCCCGTTTTAACAACAAACAAGTCGGAGAAGAGAGGATTTAAAATTCTGCCGGAAGAAGTTGTTTATTTTTTTATGTTCTGCAAAATAAACACGGTTCGTCCGCACTCAAAGAGAATCCACAATTGCAGATCTTTCCTTAGAGTTCTGGGCCAAATGCGTTAACAAATATTTATGCGAGCACTTTGGAAAATGAGGAAGAAAAAAACGATCAAGTTCTTGTTCGAAATGTAATCGAAAATCTCAAAATTTGACAATCTACTCCTCCCCCTGGGAAAAATGGGAACGAATTCCACTATTCACTTCCGAGGAGAGAGAGAGACGGTAATAACCCTGTAGTGCTGCGATGGAAGTATTATTGTGACTGGACAATATGCCACCCTGCAATTTTGTTTATTGCCCACACCAGATCTCTATCAGTGTATTGAACCCTAAGACGGGTCAAAATAATAAGTTCGTTGGTACACAATCACACCACAAATAACTTGGTCCTGCTCTACCCTCTCGGAATATGCAATGGGAAATGACCAAAAATTTGATAAAGAGAAAGTTGCCCGATATGCATGCATGCATGCAAGCAGTTTGTGTAACCCCAAACACGGAACTGCACCCAATTAAGTGTAAATTCACTTTATATCTTAAATCAAAACACATTTTTCTAGTCACGTCGTCTCCTCGATAACTAACTCGGACGTGGGACTGACCACTGGATAATAATAAATTGTATGTATACATAGCTAAATATTTTTTGCATAGTATTTTCATACCGCAAACTTTACCCCATCGTAATAACAGGTTTGATCTGATGATGTGATATGTCGTACACGACTCGGGAACGGCGAGGCAGGTGAAGAGAATTAAATTCTACTTAATTACTTTGTTTCGTGCAAGTTTATGACTGTTATTTGACTGGCCCTTCATTCATGGAGGTTTTTCAACCACGGAACCGGCAGTTGAGTGAGATCATTACGTGTGTATTTGTTGTAGTATCGATTTATGTGGTGGGCAGTAAAATGACCTGCAGGACGAAGGAATGTGACTGCCTGCAATTAAGGAAATGCAGTACGGAGTGCAATATTATTGAGACATTCCTTAAGGCCTGGTGACAAACGGGGTTATTAAATATTTTAATTTCCGAAGTCTAATTTTGGACTGGGATTGTTTATGGAATTTATATAGTTAGACTTTCACCACTAAAACTGTGAAATCGCCACTGCTAATTTTATGTATTTTTCTTGTTATTAAATCGAACATTTTGTGACACGCATGCCACAGAAAAATTAAATTCAAGCCAATAATAATACTTATTATTCTCCTCTTAATGCCTCGCTACCCTGCTATTTCGCTACATATAAGTTCGCTACGAACATAATAATAAGTGTGACGAGGTGATTTGTGGAGCATTACAGGCCGGACACAAAGTATCGGAGGAGCAATTATTTGACAATTTGTGTCGTGGACAAGTCTAATTGCCATCAAAACGGATACATTCAACCATTTTGATTTCATTTGCATTGTAAACAACCTACTTTAGATAGACAGATAACGACACGCACGGTAAGTAATAATATTCCAACAGCTATAAAATTTCACCAACCTGAATTAATCAAGACCACCATTTTTTTAACACAGTTTTGTCCCCAACTTGAGAATAATTTTAGGAGGAGGTGAAGACCAAGGTTTTATGATATTCCTCAATTTTTCATGAAACACGAAGTCCATAAAAAATACACAAGATTTCCATCACCATTAAACTGCAACTTCACTCGATACAAGAACACTTGGTACTAAACAGAAAAGTACTAAACGGCGAAAGAACTGACGTACGTAGACCATCCCAACCGTCATTAAATTGTCACTCGCATACTCGCATTATAGATTCCTTATGTAAAGTACAACCTCCTCCTCCTCGTCTTCCTTTAACCTTTATGAAAAACGAGTGCTTTCTCCAGGCTATCAAAAATTAGACTAAATTGAAACTCGTTGTCGCCTATATTGTCGCATTCGCTTCGGCCATCACACTTTGACATTCCTCACTCCTCTTCAAGTTCAACACTTTCTTTTCCTGCAGATAAATACATACAACGCGACATTTCTCGCACAAAACTCGTCCATGTTTTGCATAATCCAGACACCACTCGTGTTGGAATTTTCCCCAAAAAATGCGTCCCATTACGGAGGAACCCATCCATTTCGATGAGAGACAGCATAACTATCAGACTAATCGTATATACTGCTTCCACTTATGGATTATTGCTACCTCTGTAAAAAGCTGCCCTAATAATATCACACTAACCATCAAACCACTCCAACTACAAGTGAATGTATGTACATACGTATACAGAATTGTGCAGGTGGCACATGCAGTCATCAGTTAAAATGAGGTGATTCCTAACCACCAACCTGGAATATGTATCATCCAAGTTATGTTATGTGGTGAATTTCTCTCCTGCTTTCCCTTGGTTATTACATGACTCTGACTTTCAGGCATTTTGTCAATTTGGACTCGTGAAATGTGTTGTTAGTTCAATTCTCTCGCATGAATTGGTCTCCTGGAATATGACGAGGAACGAAACATGATTAATGGAACGTCCTTCCGTTCCATATCCTATTCACGTTCGAACCGTCGTTGAATGTTGCTTCTTCGTGTGTTGTGGGTCATAAATATAAAACAAATTCATGAGGAGCTGACCCCATCTAGAGAAAGGCGCCTTGGAAAGAAGAACATTCCACGTAACTACTTACTCACGTATGGCAGCAGTATGTACAGAACTATCAATTCATGACACTACATACATACGTATACAAAGAAGTGAAAAATTAATCCGTCCATATCCACACGACAACAGGGACGAATAGCTAAATGTGCAATTTTAAACTGTTTGACTACTCTTGTGTCATGAATTTAAGGAAATTCACACCTACATAACTTGCCGTCTCTAACTTTCACTCCACGAACAACCGGCACTTCCGCAATGCAGTTCTCATTTCAAATTCCATGCACCGTACCAGTCAGCGATGTTACCCACACCGCTGCTCCCATGCCATTTCATTTCTAAACGTACCTACGATTGTTGCTCTGCTTGTCTGAAAGATTAAAAGCATGTCGAGGAATGAAATCACGTTTTCTTTCACTTCTCATACATAACTTCTCTCCTCGTCATCAATTCCATTTTAGTTTCTTTGGTAAGTTTTTGACTGCAGGAGAGAAGAAAGTCGTCCACTAGGATTCTATAGATTATTGATCAGTCCTTTCTCCCAATATGCTTGAGTAATAGACACACTAGCTCTTTAACCACCACCACCACCACGACCACCCTCTTTATAGTATCCGATACAGGGAGAAGAGCTCAGGTTACGGCAGCCAGTACTAACTCTCAAGTAGGCGACGGAAGCTGGAAAATGTTACGAAATCAATGAAGCATTGTCGTTCAAAGAAGGCGTTCAGTCACAAAGAAGAAGAAGAGGTCACAAAAGGAGGTTTTGTTACTCTACGTCATGTTTTAATCTGAGAGCATTTTATTGAAAAGAGAATACGACTCGAAAATAAAAGGTCGTCGAGTTGTTGCCAAACTTGAAATGTTTTCACGACAAGAGAAGAGAAGCGAAGAGATCTCCCTGGAGGACGGATGACGAAATATGGTCGGTTGTAACGTTGTGCTAAGAATTTTGATGGTTTTCAGACGCAGTTTGTGTTTTTATTAAAGGAAAATATTATTTTATGTGAGCATCATGAATCTACGGCATGGCAAGGAAAGCTCTCTTTCTGTCTTCCCGATGATAATAACTCTTAGAAGACCTAAAAATATATGGATTTATCCATTTCCGTTGGTCGTGCGTACGTCTGGCGGTGCCCACTTGAGCCCCCTTTTCAATAGCACCGAGTACTTGAGCATTAATCCTTCAATCCAAAAACAAGCACTCGACTTGGAAATTTCTAGAGCTACCTAGAGAACAAAGTAGAACTTGTAACTGAAATCAACGACCCAGCAAATGAACAAGTTTCCTCCTCTCTTTTTGACACATTGCTACTTTCCTCGCAACAATAGTGAGATCATTTATGCAGTACAAAGACAAACAATAGTTGAGGAAACAGAAATTGTGCAAGATCTGGTAAAGATATAAAGTAAATTATCTTCCTGAACTTTCAAGTGTCACAAAACTCGCCTAACAAATAATAGAAGCATGGAAGCAATAAAATGGATTATCTACTTAAGCTTCGTAATAATAAATACGAGACACGATGCACATGTGTGTCCATTTACTACGAATATTTACATTACACATTGTGTGCGACTTGATGAAATCCTGCTGCTCACAATACGAATACCTTTACAAAAACTTTATTGCCCTTCTATTTTCTCTGATTGAGTCCACATTTACATGTATTCTTTGTCCCGCAGTCTCGTGTACTGTACATATTCATGTGTTTTAGTGTTACTTTATCAGTGGGGTGAAAGTACGGATTACTCAGATATTTAGGTACCCACTGAAAGAAAGTGAAAGCCACCCTCGCCTCGCAGCAGTACGTACAAATGTATGTACGAAGGGGTAATATTCGCCCAGCAATATGTTACTCGCTCCAAGTGGTCGTGTTATTACGAGTACTTACTTGATGTATGGAATGCCATTATGTTATGGTCAGATTACGAGAGGGATAAAAACAAAGAACATAATGCATTGCTTGGCGCGGCGAGAACTCGGCTCTCAGTCAACTCATTTTTTTAATGGAAGTGGTGATGTCGAGTCAATAATGCAATCTTGGTATGTAAGTTGGTAGGTAGCAGGGTCTAATACTATGTATGACAGGCACGCATATATGGATATGCACATGGGTTAAAAAGTCGACGTTTTAGGACCGACTTGTAGTTCAACGTGGCAATAAATGTATAAATAACTTTATGTAAATACATATGTTAAAAATTTCCGTGCAAATAGTTTCGTAAAAGTGAAAGCGATACGAAAAACATGAATACAGATTATTTTTTTTACGCACCTCAAAACTTTCTCCACGCATCCCCTCAATATTTGCTTCGGAAAACCCCGAAGGATCACTTTTATTTAAGAAAGCAATTTTAATATCCGCACAATTGCGAAGGGACGTTTTCAGTAGGAGACATTATTTTTTTCTCGGTATTCCATTTCCATCACCATCTCGCTTTCTGCTCACATTTTCATTATTACTTTACTTGAACTGGAAAGTTAGTGGTTGTATCATCGCGATAGTTGATTCTGAGATTTATTTTTCTTAATTTTGAGTATTTTGAGTTAAACGTTTCTTCTTGACGTGTTTGCAGCATTGTGGAATTAAATATTGTGATAAATCAGTTGAAAAAAGGGTGTCGAACGTGTCCCAGATGACATTTTGTGGGGTCAGATTTTCCCCACAAAATATTACAGGAAAAAGACCGTTGTACTTTGAAATATGTATATTTTAGTTTTAACTTTGAACAGAGGATTGACAGCGGGAGAGGCCAGTAAGAAATTGCTGTGTATCAACTTGATCTGTTGATCTTTAAGTTTGAGGAACTTTTTTTTACCCAGTCCGACCAGTTGAACCAATTTTATGTATCATCGTCCCAAATTTTATCCAGCACTTTTTTCACCACCACTAAATACTAAATATTTCCCACCAGAAAAAGAAAAAAAAACAACCCGCCTTTTACCAGCTTAATTTTTCAGCAAGCATTATCACAATTTTGATTTTCTCTCTCGAAATATATTGCTCTTCCGTTTCCTCCACCGTCTCCGTTTTCACCAGCCGTACCACCGACCCTGTTTCTTTCTGCACTTACACTAACTGCCTACATCTCTCCTCCAGCCGAGTTTTAGATAAATGATCCAGTCCGGAGAGAAGCTCCAGATTCTAAACTTGGTACCGCACCACAACCTCCATCGCAACGACGACGACCATCACGACCACCACCACTGCCAGCACTTTCACTCACTCTGGGGTATACTTTACCCTATAAAGTCCGTCCATTCCATCCATAGTTGCAGGAAGGCAGGCAGGGGTACTTTTGCTGCTTCTGCTGCTTTGAAACCTTGCTTATCTTTATATGTTGTGCTCTCCTCTCGAATGCATGCACTCGTTGCTGCGTTGGTGTGGGAGCTGGATGCTGGGACGGGAAATAACGACGATGCGAGTCGTCCGAGAGAGTTGCGGAGGATCCTCCGGAGAAAGAAAAGTGAACTGGCTCCAGCAGAAGAGAAAGCAAGCAAGCAACAGACAAGGCAGGCAGGTCACACTGAATCCACCACACCAGCCAGACCAGTTTTTGGGGACGGAGTTTTCCTCCTGGAAAGAGAAGAGAAAGAAGATGGAAACTGAATGTGTGAGAGGAGAGAAAGTCGTAGCACCAGGAGCAGATCTATGTATGTCCTAAACTCATGTATGTATGCATGCATGTGGAGAACACATATTTCGTTAACCTTTTCCACCCCTTGGTGCAAGGGAAAATTATATAAGAAAAAATAACCGGGGACAATATTTCCCTAAAAAAATCCTAATGGTTATAGTAATCCAATCATTTGGCGATATATTTTTTCACTGCAGTGAGAGAATCGGAGGCTCGAATAGAGCGAGAGCTACACCACTTCCTCCTCTTAATCATAACTTTCACTCTCTCTTTCACTATCAGTGCGGCATCTTATGCACGAGTTTGGCCACGACCACGACCACTGCATATGTACATTCCTGCGAGCGGTATGTATTCCGTCCCCCGCTTTTGTGGGGCTTTTCTCTAACCAAGGAAAGTATTGAGGCAGACTTTGGTGGATGAAGAATTTTTTAAACCACGTTTGGATGGAGGAAAAAGTAGTTACTGGTTCTAGATTGGAGGGAAATCGGTCTGGGAAAAAACTTGTAGTTAGGAAAAGATCTCCTCCTCCTCGTCGTAGAAGCGAAAGTACTCTGAAATTACCAAGTTTACTAACTGCCTCCACTTTCCCGACCTCTTTCTTTTCCTTGCCCAGGGTTTAACTTTATTTATGATAAGGTTGGAGAGCTGCAGTGGATTAACTAAGTTTTCGAGACCTGGCTCGACTTCCGCAGAAGAAAAGCCTTATTTTCTCGACATTATTTTTTCCAGGAATTATTTACCTCGCTCGAGTAGAAACGAATAGAGAACAGTTAGTACGTGTGCGCCCCACGTACAAACTGTTTGCCTACGTATCTATGTGTACATTTCCAACTAAAACTAAACCAACCAAGGAATGGCTTTCGGAACCTGAGGTGCTTTGAAGTAATCTAATTTCCAAAGCAGGAATCCCACTTTCAATCAATATCAAAGAAGAAGAAGGTTCCATTTGAAACTTGATGCTAAAGTTTGAAAACACAAACTGTTGACAACACCATCCACTCGCTCAAGCAATGACCCGACGACATTAAATATTTCCTCTCGTCAAGAATTGAGATTGAACGAGCGTACACACAATTATCCGGAAGAAATAGACATATTACAAGGCAATATACCTACGAAATTTAATGGGTGTGAGCAAAAATATCTTACCGGCGGAGAAAGCCCTGTGTATGATCCAGGCTCAGTGTGAGATTGACTTATTAACAACAACACTTCACTCACTGAGTCACTTAATGAATCAAAAAAGTATCATGTACACAATACATCTTTCACCAACCACCCGTCCCAAACTATCCGATCCTCATATTTTCGTCCTCCTCCTCCTAAACACATAACCACTCACTCGCTCCCGTCCTGGTTCAACTTTACCGGGTTCGCTTTTGTAAAAGATACCCGGATTTCGATTCAATGTCCGTGTTTTTTTCGGTGTTTCAAGAAACAACTGAGTCAGAGAGAGTGGTTGGTGTGTACGTGGGTCGGGTAGTTGGTAGAAAAGGAGCAATAAGTATAATAAGAAACTTGGGTGGATGGAGAAGGGTAGGTTGAAAAAGGAGGATCCAGTCGACACCCGAACTTGCAGAGCCCCAGTTATGTCGTATTTCATGCCTCGGCTCAAACTAAATTCCACTCGATCCAATTCTAATATTGCTTTTGCATGCATGCATGTTTTATTATTATGGCAGACCTTCACTGCCATGAAATATATGTGGATATCTATATGGACACAGTATGTGTGCACACATTCATGGAAATTTTGGGGCAAAAAGTATATTTTTTAGGAGCTAAGTAACTTCATTATGTCGACCGCTATTATGCCGACGTCAGTCACGCTAAAAATATCCATTGTCCAATTCTCACGATATTTTAAGTCGTGTGAAAATCGAAGGTCATACGTAATACGGTTGAAATATTTGAATTTTACTTGACGCTCGGTCCATGCATATATCTTTCCAAGAGAGAAAAACGTCTCTCAGCCTTATCATCCCCCAGTCCACCCACTAACTTTTTCCCATTCTTGTACAAGTCAGTCTACAAGCTGGCACGAGGAGGAGGAGGAGTGGGTCGTCGTTTATTATTATATGGAGCATAAGAGAGCGAGAAAGTATTCATACGGCCAAAATCTGAAAGGCTTCTTTCTTCCTCCTTTCGCCATTCTGCACTGAAAACTCTCACGGCACCACAACGATGGTAGCATAGCCTAAAATTTGGGCTACATTCACTACCAATGCAACCAAACTAAACCACCATCACTACGAGACACACAGGACTTGCTTTCTCTCTCTCTTTCTCCCTCGATCCGCAGGTCTGGGTCGATATTCCTGCTTTTCCAGGCGACTCGTCTGCAGCACGGTTTTGATTCTATGTATGTCCGTACGTATCTATATGTAGTGGATGGCATTTCCTTTCTTTTGCTGCTGGGAAATGAACCAATTTTAGGCAAAGCCTCACTTTTCATTCATGATAATGATATGGCGGTGGTGTGGTGAGTGGTAGTCTGATAATGGCCTTGTTTTTGTACCTCCTTTTGTCATGAAGTAATCAAAATAAGCATTATCCATCAACGTTTTGAGAGAAGGAATGATTAAACAGGATTCAAAGTTGGCGTGGATTTTCAAAAATAGATGGATAAACTTTAGAAGGCTGCTTTCCGCTGGTGGCGATGTCGATCCAACCAACCAACGAGAACTATGTGATTAATTTAGTCTGACTTATAGGAAAGACGTCATCGCCTGCTCAGGGTAATTAGCTCGTTCATGCAGATATGCCAAATAATATTATGTATAAGGTCAGGTTTTATATAGAACGCGGTGGGTCAGGCTATCGGGATGGAGAGAGAGAGAGAGGTATTTAGTATCATCGCTTTTAGCACAACTTTTGATCTTTAGCGTTAGGAGTTATGTATGTATTTTTGGCGTAGGGATTTTAGATGTATGGAGACGACGTAAAGTTCGAAAGGTCACGTCATAGTCGTATCAATGATGGGGAAAAAGTTGTGGTCGTGTATATTTTATTATTTTTTTCTTGAAATAAATAGGAAGCAGTTGAAGCGCATAAATTTGTGATTTCTTCTTCATGAAATGATTTCCTATTCAATTTCAACAACTTTTACAATTTCTAAACTTATTTTGAATCGTGTAGATTGTAGATGCAAAAGTGTTACTAAAACTTGTAAACTTCTTTTTCCCCAACAATTTATGCGAGTTTGAATTTGGCAATTGCAGTTTTCCAGAGTTAGGAAAAGATTTCCCTAGAGAAGACGTTTGTGTTACTTGGGGGAGATCACATTCAAAACCAAATCTCCCAAAAAACTTCTCTTGCATAGATACATATTCTACTGTAGGCAATTTCTAAGCATGTATCTTCTTAGCGAACCATCGAACAAAATATTTTTCTCTAGAAATCTGACAAACCTGAGATCTGCTAACCTCTCTTCAAAAGCCCATGATAATAAAGGGACATACCTCTCGTATGCCTCGCATTAAATTCTAACTTGCATACATACATTTCTCACTCAAGGACTTGGCATCAGGCGAATTTTCGTCAAAAAATGTATGAATACCATTCTTCCATTTTTGCATAATACATGAGATCAAAATGTACTGGAGGGAAAGACGCGGAGAATGGGGCAGGAATAATGGAGAAATACGAGTACAAATATCTCAAAGCTGTAAGCCTCCGCATTCAGCATTAGCTTATGCTCCGTCGGAGAAGATGGAGAGAAGAATGCCTCCGGTGGTCTGGTCTCGACTCAAACGAGATAACGATATGGAACATTTGCTAAATTAGAACGAGTCGCAACCCAGATATTCATAAATCTGGATGGAAATTAGAAATTGATGCAATGCAGCCAATTATGTAGCACAAAGTTTATTCGTGCAGATTCAATTTCCATCCAAATCAGGGTTATGTGAATATGGACTAAAAAGCCGGTAATGCAATGTACATATCTTGAAGAATCGTGACAATGGCGATGATGATGTTCTTAGAGGATGAGTTCTTATCGATGAGGCGAGGAAGAGATAATATATTATCTGCAGTGATGGAATGTGTGTAAAATTAGCCTCAGCTTAACAATGAAAAAAATAATTGCTCTGCTCTGAGTATACTTGCCATGAAAATAATGGCCGTAAAGAAATCTAGGAATTTGTTGTTTGTCCAACTACGCCCACATCGCTACAATGCAGACAAACTCATCATCCGGTTAAATCTTCGGACTTTCTCGGGGCTCATTGCAGCAAAATTTCAAGCCGAACTTCTCACAATTCGAATTCGATTTTTTTTTCGACAAGGAAATACTGACGGAAGAAAGTTTACATGTTTTTTTCCAGATCTCTAACCGATTAAATATTTAAATTGCTGTAATTCTGTTCAACTCAAGAATGACTAAACTCGAGTCATTATTTGCGTGATTTCGAGAGTGAGCTAAATCCAATAATCGCCTCTGGGATTTGATGACTGATGATGCCGTGTGTTTTACAGCTTTCGCTGTATTCTCGTAGTCTTCTGCTGCTGTCACCCTTTGTTCTCCGTCTTTCTTTGTCTTGTTGAAATGCTCGGCACACAAGGAACACATAAACAGAGCGAGAAGTAAATCAAAGATAACATACAAATCCAACAAAACTACGACTATGCCGAGCAAGTGTAATGCATTCCCTCGTTTGCAGTATCTCAACAAAAGAAAGCCTTGTCTCGCATCTAGAGCGAAATATGTGGGGCCAATTCGTAACAGAAAATGCAAACCAGACGGAATTATGTACACATGCATGCAAAAATACTATCATTGTGTTTCATATCATACTCAAACTTTTCATGCCATGCTAAATTCTTGCCCAAAATCCTAAACATCTTGATTTTGCTTGGTTTTGCTTGGTTTTCCGGAAAACTACTAAAAGAATCAGGCACTGTTCATCAGCGATCCGTCATTTTTCTATTCGACGTCACATCACGCTATGCAATTACAGTATTCATCGAACAAACGGAAAAAAGGATTGCATGATTCGACTTACTTTGCTTTGTTTGGTGTATGGACACGAGAAATGCGAATTGCGAGATTTGCTGGAAGTGTGTAATGATTAAAATCTCACCCTTAGCCAAAAGCATAAAGCATAAAACAATGTTTAGATTAATGGGGTGGTCAGTAGTCGATATGGATTTGATTATTGTGTGAAATTGCTTCGACAAGTCGTTTGATTGCAACTAATAACGAATTATTAGGACATAATGGTCAATTTTCTTTGAGTTATTTTAAAAAAACATGGAATATGAGGCGTCTATGCATGTAATTCATCACAATTTCTTTCTGGCAACAGTATTTAATATTGCAATCAAAATTTTAGGTTGAAAGCACTAAAAAAAGTCAGACCAGGAGTGGAACGATAGAGATATCGCCGCCTTCACACAGTCCGTAATGTTATCCTCGTGTCGACGAAACTGTTGCAGAAGACGACATGGCTCGAAAACTTGGGCTAATCAATCAAAATGATTCGCAAGACATATTTTGTTGAGAATAGCGCCGCATTACGACCGTCGGCACTGGTTTGAACATCTTTTTACTCACCAAAACCAACACAATAATCCGAGTTTCGTTCGAAAGTGTCGCATCTTACATCTTTCCTTGATGCAAAGTAAATAGAGCTAAAGAGAAGCTGTGAACAACAATGTAATGCCGGCCACCCTAAACTGACACCACGAAAATACCAACCACAACCATCCATCCATCCAAATGGAAAACAGACAGACAGCCACCCGGTCTTCAGATGATAAGTAAGTAACACCACGCATGTGGTTTGGTTTCCTCGTAATATTATGCAGATTATGCGGTTGGTGGATGCAGTCTACAAAAAATTCCTTGCATTTTCAACTAAATAATGAACACATGGATGAATCCACACGCCAAAATCCTGTGCAAGTGCAATGATCGTCTCACTTTTTGCACCTCGTTATTACACGCCTAATAAATGCCACACAAGTCGGAAGCTGTGAAAATGTCTTCTTGTCAATGTCACTTTTGCGGAAAGTATGTTAAAGGTCTATAAATTCTGGATTGCCATTTGGTTATGTGATGGCAATTTAACTGCTGCCCAGACCCGGATCACATTACAAAAGTGTAAACGCCAATTTTTCCCGTCTCTGGTTTTTTAGTGAAGCCACATGCATCGTAAATGACACCATGTTACAGAGTAAAAGTGAATGTGGACGGATGTTGATATTTGGGATGATGAAATGAAATGTCTGTTTTATAGGGGTCGTATTTTCCTAACTTGTCGACTAAGAATTGATTGCTGCAATATGACCAGAATGTCGTCGTCGTAAACCGGTTAATTCAATTAGCAAAAATAAAGTAGTATCAAAACAGACATTAATTGTTTCTAACAAGTGTTTGGTTTAATTCATGTATAACAAAAACAAGTACAATTTTGGTGAATAAGTAAAAATTCGAATTTTTTGCTCAAGTTAATTATTTCTCTTAAAATTCGTAATTCGAATATTTTGTGTGCGATTGACTAGGGAGATCACGTACGTATTTCATTTGTATAACATTAAAAATCAACACAAAATAAGTTACAAAATTGTAATTAAACTTCTCTCTGTGAATGTCTCAATCCTGATAAAACTAGAAATTAGTACTGGTTAAAATATCAAAATAAAATTCATTAAAATACTAATAATTCTGAAATATCTGTCTACAAATAAAATAAATTGTTTGACAAATCCTTGCTCGGTTGGCCCCCACCGTAAGCAACACTGGTCATCTGTGCTAACTTATGAGCGTATTGAACGTGCGCTGGGACAGACACAGTTCCAGACCAGTTAAAATACATGTGGCATAATTTGTAGGTAAGGTACTGCAACTTATCCGCTTGCAGGTTGCTGTCGTCATAAATCACAATGTAGGAACATGGGGCCACCGTTCCTTGACGAGCGGTTGAAGAAATCATGAAGAATTGATATCTGCAAATAATGAGCAGAGATTAGTTTAAAGAATCATCTGGAGGAATGAAATCTACAATTTCACGCACTTGTCCTTTAACGTGATCGTGTCGTCGACAATAGTCCCAGGCGGAGGATTGTCAAACCCTCCGTTCCCATTTTCAGCGAACATTCTCGTATTTATTCGTTTACACACGATCAAATAGGTCAGCGTTGGAGGGTCAGTGGAAGCCTGTTCATACATTTCTTTCATCATGGCCTGGAAAATTAGTAAGTTGCGTTACTACTCGAATAATATTTGCGATATTCAACCCTGCATTATTCTGAATATTGAAGTTCTTACCTTTATTTCACGAGCCTCAGTCTCATCACGTCCTGAATCATGTGTGATATTTCCAACTCGGTAAATTACAACTCGTGCAGGTAGCTCCTTATTTAGTTTGCGATATGCTGTGAGACATTCTGTTGGTTGTAATGCAAAGAAAATAATCAAATTAGATTGCAAGCCCAGCAAAAATATTGAGATATTTCGCTTACTTTCCATATCCGAGCAAAAAATGTTCCCATTGCTGTTTTTGGTCCCAACTGCACTGAAATATTTGGTGAAATCTTTTGACAGAGAGGCAACGACGGAATACGTGTCGTTGTACGAGTCCAAGCCGACGACCATGAGATTCTTGATGGGAACTTTCACCGTCCAAGGTTCACCCCCAATTTTGGCAGTCATTTGAATCACTACTTTCGTTGCGATTGACATGATTCCCTTAGAGGTGAGATTTTTGGTGAGGAAGCATTGCGAGCTTGCTGTAAAAAAGTGGAGTGATGAATAAAGTGGGCAGTTCTTGCTGAATTAGAAAAAATCATGCATTCACAAGTAACAAACCTCCAAAGTCCACGACAAGCCGTTTCTTAATTGATCCATAAATATGTGCAGACGTTGACGACAGGACGACAAACACCATTTGAAGTTCTTTTATCCTTGGATAGAGGTCATCAATCGCTTTCATGTAACATTGGGCTTTTGGGTCGGAGATTATGCTAGAAAACACAAAGCCACAAATATCTGTGAGAAACTACCAACATAACTGCGATAAGATAATACGCTTAATTTACATACATCATTTCAGGCTGCCGAATGTTGAAACCTAACGGAGTCGCTACCTTCTGCATTGTCCTGACTAAATTTGCAGCATTTTGAGAGTCCTTCTGTGTTGCGACGAGGACCCATTTGTTGATTGATTCAGGACGGAACAATTTCTGAGCTGCGAGAACAATATGCAAATTAAATTTTTATACGGTTTACACAAAGAGGAATATAGTAACTCACTTCTAAATGCTTTCGTCCAATCCTCATTATTATTCGGGATCTCGGTACCGGATGCAAATAGGATTGGTTCTGGGGGAAGGACTCGGCCAGGCACGGTGATCATATTGGTTTGGAAACGAAGCCCCCATTCCTCCAATTCGACGAGCAACTAGTAAAAAATCATGTCAGAGTATTTAGATTACCAAAACGACATAGCACAAATATGGTTTCGCTCTACCTCCTGAGTTTCCATCAGTCTCTGCATAAATCCTTGAATCGCTTGAACCCTCTTGGTCGGTACCATATGCAAATGCGTTGACAGCTCTCGCATCAAACTATTATTGGCTCGCATCGTATCAGAAAGTCCAGTGAATATGCATAATTCTGGGATGAGGGCGACGACTTGAGCCTCAACATTTTTGGGCGGCCTTATCGTCGAAACTGTGATAAAGAGGGGTTGTCCCAAACTGGTGATTTGCTTCTGATACTTGTTTTGGTAGTAATCTTGATATGAGACATCTTCGCCCTTCTTATTTTTGAAGGTGTTCGTCGGGTTGGCGTTAAAGTCGATGGACTTGATGCGATAGGTAGCGTGGTTGTAGGTGGTCATCACGATGGCGTTCGCAAAAGTAGAGTTGGCATGCTCCTCAAAGCTTGGTCCCCTATAACTTGCACGCATTGACAGTAAAATGTCCATCGCAGATTCGGTTCGGAGGACTTTGTGGGTAATTTCGACACAAAGAAGAACATCGAGATCGTGGTTTTGGATCGATGTTAAAAAACCTTTCAAACAAAACAGACATTGATGCGATAAGTTATATCCTTATCACAATCATTATTTATTTAGATAAGTTCAACTAAAAATCTCACCTGGCCACAACTGGATGCTTAAACTGGGGAAATCAATGCATTTTTCTGCGTCGAAAAATCCACGCCCAACTTCTTCCAGACCCATTCCAAACATGCATTTTCGCACGATCAAGTTGTAAAATTGAATGTAGATCGGATCCCCGTATTCCGTGCTTTTGATGTATCTCAATGTCACCACAGTTTGAGTGTCATCTTTTCCGACTGCGTTGATCACCACTCTTCCACTGGCGTCGATGTCATCGAGCAGAAACGGGGTGTGGAGCAGTGTTCCGTCAAAAATATACCGGTGTTCAATCAGATCCTTGTTCCGCCTAAGGATTGCTTTACGGACGAAAGTCTGATCTTCCTGAGGGTTAAATTCAACCTGCGACAGAGACAATTGGGGGACATGTCAATAGCACAGTAATTTAAATAAAATGGTAAAACTAATTAAAATAGAAATTCGTCCTAGAACTTACAAAATACTGATGGAGACCCCAATCATGACCTCGTAATACGCGAAAATAGTTGGTCACAAGATCAATCTCCCTGCCGGAATGTCCCTTCGTATTAATTTCCTTCATCGCCGGTGTCACAGGGAGAACGCCTCCTGGAGAATGGCAAAGTCCTCGCATGACGTTTCTGGGTTCGTGGCCAAGACCTAATTCGTGCAGACTTAGGGGCCTGAGTATGGTTACATTTTGGGGTGACATGATCCCAGAAGGGTCGCCACTGAATCCGGATGCTGCAGGGATCTCAGGTCGAAGAAGCTAGGAGTGAAAGAAATTAAAATTTATACGGGAGTCACTTAATATTAATTTCGTAAGTGTAGTTTTTTTCCTTACCGGAACTACTTCATCGATGTGAAGATTTTCTACGGTGACTTCTTCCTCATCATCAGTTTGAGTTTCTTCTTGCATCCTGCCACGACCCACACCCCTGCGAGGTGCAAAACCGCCTCCTCTACCTCTGTAACGCTGCATTGTTGACAATTTCCTGAAAATTATTAATGACAAGATCAACCATTTGTCTTTTAAAAATTTATAACAAAGAATTACCTTGATTTGTTCAACTATAAGTCAGGGTCGTTTGTGATTTGGTTTGAAGAGGATTACTTTGACACGTTAGCTCTGCTAATTATTAACAAAAACTTTGTATTAAAAATGAGGCAATATGAGACGAAACGAGAATAAAACCTTGCTCAACGATAGCTAATGGACGATTGAAATGATCTCAGAACAATCTTTAAAGTTAACCTGTATACAGAATTACAGTATCTGTAATTGTCATGCAGAAAATGCCAGTGTGTAACTAAAGATTGCATGCAAATTTATTTCACGAAAGATTATCGTTTTAAATATTGTTTGCACATGCAAATCAAATGCAAATTCTTTCAAGATCATGTTTGCATCAGTTTTGCATTTCTTTCCCAACTGCAATTTTTCTCGCCATGAATACTTTATAACATGAAATTCCTACCGTTTTAGTCCACTATTTTTCCCCCATGCCATCTTTCCTCCTTCTAGCCCCTGATTAAATCCGATTTTCCTCCCGGAGAGACCCTTTCTCCCGACGATGTCGCTTGCATCTCAACTCCGAATTTTCCACTAGCACCCACCCCAACTTTTCCGGGTATTTCGTGAATTCTTAAGTATCCTCTCATCCCATGTGCTTTTTCGCACCCGAGTAAAATGTGAGACTATGACTTGGTTTGCAAAGTAAATCTTTGTTCTGTTCTCTTTACCCGTTCACTCGTATCTGGGCGAGCGAGCACGCAGAGTGGATTCCATCCGCATGGTCTACAGCTTTGGTTGGTCGTCGTCGTCAACTTTTTCGGTGTGTGCGATACGGTTCAGCCAGCCACGCTCTCTTCCAACTTTCTTTACCCGACTCATTCTCCCCGACATCATCATCCACAATTCCTCTCCTCGAAGGAAATCCACATTTAGCCGTGGGATCTCCAATCCAAATAAACAGACGAGATTTTGAACTCATGAAGTGAACACAAAATCCAATCCCGGCACCTTCCTTCTCGCAGTCACACATTTCGCATTCAAGTTGTTCGTAGGTTGGTGTACAGATTTGCTATTTTAGGAGCGCCGTGTATCTAACATAACGGTTTATTCTTTATTTCCGGATCAGTTCTCCGTATAATTAAGTCTTCTTTTTTTGTATGCGACAATATAAAGGGATTGAACATACTCTAGCTTTCTTCTCAGACATCTGCATTTCTTTCATTTCATTAATTCCCTCCACTTTTGTATTTATTCATTTATTTCTTGTCAGCTTAATGAGACCAAAATTCATTTTAAAGGAGAGGACACACTTTTAGAACGACATAAATTTCCGAATCAATCATTCCGAAAGGGTAAAGTAATGGAGGTTTTAAGCGAGATTTGGTCCAAATAGTGATCCTGGATAGGAAGAAGGTGCCGTAAATCATCATCGATACTTCGTCTCATAAACAACTTGTTCATAAGAATCCTGTCCATCCAAGAGATGTATCCACCACTGGGAAAAGGTCATCAAGGTTAGTTCTGTCTTTTTGTAATATATTTTACATAAGTTGGTAAAGATTTGTGTTCTATTGAAAATTATGCATGTAAACACGGAAATGTGTTTTCCTACTAATATTCTAATTTCATTGGAATCCTGGAAAATTCAGATTTTTCTAATACCAATAAATCAGATAAATATTATTCCATACATACATTATTTTCCGTCTCATTTTCCCTCTTTGCAATATTCTATTTTGCATTGGAACATCCTCGTTAAAATAAATGTGTATGTTTCCGATATCCAAATATTTTCCATTCCGTTTTATTATTATGATATGACTGATATTTACATGTATGTATATATTGATACATGGAGGGATAAAGTTTTCCTGTCAACATGATTATTGCTCTAGCTTTACAAGCTCTCCATTTCCAAATCCTACCCATTTACATCATGTAAATTACATGTCGAGCACATTTTTGCCGTAGCACAGCACAGCAGAGATGATGAAGATGAGATGTAATGTGTGGATTTAGGATTGAGTAAAATAATCCCATTTTATCATTATCCTCTAAATTGTATCATTTATCCGTTTCCAGCTTAACTAAAGTAACCCTATTTGTCAGCCCGATTTACGTATAAGCATAACATCGACTAAATATTTGTTTTGATGTGAACGACTATCCTCCTTTTATTGGGGATTGCTTCAAAATACAAAATACAAGATTATCTCGACACGAATACGATGCTATCGTTCAACAATTGCAGAAATACTAATTACCTCATTTTGCGAATTGAGTCGTTAGTCTTGAAACTTTAATCTGTAGCCAAGCCACCAGTCTGCCAGCCGAGGAACATATCTGTATTCTGTATCTGTTTGTTTCTCTATAGTTTGAGTGGGACTCATGCATATGCAAATTATCACTCTTGTCGAGACTTTGCTCGGTTGTATGTATACCCATTCAAAAGAAGATGAGCAAATTAACTGCTTTTCATTTAGTCTCTGCTTTACTTTAGTTTACTCCACGGAGTAAAAAGTTTAAGTCGAAAAGCTGTTAATTCTTGGGAAATAACAACTAATGAGAAAGCAGTGAGTGAGAGATAGCAAGCAAAAAAACTAGATAGAACTGACTAAAAGTAAAAGTGAGCACATTATTCACAACAGCAGCATCAGTATGTATCTCAAGAGAGCAAAAGTAGTTGGCAATTCCCCTGTAAATTAATGCAACACTTTATTCCGATTCTGAGATTGTGCTGGAAATGAATAGTGTCTATATTTCACTCGGTTCACTTGATTTGTTCCCGGCCTTGGTCAATGGCATCATGTTATTAGGAGAAAGCTAATAATACGAACTAGTTAAAAAAGTTCGGCCCCCAATTTTCACCGAAACTTTCATCTCCTTCTTTATGCCGTGTACAGAGTAATTAAATACTCAACTAAGCAACTAATTACAATATCCACCCATGCACACACACTAGTCTGGCATACATACTAAATAATAATTCCGTGCTCCTGCAAGTATCTAAAAGTAGGTGGGTAAATGTAAACTCGTTCTCCCAATTAGGCAAACCAAGTCCAATCATTTCATTTCACAAACTGTGAACCGTGTATGAAATGAATTCACTTCTTCTTCCTAATACGCAATTGGAATTTTGATTCGCATCACATCAGACGCGAGGAAAACGTTAACTTTGACAGCTACGTTCAACCCCATCATGTAAGACTAGACTAGAGAACGGTACAGTTCCTACATATGTACGTGTGTAGACAAAAACATGGCAGCAGAGCAAATGGGGAAAGTAAACTTTCTCCCAAAAGTAGCACCACCACTGGTTCGTTCTGCTTCATCAATTCACCATCAAGTCATAGTTACCTCATTTCACTCCTCTGTCCGTGTTAGTTGTCAGATGGGCGAAAGGCAGAAAGTTGAAAGGGGTTAATGAGAACATGAACAGAATCATTTGCTTGGCTTTCTCGTCGTCGTCGTCACTTTCTCGTCTCGTCTCGTCTAGAGAGGAAGAGGAAATGACGCTGCTTCTGATGATTCGCAACTCTGATTGTGCATGAGCTGAACAAGAAGTAAATTCAAAAGTCTTGTTTTCCTTTCCCATTCTTGACTCTGTGACGGAATGCGGTGTGTCTACTCGCGACGACGTGATACATACGGCATGACAAATGGGAAGGGAAAGAAATGCGAAATTTGCAAGAAAAAAATCTTATGTATGTATGAACCACTTGTCGAGGAAGAAACGAGAGGAAAAAATTGATTAAAGCAGTTGATCATGCATATGCGAAGAGAAAGAAAGGTTTCGCTATAAATATATCTATGTACCTCCTGTTAACCATCATTATTGATTTGTACATTTCCTAAAAGAAGAATTTTTCATCTGGAAAGATTGAAACAGAAGATGTCACGAAATAGGAAGACCTTTGTACTTTTCCCGTCCCATCATTTCGGTAAATTTCACTTAGTTTTTTTTTTGTTATTCTATCGGTATCACATCACCAACCTTTCTTTGCTGAATACTGATCACGCCCTGGCAGGTGAAACACAAAGGAATTTTGCAGGTGGTTTACTTACTTAGTTTGCGCCGCTTTGGTTTGGAATATACATACATAAATTGGATGAGGAATGCTTTTGTTGTGTCACGACGACGCCCGCTTGCAAAAGTCAAGCCGACGTTGGTTGCGGGGCACGTCTGTAGAGAAGAAAGTGATAAAGTGGTTATGCGATACGAATTTCCATAATAATTGATTCCCTCCTCGTCATACCATTATTAAGCAGGAATCTTCCATTTGCCTATTTAGTAGGTTGTGTGTTGCCGCTCTGTCTGGGCGTGGATGGATGCGGAATGGAATAACAATTCCATTTTCTATTCAAAGCTTTCTCCCTCCGACTAGAACAACACGAGGCCTCGATGTGTCAGCCTGTGGTTACATATTCAAAAGTAGATACGTGTGGAAAGTGCCTTTTTCGTAAAAAATTTAACAATTCCAAAATAAATTTACTCTGGCAAAAAAAAACTTCTTAATTGGCAATTTTCCCTCTTCTCTCTTGCCCCGATTTAAATGGAAAGTTAAAAATAACCTGTAATATATTATCAGCCGCGTGGTGGGCATGTGTGGTCTTGTGCTATCTGATCTGATTCCGCCAACTTTGCGGTTGGTAAATTAATGTATCCCTAATGTATCCTCCGGCGGAAAACGCTAACGGATGTACCTTTTTGTCAGATGGGACCCATGATTGTAATTGATTCACAATATATTTTTTCCCGAGCTGAGGTAGACAAGGGAAGACAGGACAGTTTAATAATTTATTACATTTTGGAATTTCGAGCCTCCTATACGAGACCCCATCACGAACCATACAGCAGACCACGACTACCGAACAAAGATAAATTTAGGTCATTCTCTGCCTCTCTCTTCTATCTCTCGGCCTGCCTGCCAACGTACCAAACCACAACGTGCGATTCCACCCTACGGTGACTTGTAATATGTAATGTAATACTGCACGAAGCACTTCGTACAACTGATATTCTCACTTTTACCAAGCGATGCAAGCGATCCACCAGGAAGAAATAGTTGAATGGAGAAAGTAGAGAAAGCCAATTTTACTTGGCCCGAGTGAAGGTGGGGATTGAGAAAGTAAGTAATTTATATGGGCGTTGATACCGAAGTAGAAAAACCGCTTATGTTGCTTTCTTTTTCGTTTCCTCCTCCAAAACCACACCTGCACCTGATAATGTTCCCATTATATCGAGTTAACCTCACATTACATAAACTATTATAAAGTTTGGTGAAAACGCGCGACTCATTCGAGGCACACGTGTTGTTGTTCTTCTTGTGGTTTCATTTTATTACAATTTTTTTGCATGGGGTTCAAAATCTGGAGACCAGCAGTCTGGTTCTCGTGTAACAAGTACAAAGTGTTGGGATGTGCTTTGCTTTAGTAAATAGCGAGGTGAAAGACACCGTCGCGTTGCGTGTTTCGGGCTCATTTCACTTGACGCTGTATCCACCTGGAGGAGTGGGCTGAATCGGCTCAATCATAACCTCCTTGATCTGTAAAATTCCTTATTTTAATTTAAACTTGGGCAAGTTTCTGAGAAGCAGATAATATGTAACCATTTACTGCACCTGAACATGCGGTGGACTGGCCAAGACGTGAAGGACGGAATCCGCAACGTCTTCAGGTTGCAAATTTTCCATGGTGGAGTAAGCCCTGGCTGCATTTTCGGATCCGAGCGCCGTGTGGAGAAAGTTAGTCTCCGTCCTGCCAGGACTGATTGACTGCGAGATAGGAGAAAAATATATAAATTCGTACCCTGAAATTTGGATGAATGACTTGTGACCCATCGAAAAAAATGGTACGACTGCAAAATATTGATCTTTCTGACCATATATATCCCTTTTCTCACCAATGAAATTAATCGTTCCCAATATCTCAGAATACCAATGTTGATTTTGGTATGCATCAGCAAAGGGAGAAGACTGGACAGCCAATTTACCACATTCCTTCTCTCCTCTCTTACCGTCTTCTTCTCCTTGATTAATGATGGGTGAGATGGATTTCATTGCGAGCGAGAAGAGTAAATATTGTGAGAAATAAATTGCGTGGTTGGTTGTTTTTTGCAAAGAAAAAATATATAAAATCGAGGTCGAAATCGAGTTACTAGATATTCTCAAATATAGGAAGAAAATTAAAGATAACAGCACCACCACCACCACCTTTTCTCTGCGCTTATGCATTCCTGCCAGCAATAAACATTACTCCAACCAAACTCACCGAAAATTTGATCCTCAATCCTTTCGAAGCCATATCCTTTTGGAAACCTGCATCACAATCATTATCATAGTGTTAGTGTTCTTCGTCATTGATCCGAATTCCATCCACAACACGGAGCATGAAAGCCGTGGGGCCAAATTATATACTAGATTTTGAGTTGATTTTGATGTCGGGTGAAAAGTAGTTCACCGCACGGGATCAAATATAAGAGTTGGACTCGCTGTCGAGATGAATGTAGTTCAATTAATTCAGTTGGCGAAAAAAATGGGCCACTTATTTCTGTTTTCTTCCTCGTTAAATAGTTTTGACAAGGGGCTGAGTATCCTGATGTACAGATATTTTGCCTGCTTACCTTGTGTTAGGGCTGTCACGGCGAATTTGGTGGAAGCGTAGAAATTGAAGATTCCCAAGACATGGTGGCCCAAAGTACTAAATTAAGACACGTATGGTTGGTTATCCCGGCCTGAATTTATGTAACATTTTCTCCCTCTTGTTATGTAACAAAGACCTGTTTATGTTGATGATGTGGCCGTCATTAACATTTCTCTGAATCATGGATTTGATCGACAGTTGTGAGCATTGCACCAACGCGACTATGTTCGTATCCAACATGCTCCTCATTTCAGATACAGGGATTTCTGAAGGAGAATCGAGAATGAAACGATATTGATCAAGATTTAGGACCGTATAAGTCTCATGTTTAGCCAAATTGTGCTTCGTACCCACCCAAGAGAGATGTGTTGGTGGAGAATCCTGCATTATTTACACAGACGTCCACGCCCCCCGATAAATTGGTACTGACCCATTGAAACATTGCATCGATCTCGGCCTCCTTTGTGATGTCGCACTTGTACGGGTAGAGCTGCCCTTTGTACTTGGCGGTGATGCAGCGTTCTTTCAATTTCTACAAATTGCAGTTTGATTAAAGTGGAGGGATATAGGTTTAAAGATCGGTTGGGTTTTTGGTGGTGGTGAATGAAAAAAAATATATCTAAGACGGACCTCGATAGCTGACACGTTTCTGCCACATCCTACCACGATCATTCCTTGACTAACAAGTTTCTCCGCGATAACCAGACCGATTCCTGTTTTATCCACACTATTTACGTTTACTTGTTCTGTTCATCTTTTGTATTTTGTATTTTTCTTAACCTGAACTGGCTCCGGTGACCAGTGCCACTCTTCCGACCCAGCGATTCATTATATTCGTTCTGGTTTTCGATCCCTTTCAATTGTTCAATGTTTCCAAAAACTTTTGGGAGGCGAAGGAGGAAGAGTTGAAAGTTGAATTATTTGTGGCGATCCGTCCAAGCCGACTGGCACAGAAAAACGTTGCGTATGCGGTATATCTAATATACAAAAACCAGATTCCAGTCATGGGTGACCTTCAATTCAATGGTTTACTTTTTTGTGGTAGTAATGATCTCCTTGAGCATGTACAATGTATTTATTATGCACACGTACCGTATGCATGCCTTTATCTCAAGTTAGCATAACGTTGGTCAGAGAGATATCTATTTACATCCAGTTGGACAGCCTGATTTCATTATTACACTCACAAATTTACAAAGTGTGACACAACGAGGAATAAATCCGCGTCGAGATCAAATTGCAAACTCCAATCGGAAATCTAAACAACTTATTCTACTTTATTGTACTTTGTAATTGGCCCTTTGGAGATTCAGTTGGATGGGCAGCAGCTCCTTCTCATTCATGAGCTAACGCATATACGTACGTAGCATGGAAACAGACAAGGAAAGGAGGATGGCATTCATCTCATCGCAAACGCACAAGCTCAAGTTCTCTCTAAACTCAGGAGGAGAGCGTCACCACCTGCCCTTCACAGATCTTGATGCCCTTTGGATATGTGGTAGGGTCCCATGAGTGTACTAAAACCCTGAAGTGGTTTGACTCCATGGCCACATTTGCGCCCGCCACACCCACTCAAAGGGATGAAAACCACAAAAGTTACCAACTTCAAAAATCCACCAAAAATCCAATTTTGCACGGATTTTGATAAAATTTGCATTTTTGTGATCCCAGATACTTGCCTGATAATATTCAATAGCAATCTCAACTTTTTTGAAATTTTCGAAATTTTCGAGCTGATGAACTATTCGAAAAAATTCAAAATTTCAAAAAAGTTGGGATATCTACTGGATATGATCACACAAGTATCTGGGATCACAAAAATGCAAATTTTATCAAAATCCGTGCAAAATTGGATTTTTGGTGACATTTAAAGTACATGAAAACAGGGCTTTTTTCGTGTTTTTGGCGCCTTTGAGTGGGTGTGGCGGGCGCAAATGTGGCCATGGAGTCAAACCACTTCAGGGTTTTAGTACACTCATGGGACCCTACCACATATCCAAAGGGCATCGAGATCTGTGAAGGGCAGGTGGTGAAGCTCCCCTCCTCAGTCTTAACTCGGTATCAAAAGTTAGTCTGGGGGAGAAGCAAACTTTCTCTTCTGGGAATTGGTATAAATCATTAAATCGCAGATACAGACGGAACTCCTTGAAGGATTGATATGGATTTAATGCTGCTGGCATCAGATTTTCCTAGAAATTAGGACGGTATGCAGTCAGTGGAACCCTTTTTAACCCTTTCTCTGCAGCCAGTTCGTGTTAAAATCACTTCCTCACTTCAAAGGGTATTTCGTTCCCAATTCAACTTTGGTGAGGCACACTTTGTATCCACTTTGACATCGTTTGGCCCACATTTTTCTTGCACCCGTTGATTTGAAAGGTTGAAAATGGTGTTGCAGTTAACAATTCTATTTGAAATGCATTATGCAATGGATGTATTTCAAAGGGATTTTCTTTGATGTGACGACTGAATAAAGTTCATTCAGCGTCAAAAACCGTTGGCCTATGACATTGAGATTCATTGCGTGTGTGTCAAATCAGTTCTGGGCAACTTCAGATACAATTTACTTTCTATTGACAAAATTGCAAGCCTGATAAGATTCACGATTGTGTAATACGCGATTATGTATGTGAAATGAGTCTGCTGCATTCTTAAATGCACAATTTTCTACAAACTGCCCATGCTGCAGGTTGACCTTTTATAAGTATCCTATAAAATGTCAAGTATCAAACTTCACTCTTATGTAAACTTCACTCTTAAATAGTTGTTTAAGTCTTGTTGTTTACCAAAAGTTAATAATTATTGTTATGAAAAAGATGAGTAAAAGCTTAAAAACTACTATGCATAGGTATGCATACAATTTCCCGTATAATATGACAGCCATGCCCCATTGTTTATTTATTATGCCCAGATAAAGGATGCCGATGGGAAGTTACCACAACTTTATCAACCACTTTACAAGAGTAAATCATGATTTTTGCTCACTATTTGCCTCCCAAAGAAGCCGCAAGAACAAACCATAACACACCAGAGAGAAAGTTTTTGCAAGTTATTTCTGCAGTCCCCAACTTTCTCCTCCGCCTTGCTTACATACTTCCTCCAAGTATTGTTATCACACCAATTTGACCACTTTTCTTGATTCTCAAGTTAATCCGCATGATTTATTAGAATAATTAATTTGCCCCATTTCGAATTTAATGCTTGCACTTGATTTCTAAGAACTTTCCGCTCACTTCTTGGAAATTTATGTCCGTTTCAGTTTCTTCCTGTTGTGTTCTCTCTCTCGCAAATTCCGCACCATTGTGAAATTCTCTTTGTGCTCTTTGACTAAGGCAGAATGGAATGGAGATCAATAATATAATCTGTTTGATACGGACTTTGATTCGAGTTGACTCTTGCTAAAAGATGAGATTGAATTGAGTGCTTTTTCTCATGAAGTCTTTCAGGATGAGTTCTTCCGCCGTTGTTCAGCACAATGTTCTGCTCGAATAGGAAGAAAGATTCCGCCGAGGAGGAGGAGGAGAGCATTAGATTTATGGCTATGTAAATCCCAAGCTGTTGATCAATAATGTAAAATCAGATCCAAACTGAAGTTTTGGGAACATGAATTTCCAGCAAGATTCAATTGTAACAGTAAATCCCAACGGGTAAATTTTTTCATCCAATTAATTACCAAACCAAAACGACGAGCTAACTACGTATAGTCAAAGTGAGAATTCATGCATGCATACTTTGGCAAAAAAAAGAAGTATTTTTAGCACCCTTCCAGAACTGGTAAACTGATCCGCACTCCTGCCTGGCTGCCACCACTCCCATAATTTCCAGAGAAATTAAATCTTCCACTTTGCACACTTTCTTCTTCTTCTTCTCCAGGATGAGTTTAGTTTCTGGAGACGAGCACACACTTATGCGGACGGAAATGGTATGCATACATCTGCATTATAGTTCTATACGAAGTATCAAGTTTGAGATTTTAGAGGCTGGGAAAATCTTTGATTTTCTTCCTTCCTAGAAGCTCGTTCTCACCACAACTCAAGTCTCTCTCACTCACTCACTTCCTTTGGTGAATAGTAATCCCTTGTCTTAGCCGAAGAGAGGAAGAACAAAAGCATTAAGTGCACAAAGTAAACCTCACTCGAGTTACTTTTACCATTATGAATGCATGTACTCATACAGAGTACTTCGACTGAATGAATCTGTGTAGAAATGGTGGGAATGTTACACGTGATTAGAATCCGTTGATTCCCTTTATGGAAATTATTCCCTCATTTCTTGGATCATTGCACTGCGCACACACAATTTATTATGTTATCCAGAACATCCCAGCGTTTTAGTTGATTGCAGATGAGAAGAAAGTGGACGACGTTTTGACTGGGTGTAAAACAAAAATATTTAATAAGCAAGATATTTATTAAGCTTTGAAGTTGAAATGCTAATATTTGTTTGTCATCAACGATCAAAAGTCATATTTTAGTTAGGGAAATTATTTACATGGCCCAGAATTGGAATAATTTTCTCCCAAATACGCATATAGGAACCTCTGGAAATTGGATGGAATTTGGAAATTAAATTTTATGTAAGTCTGCTAAGTGCATGTAGAGTTACCGATTCGTATTACTCGGTCCTTCTGCTGAGTGATGTCTGTGACAGCAATACCACAAATAACTTTCTCCCTGCCTGATTCCCTCCCACCCACCACCCACCCTCGTGCCCAAGTTATTTCTCATTTCCCACCATTTCTCTTGTTCTGTCCTCCTTTGTATGAGATGTCAAGCGTGGTTAATGTGGGTTTAAGTAGCCAGTCAAGACTCTGTGAAAAACTTGGAAGAAGGGAAATATTCTAATTTTCCGCATTAAAACTGAGCCACTCATTTACAGCAGAAGCAGCAGCAGAGCAGACTATTTTGGGTGAAAGTAAGGAAGCTCCATGCATTTCACGGAAGGGAAAACAGCACCAGCAGTAGAAGCGTTTCACTTTTGGTAAAATTTCGCTACGCGTGTTTACAAGCTTCTCTGAGAACCTTGTTTGGATGCATGACCACCCACCCGCGTTTTCATTATAATCAGCTCGAGGCAAAATATAAGCAGCTATTAATGCCCGAAAATTGTAAGCAGGCAAGTGTTTCGGCCTTGTTGTTGGGCATGTTCTACAAATTGAATCAAACCCAAGGATTTCCTTGAGCATAAACTATTTGACGGTTGAATCCACATTTATTTTATATGTATCAAGGGCTCCTACTTTCTCCTGGTTTCGTTTTTGGTTGTGACAATTCTTCGGCCAAAGTCTGCTCCTTGGTTCAGTTTGACATCTCACCCACCAGCTCCTCAGGAAAGTTTGCAACTGTTTGAATTCTATTCTCCAGAGTTTTCTCGCAAGGAGGAAGAAGAAGATGCAGGACTTGCCATGCCAAAAGTACAGTCGTAGCAGTGAGGATAGGAGGAAGTTGACTCGAACAGTAAAAGAGGATTCATTGCGACATGAATTAAAGCGGATGGACAACTAATTCGCATTCTTACAAGGAAATGTACAGCCACACAGCGGGTACCACTTACGGATCCCGCCTCTTCCTCTTCTTCGGCATGCGTTACAGATCCGAAGAAACTTGTACGAGGAAGTTTAAATTATTGGAATTTTGAACCCGCAGCTAAAACTTGTGATCCGTTCTTTCCTACTTACATACGCAATAGGAAGAGTACTTTTCTCATCTCTGGAGAACCAGGAATAAAGTTTACTTATCATGTGGGTTACTACTACTACGCAAGAAGTGTAACATTTCCCAACAGTTGTACACATACATATTTATCACCGATATTCGGAATGAAAAATATACTTTGAATATGCTAAATCTATGAAAATGCTTGATAATTTACTCACGAAATTTGTAAATTTCATTGTGGGCAATATATTAAGATTCTTTTTGTTGGCACTACTTATACCAAAAACAGAGCAGTACGTAACTTGTGA